TAAAATCCTAGTTACCAGCACAGTATCTATTAAAGACTAATTGCTAGGAATTACATAAAACTCTAAATTATGTCAGTATCTTACCAGCCTTTGCTGTACTGGCTGAGTAGGTCGGGGGACTGTAGTTGTAGCTGCAGGTATTGGAGTCATTACTCTTATTTGAGTAGTAGCGGTAACTGCAGTTACAGGGATTGTTGCTGGTGTCACAGCAACAGTTGGTCTCAGCTGATTCTGCTACATTACATTACAAAATACAATGTGAGATACGTAGCAAGTACATGTACCATATAAATCGGAAAAGCATGGACAGAACTGCAACGCTATTCTTAACTACTTCATATAGCAAACGATCCACTACATTACGTTCACTTAGATAGTAGTAAACGTTTCTTACCTGTGTAACTACAGGAGTGGCAGATGTGACAGGAAAAACAACATTGGCAGGAGGTGGTTTTATGCCTTCTATGACTAACTCTTTTGTAACGAGGGATTGCCGTAAGAGCGGCAAACTCTTTTTCAAAAATCCGATCAGGCATGGTTGGGGTGATGCATTCAATAATCTTTCGAGTCTATCACAGAACTCCTCCGGTTCGACTTTAGTATCAATTAATTCTTGAATCAAAGTTCGAACGTTTCGCTCTACCGCTTTAGGTTCTCGACTAGACAACTCTAATAAATTTGCTAAAAATTTACGGCACTTTTCTTTGGTATTATCTGTAGTTTGACGCTAAAAATAAAAAAAACATCACATTACAAAAATACAGTAGTTGCAATGTCACCAAATTTTATATTATCAGTAATTGAAATGTATAAAACGCTAGATGTAATTCGTATCGATAGACATAATACTGTTAATTTATTTGTACATACTGGTGTAGGTGTCTGAACCGTCTGAACAGTAGAAACAGGCGGAGTAGGCGTTGTTGTGGCGGCAGCGGTCACTGTCACTGGGGTTGTAGTTGCTGTTGTGATAGTTGCAGCCACAGTCTGTTTCAATAAATGAAAACAAATGTTTTATAACACTCTTCCATGTTTCAGATTGTTTAAAAGAGTTTTTTTTTTTTTATGAATGATAAAAGAAGAAAACGAGAAGTGTAGTTTATTTTTTAAATAATATCTGTGAATTTGTAACTTCTCAAAAATTTGATTAGATTTATGAAACTGCAGTATCACTCCAAATTAAAAGCATGTTTTGCAGCATTGCTAAAAATAAAATAGAACTACAAATTTATAACATAACAATAACATTTCATTTATGCCATGCTTTCATCTTTGAAATATATATTTCTAAGCTTTATACGTTATTATTTCTGATACTCTGTTGCTCATTCTTAATAAATATTTGTCGACTACTTTTATCATATAATATATTTTAACCTTACTGAACAAACAAGACATTGTTTAGAAGTCTAATTTGGGAAAATTACATTGTTCAATGTTTTGAAAAAATATAATAATAAACTTACTTCCCACATGCATTTTCTTATTCAATATTTATGGAAATATTCGCGGTATCATATATTTTATATTTTTCTTCATTGCTATATTTCTGCTAATAAATAGGCCTTTTCTACATATACGTTTTCTTACGCATGCTGAACTTCAGATCTCCCAAACAACAAACGCTAAATGTAAACTATATTTTCGAGTAATTTCAATATTTCAAAATGAACGGACATAATTATGCTGCTTTGATGCAATATGGTAATTATACTACATATTGAAGACGCACTTGTACCTTGTACAGACTCATCATTATTTTTACTTCAAATTAAGTTTTGATTATTTATTATTAAAAGATACATACTGATTTGCTATAATCTTTATTGTACTTCATTATATAGGGATTGAAGTATTTTATGTGTTTATAATAAAAAAGTTTTATATAAAACTAATAGTTTGTACATTAAACTATTAAAATACAAATTTCATAGAGAAACTCAGTAGAAAATTAGTACGTGAAAAATTATATTCTTTGTAGTTAATTGCTTTCAGGCTATTTCATATGAATATCCTTGTGATTCGACAATTCATAAAGCGATTTATAAATTTATACGATAATTTCAAAATACGAAACTTGTACATTTATAACAAATATGAAAGAAGGTTTATTATTTTCATTTATATGTATGCAAACTCAACCATTTTTTTTTTTTTAATTATTACTCTATGATACCCTTAACCAATGTAACATGCAATATGTGTATATATGATAAAGGCATTAATTTTAATAAAATAATTGCACTTTTTAAAAACTTAGAAATTCTACAGTAAAAAGGCATCCCAGCAAATAAGCCAATAAGAAAACGAAACTCTTTATATACTACAGAAAACCTCTCAGCCATTTATGGAAACTGAAAGTTTAGTAGTAAGTACAAAAGTTTACACGAAATTTTAATTCAGCTGTAAATAGAAAATTCTCTTTCTTGCATACATTGAGATGATATTTATGTAGCATACAATATATGTTGAAGGTTTTTAAAAATTAAGAAAGAAATTTAGATGCAATAAAAGTGTTATAATTTAAAGAAAATTCGATAAGACTGAAACACTGTAAATTAATACAGAACAAAAGAATATAAACATAATACATAGCCTTACCAATAACACCATTCCAACTAATGTCACAAACTAAAAGTCTACTACAGCACTACATCGAGTCTTGTAAGAGGTATAAGAGTGCGTCACCTGAACCGTTTTTCTTAAGGTGGCGAGTGGTGGGCCAGTGAACTGTGTGTTCAGCCTACTTACAGCCGGCACTGAGGCTAAACGATAGGTAGTGCCTGGAGATGGTGCAGCAACCACTGCATTCCCCGCTATACTATTTGGTGTAACTGTAGTACCAGCCGGAGTACCTGCAGTCGGAGGTGGTCCTACCCTTATTAACTGATACTGTCCAGTTTCTGTTTTTAATAATATATGACCCTGAGTCCCAGGTTGAAGACCATGAAGCGTTTGTAATGTTATCTAAAAATTTTTAAACAAATACTGTAACAATGTCCTACAATACAGAAATTTATGAAAAAGAAAAATACAAAATTTGTATGACAAACATGCATGAAAAAATGTTTCCGATAATATATTATTAGATTTAGATAAGATGTACATATAAATGTGAAAATTATATGAATTATCAACATGACCTTTAGATGTACACATAGATTTGTTTACAAACTATGAATATCTTACCCCTGGAGCTCCAGGTCTTGTTCCAATCATATGTTGACCAATTACTACTCTAGACGCAACTTGTTTCCCTGCCTGCTGTCCTACCACTGGTGTGCCAGGACGCATTGCATTCACATTAAGAATTTGCACATTGCTGGGCACTATTGTAGATGTAACCCCAGCCTTACCCTGTAGTGCTGTGCTGACAGCATTGCCAGACACAGAAACAGGAACAGACATTGGAACGGAAACCATACCACTGGGTGCTACACTAGTCTTTATCACTAAAGCTGTACCTGTCGGCTTATTTACACTAGCCACTGTTTGACTACCCGTTTCACTAACGGAGCTAACATTAGTTACAACATTCGATGATGTCTGTAACACTCCCTGGGATGTTATTCCCAAAGTACCATTTGCTAGCTGTCCAACAGTTTGCGCAGGAAAGGAAAGTTTATTATTGACATTTGCTACCCCCGTGGTTGCTATTACCTGACCAACAGTCGGATAAATAATCTTGACAGGCTCGTGTGCTTTAGTAAGGCTTGGTATGTGTGTTGTTTGATTACTGGTCACCTGGTTTGTAGTAACTTGATTGATATAAGCAGCAGGGGGGACTGCTGATTGTGTATGCTGTTGCTGTTGTGTAGTAACCTGTGGCGCCACTGTGTTTGAGGTAACCACGTTTACTGGGAGAAGAGTGCTCGTGGTAATGGACTTCGTAACTTCTTGAGTCATCAGACTATTTACTGTAGTAGCACCGCCACCGTTCGAAACACCATGTTTCTGTGGCTGTACCGCGTTGATGGTGCCCCCGTTGGAAATACCACTGTTCACCTGATGATTCTGCTGGCTGACTGACGCAGAACTTGCTTGATGACCAGCGACAGCCGGCGTCGATGTTACCAGTTGCGTCTCAAGGGAGCCCACTATCGCGTTCACTGCGGATTCATCGACGTCCGTGCTCAGAGCTTCCTCCAGAAACTTAGCTGACGCCATTTTCTTCCAAGCTCCAACTGTAAACTGATCTGCGCATGCGCCTGTCGCAAATTGTTCCCATGGTGCATTGCCCCCCCTAGCGCAGCTGAAAATTATACGCGGCCTTTCTTCTGTTTACCATCCGGCGGTACTCGAATTGATTAATATTTCTCACCATAGTGAAAAATTCTATCAATCTCTTTTCATTTGTATGACGAATTACCATGTTCTCTGCCACCGGAGCATCGGGAAAGCGATTATCGCCATATTACGTACAATGTCGTTCATTTATGTTATGGCTGTCAATACTCGGCATGCAAACACGTCACCCGCCAAAATGGCTATCTTCCAAACTGTAGATTCGTACACGATTCGTTTCTTTGATAACGATGTCATGTTGGCATACAATTCGAAAAATTATAAAAAATTTATAAAAATTTTTAATCCCTGAGAGCTCTATACATTTACTTCCTTCAAGTATACCGTTAATAACAGTTGCTTCGAACATATGTATTCCGTAATCAATCATTTCCGACCACTGAGTCGATTTTGCGTTCCGCAATGCTTCGACGTTGAAACATTTCTATATTGTGAACAAGACCTAAGGATTTCAAGCGATCCAACGCCCTCTACACGGAACGGATGCTACTTTCTTGGTTAATATATCCTATCTTGTCTGCATCGTATATTTAATGCAATTCTAAATATGAAAGAATTTAAATTTTCATGCGAAATATTCATATTTATTACATATGTATAGTAATATTATACATTCCTTTGAAAAAATCAAAGCAAAGTATTACATTCACAATAAAAATTTAATACATATATACATACACTTTTTCGCGTTTACGTATTATATACATTCTTCTAACGTACGTTGAACGACTTATAAAATTGTTGTATTTTACGTCGTATAACGTACAGTAGTCAACAGTATTTTATTAAAGTATTTATACATCACATTTGTAGTCGAGAATATGAAATTCTTATGCGATATGTTCCGACTAATTTCTGTTGTAAATCATAATAATCGTGACATCTCTTAGTATAGTATGTAAACGCTATGTAATGTGTCACGTGATCTCTGTATTGTTCTTGTTTCCCGATTTCCGGCTCTGTACGCTCCTTCACTCACTTTCGTCTCGTCAGCCGTATTATAAACACAACAGCGACTCTTCGTGTACAGTTGAATATGTGTTAAAATAAATTCCTTTACAATAAACCAAACTACAACAATTTCAACTAATCTAGAAAAGAGATCTTCGTATTCTGTTTACGTTTTAATCATGTCAAGTTCTTTTTATTCTACTTTTAACCTGTATTAAAGACGTTATAGTGATATAGATTTGTTTATTATTAAATTAGACTCAGTGTTATATTTCGAATGGTTATCAGCTTATTATTTAAATAATCGCGTCAACGTATAATTGCATAAAACTTTGGACGATATGAACGATTAAATAAATGTGAAGCACACTATGTCAATGTATCACAAAATATGAATTAAAATTTATTATGACTGTGGCGACCAATGAGGCCAAGTTTTTATGACACTGTACAAAGCGTCACCCGGGCTTAATGTCGGAGAGACTTGTCGGTGCCCTAATAGCTTGTAATCCGGCGCGATTTTACCCTTTTCTACGCCCAATTCGATGATCCGTTGCGCGGCATATAATTGATTTTTCGGTGGTATAACGTTATTAAATGTACCGATAAAAGAAATACCTATACTTATGTTATTATATCCAAAGGAATGGGCACCTATGTAATCCCAACTCCGGCCAACATATACAAGCCCATCGCCGCCAACGAGAAAATTATAACCGATATCCGCCCATTTTCGAGACTCAATATGAAACGTTTGGGCAAACCGAACGTGGAATGTACATTCCGATTGAGTCGAACAGAACTCGGTAACTGTGTGACTTATAATCACATACGGTACCGGAAGTTTTAGTTTTGTCAAAGGCCCTGAAGGCGGTTGAGCACCCCATTCGTTACGTTCGACAAAACGTACATTTTTCGCGTCAACATCTGCAACTTAAATATTACAATTTTATTGAGACGAAAAATATCGACATATTTCGCGATAAACCAAGAACGCATTAATAACTATACACGTTTATACGTTATACGTTATCAGTATCCGGTGTATTTACGTAAACAACATATGATAGATACCTGGTATTTCCGGGAAAACAGGTGCCGATGGAATAGCAACATTGTTCGCGATGTAGACGCAAGCAAAGATCACAGCAGTCGCAATTAAAACTAGTACACAAAAAATCACCGCGCATCTACGAGTCCATAACCAGTCCGTTACTGAAATAATAAACAAAGAATCAAAATTTATCAAACACGGAAGAACTGACTACTGCTGATATACTAAGGATACTCTATTTTAATCTTTGTCAATGAGCCGTTATCTTCGTATCTAGCGATTTTTCAAATAATTACTTTCAAACCTATTTATTAAATAAATCTTAAACCACGACCTCGCCTACCGTTACTTTTTCTAGATTGTTATCGAATTCATCTAATAATCTCGCAAAGATAGAATTCAAGTGTCGCTGGAGTTGGCGGATTAGATAGAAGACGTTTGTTTGTGTTCAGCAATGACCGATTTAGATAAAATATTCTAACTCTAATTCTAGAAGCTATTAAAATGTCATCGATAAGATCTACAATATTGATTTATTCTTAATTGTTTCATGACTTTATATATTTGGTTTATAACCCCCCACCGGGGTCGCGTTTATTGGTCTTCGTAAAATCTTTACACGACAGACTGTATAAATGAAATATACAGGCAATTTTCATTTTACGAATTTAACACAATTTTCAATGGAAACAATTTAATTGTCGGGAACAGGTATTGGAATGAATAAATCCAGAATGGCGAGAATTACCCGTATTTACACAGTGCTCTTATCATAATCACCTTTATCGACGGCAGGATTTTGAGACAAGATTGGTCTGTTGGCATTGGCAGACAGATCTCCGTTAGCGGTTGATAAATCAGATGCGTTGGTATTCGAGACACGACTGGTGTTGCCCGTAACCGTGTCGCAGTCCTTTATCGCAATTGGATTCGTGTAAATGAACTGCTTTATTGTCACCGGATCTTTGTAAAATATCTTGTTACCAAGATGCACATTAGCTGAATTCTTTACGCAGACATCGCCGAAGTTCGAGGCGTCGGCGTGAGGTAGCGCCACATTCCCATTCGTGGTGGCCACTTGGTGTTGCTGGAACACCGTCGGCACAGGTAAATCGATTATCCATTCTCCATCCTCGATATCGGTCTCATCATCTTCGTCCTCGTCCTCTACGTCACTGCACTGCGTAGAGGAACCAACAAAGTTGTCATTTCCAGCGACGACGACCGCGGTGTCCGTGGGGGTGTGTACAATTTCGCCACAATTGCTCACAGTCTCGTGACTCTCGATGGCAATGTGACAATTGGCTTGTTCCTGGTCCTTCTGGTATCGGTTCCCGTCCGGTACTGTTTGCTGATGCTGCTGCACCAATGTCACCATGCCCACGCACTGAAGAAGAACGTTCCATGCTATCGTTTTGTTCCGAAATTTGAATCACGGCTCGATCATAAAGCGTGATTATTTACCTCGATTATAATGCACGATAAGTTATGTACGATCGATAATCAAGAGAAACGGTTCAATGAGTTAACGAAATTTAACGCATTAACGAAAGATGTATAATGATGATAACACATTGATTAATGTAACGCAACACGAATAGCATACAGTGTTCCATCTTAATCTTGAAAAATACATAAAATGCATAATCTGTTTTTTCGAAATATTTTTTCTAACCTAACCTAACCCTGTATGGATTATCTGATACAAATCTTAGTAGACTCTACATTGAGGTAAAGTAACCGAGTCTAATAGGTCAATGCTTCTTGTTAACGGTTCATAAACTCAGGTTTGTACAGTCACGTGTAGTACGTGCAATCTATACTTGTGAATTCTAGGACACTACGTACTGTTTCATGTACTTTGCATACGATGTAGCAACGTAAACATTCGTACAGCGGCTACACTTCTATGAAATACTCTGAATTTTAAATTGTTGAAAAATGAATCTTTTACATTTGCAATTAATTATAGCATAAGAAACCTACAGTAAATATTAAATTTTCAAAAGCACTAATTCATTAATCCATTAAGTCAATGATTTTCGAAAGTTATTAAACGACGATTTCGTATAATGCGTCATAACGCTAGTATGCTAATTTTGGCTTCCGGAGATCGTAAAACTCAAACTCACAGTCGTTCAAAACTATCTTTTCGATCGATATTTGTTCAACAACCATACTGACAAAGGCTTACTCTGTTACTAAGTTGTCATCGTCGAGATAAAAGATATTACGACTTTTTCTTGTTTAAATGGCCTACCATTTTATTCGTGGCATTGTAGAGCGTGCTATTCGTGTCGTTAAAGGGCAAAGTTTATCGTATCAGACAAAATTTACGCAATTACCGAGGATTGTACGCGACAAAATAAAAAAAAAAGTCACTTTTATTCGAACGGAAGTGTATCAGAAGTTACGGTAAAAATGATACAGCAGATGGTGCTATAAATGATAATAACAATGGCGATAAGGTTTGAAAAAAGTTGTAACAATGATGGACACCGATAAAATTGATTTTAATCGATCCGGTTGTTTCTCTTTGTGCGGTACAACTGAAATGTAATTACCTCGTACAAATCATCGTTTCCCTTATCCGCGGTCACTGCCAGCGTTTGATCACCACTAATTACAACATGGCGTCTTCTTAAACGAGTTTCCTTCGTCGGTGCTCGATGGAAATGTCTCTACAAGCTTTTACAAAGTTGCACGATTACCAACAGTAACTTGCACCACGATATAACGATCCGTTGATTATCAAAAACTCGTTTATAAATTACGCATTAACGACCTCATCGCGATTCTACGACACTGTCGCGGGCACTGCAGCCGGTTAAACCACGCATCTTCCGAAGGCCACAGCTGCAGCTAAAACTTGTACGCGACACGACTTTTATTTAAATCTCCTCGGTGATCCTTGACATACCAAACGAGATTCTTAACGAAAACCGCAGGGTTCTATAACCGATTCGATAAACGGCACATCCGTAACGTCCCGTGGATTCTTTTGTTAGTACGTCGTATCGTGTATCGTTGGTTTTGTAATTCTACGTCACTGCTTCGTGACGTGGGACGAGTTTTCACGAAGGACGTGACTGTCGTTAACGCTGCTCGCTGGAGGAAGAAATCTTCGTGGTCTCCGATACGTCATACGAGTAAATTGAAATAAAAATGAAAAAACCCAAAAACTGGTCGATGGTAGAAAGTCCACACGACTTGGCGACGATTTCCCTTGTAACGCGCCGTACGATAGGAACGGAAGTGACGATCAATTGAAACTAAACCGTTGACGGGTTCGGATCGCGACCGATGTTGATATGCATTATCTTTCCGCTAATCGTCACCGTGACGAACTGTCGGTGTTTCGACGATCGAGCTGCGAAATTGCTTCCAACCCCACTCTGTATCTTTCTGTCTTCGTCTGGACATTCTGTAGGAGTGTTCGCGTGTGCACACGATCGTCGAATTACATAGATTTCCAGTTTGTTACTCATGGAATTTCTGATACACCTACATGATGCGACAGTGCAGACGAACCGTCAGGTTAAGCTAGGGTTTTCCCAGTTTACTCTCACGATTGTCATGATCGTGTCCGAAATAGAGGTAAACAGGTATCATTTATAGGTTTTCGATCGATCGATTCTATTTATAAATCAGTATACGAACTGAATGAATCTCTTCGATGGGTGTATCATTGTAATTGTACACACTTTCGCCGCAATAAAAATCGCGTTACGTCCATCGATACTGTAAGTAAACACACGAGCTGGTAAAAGATATTTGTATCTTGTTGAACTTTATCTGTCGAAGCGATATGTGCAAGTACATCCGTACATAAGCAGTATAGAAACGCTAATCTCGTGTACATATTCTATAAAGCTATTAATATATTATAACCTTAAAAAATGTGATAGATATTCACATTTTAAGCGACACTGTTTTCCTTAATGATAAAATGATTCGGTCTTCGGTTAAGCAATGCAAAACGTAGAACGTTCGAAGACACTTCTCTTAGTAATCACGGTAAAAAACGATTTACAATCACGTATTCTAACGACGTTTGCGGTAATTGCGTGTGATCAAAGGTAGAGATAAAACTAAACTTTCTAAGCACGTACTTAAGATAAAATTCTTCATTTCACTTTGTGCAATTAAAAAAAGATAAACATTGCACTCAAAACTATATCTATTTATTATATACGCATAAATATTGATTGAAAACTAATCGTAACTTTTGATTTCGATACTGTTACAAGTTCTATGCATGAAATTTAAATAATTGATGATTTAACAATTCTATCAAGTTTTAAATGAATGTAATCATACTTTTACATTTAACGTTTGCTCTGTGCGTAGAATGCCTCGAAGTAATTGCGAGATGTACATTCGTGAATCATCAACTGATAAAAATATAATATACATTGCTAAATGTTTTGAAAATCAACGTCGTTACACGCGGCTATTAAAAATCTTATTCATTATTCATTATTATTCATAACGTACAACTGTTACGAGTTGAATTGTTTACGTGAACGGAATCTTACGGAATTAAATACACGGAATGCTCGAAAAATGAAATATGTAATCAAGACTTTTATTAAAGCACGCCTACGATGCTTGAAAAATGAAAATGCATCGACAGATAATTAGTGAATTTATTTATTTGCGATTTTTAACTGTTTTATCGCACATTATGTCTGCGACATCTTACGGTGGCCTGTTGAACTACTTTCGAATGTTACCTTTCACCGATCAAATAGCACCCTATTAACAACTCTACATCTGCATAATTTTATTTACTGACATTTGTGCTTTCAAGTAGAAAACCTTTCTTAAACCGATAAATGCGTATAAACGTATTTAAATATGTTGACAGTACAATTTGGACAATGTGGAAATCAACTAGGGCACACATTATTTTCAAAATTATCAGCTGACATAGAATGTGTGAATACAGGTGTATCCTATAATACTAATTATCAATATTCAGAAGATACATTTAATAAATGGTTTAATGGTATTTCTAAACAAGGTAAACGTTTAGCAAGGGCAATTCTTGTAGATACAGAACAGAAAGTAATAAATAAAATGTGCAATGACACAACTATTCCATGGACGTATTGGAACAAAAATATAATTTGTCAAGCTGATGGGGGTTGTGCAAACAACTGGGCATACGGTTATTTGATAAAAGGATACAAATTGAGCGATATGATACTAAATGCAATAAGACAAGAAATAGAAAAAACTGACCATTTTGATGGATTTCTTTTACTTTTAAGTTCAGCGGGTGGAACAGGGTCTGGTATTGGGAGCAACATTGCACAACTATTGCGAGAAGAATATGAAACAAAATCAATTGTTACAACAACAATATTACCATTTTCATTTGGTGAAGTGTGCACCCAAAACTATAATACATTATTTACTTTAGCAAAACTGTACAATCAAAGTGACATGAATATTATATTTGAAAATGAACAAATTCATAATATATGTAAAAATCTATTACAAAAGTCAGCCACAAGTTTACAAGATATAAATGAAATTATTTCAGAAAAATTATTAGCTGTTTTCCAGCCAATAAATCATGCAAGACATAGCATAAATTCAATAGTGTCTCAAATAGCATCGCATCCTTCTTATAAATTAGCAACAATTAAAAGTACTCCACATATAAGTACAACATCTTCTGAATATGAACCTGTATGTAATTGGAGTTCGTATGTACATCATTTAAAACAAACACTTCGAATGCCTAATTTAAATTCACAGCTGACTGATCTTGAACTAAAAATGCCATCCGGTTCAAGAGGAAGTACCACACATCATGTTTACACCTGTTCAATATCGAATATTCTAGTAACACGTGGTCCTACAACAAACGAAGACTTTATATTACCTGATGAATTTAGAAAGAAACATTTATATGCAAACTGGAATACAACTGATTGGTTTTCCCATTTGCACCAAAAACGAAAACTGTTAAATCATGATAAATTTCTTGCTTTGATTACAAATAATTCTCAAATTTGTCATCCTATGAACATACTTTTAGATAAAACTTGGAAATCTTACATTCATGCTGCATTTTTGCATCAATATAAACAATTTGGCTTGGAAGAGGATGATTTTTTACAAGCATTTGCAGTAGTTGAAAACATTGTGAAAGAGTACAAGGAATTAGTTCCACACGCAAAATCATAATTAATTTAATTTTATGAACTATTTTTAATCTTGAATATTTCTTTTACAAATAAAAAATTCAAATACTGCATACGCGAGAGCTAAGAAACGTGTATGTGAGAGGGTAATTATGACGTCATTAGAGAATCGACCAACTTGCGACGCCGAAAATGCATACACATGCGTCAAAAGATGCAACGACGGCAGGGAGAATGTAAAGAACAAAGGAAGATGGAATGAAAATATGAAGAAAAAAGGAGGAATAGACCGAGGGCGGCTTTAAGTTCAACGTGGGGAGAGTGGGATGAAACAGAACGGGCTACCCAGCTAAACACATCCCTTCTACAACTTTTACATGTTCTGCGCTTGTGCAAAGGGACGACCGAATTCGTGGAACAATATAAATGCAGAACGAAAAAGCCCTGACCGTTTCCGAGAAATGATGGAAAGACTTGGGAATCGATGGTCATTTCTACTTCCTTAAATATTTTTATATCTATCCCAGGAGAGTAAAAAAAATAAATTTCTTGGCAATGCTTCCATTACTGATATTGCAAATATTGTCTGATACAATACAATTTTTTAAATATAATTGTACATAAACGTAATAAAAATGTATATACAATTGATAAAGATTTCAACAACGAATGAAGTATTTAATACTTTCAGATTATTTCAAGGGTATCACAATTCATATTTACAAAAATACGCAATCTAAAATATGTAATGGAAAACGTTAAAAATAAAAACAAATCCTTAGATTCACTAATAGTTGAAATTATCTAGTGAAACGTCCTGCCATAGCTACGTAAGGTGCCTCAAGGTCAAAGTTTTAGACACGTTACGTAAAAGTAGAAAAAGAAGAATGATCTATAGTGTGGTGAATACTACATAAACAACGACAGATGCACTATCCGCACCGCTCTCTAGCATCAGTCAAGCGTTACAGGTACAGCCACGATTGTCAAGAACTCGTTTGCTGCCCCTTCATCACCCCCACTGCATATCCTAACTATTGAGCACCTTAAGATTAAACGTACCACCCCACCACTAATCTCCTAGACCCTACGATAGTGTGTGTCGTCAGAAAAAAAAAGAGAAAAGATTTATATATAACTGTTACTTCGTATTTTTCAAGGAATAAAGAATTCACATTAAATTCATAAAATCTTTTTCCTTTCTTAATAAAACAAAAAAATAATGCACCAAAGTTTTCTGTTAGCGATTTTTGCTAATACATACGGGGTAGAAGGAAGTAACATGTAAAGTTGTGGCGCCATCTAACGTAATCAGGGACGCACGCTCGTTAGTTCTCAAATGTTTGTTTATTATAGAAATATTTCAAGGTACGACAGTCTCTATATAACATCTATGACCATAATATCGAACAATAAAATCGGTTAAAGCCTTTATGGTGAAACAGTCATAAAAATATACAAACAGAGGTTATATTTTTATACCGTATATTTTGGAAGCATGCGTCCCTGCAAGCCTGCATACAGCACACAGCACAATAGGTAGTGAATCGGTGTGCGCGACTCGAATACTAAGAGGCGTGGTTTGAATAGATGGACCTGTTCCAACTTTGTCCCCCTCTGCTGTATAATACAGTGACGCCGTCTTTATACGCAATACAGAACAAGCGCACTCTGGTGTCGAAGCCGCGGACGACAGAGCGCGCCATTTTGTTTAGTGTCCGCTGGACGCGTCGTGCGTCGGGGTGTTGCGGGGTTGTTTTCATGACCGTCAACAAAAAGATATTCGCGGCTCTTTGAGCTTGCGTATAACTCGGACTAATACGTACAGTGTCACGTTCAAGAAAGTGCAATACGTGCATATTCGTCCGTATGATTATCGTGACGTGCAAAACGAGGATAATTTCCCCGAGAGAGTCGAAGACTCTTGAGCATCTTATAGTGTCAGACTCAGCAGTTGCGAAGGCTTCACAAATGCATGGCGCCAGTTACAACTTTATGGATACTTCGTAGGGAATCGTCGTTGTCGCCGTCGCTGTCGGCAGAAATTTTTTCTCCAGGTAAGAAGAGGGGTAGTGGCATGAGCTTAATCGATAAAGCGTCTCCCATTCTCTTCCTCTTCCTTGGTTCCAAACACGAGAGTCTCGTTCGATTTGTTCTATACTTTTTGCAAAAACGCGACGCTTCATGCTTCGGCGAGTTTTTCATGCCAAATATCGCGAGCCCCTGGCCACGATAGTGTCCCGCTTGTGCAAGCCGCTCGAGGAAAGTGAAAGCTCGTTCCCAATCGTTCTGCATTGAGTACGGATCTCGTTGCGTCCGTCGCAGCGGCACATGTTTTGTACTACTCTCTTGCAGTGTTACACGGATTGAAACGTCACTAGGGTCGAACTGTCGACACTTCGAACTGCACTCCGTTTACCATTTCGATAGATGCGTCGGTTATTTTTATACGAACGAATAAAATAGAATTCTTAAAGGGGCAGCGTTACAATCGAAATGGATTTTCGAAACATTTCTTAAAACTTCGAACAATGATATCAAAACCCAAAATGAGTATTAATGATTTCGTATTACCTGATGTATTCGAAACCAGTAAAATATTAAAATTGTGCACTGGGATAAGCAAATATTTACAATTTATATTTCAAGAATATTATATTTCTGAGAGAAATTTTTCTTGTTGGAATTCGTTATACTTCCAATTATGTACGTATACTTTTTGTGTATTCAAATTTTAACAATTTTTATATTTCTCTTGCCACGTATCCTCATTATATCGATTATATTAAATTTCAAATATAATAAAATTAATTTTTCAAAATATTATTGAAACTGCGTTTATTTAAAACTTAGCCGTAACAATGCATATGCCGATCACTGATATTGTAGCAGCGTCGCGATCACTGAATTTATCGAGTGATTTCAATGCCAGGATGTGCAGTATAATTCTGTTGCTTTAGCGAAATATTTAACAATACGTAAGTCCTATTTTTACGTGGTTATACAAAATTGCATAACAAAAGTGACGTAAACGCGTATAGATAAAAAGATGGTAATAATCAAACTTAATCAATTAGCACCGTTTGTATTTATTCTGTTGTACTTATATTGTTTCGCGTTGCTCGTTCATTTAATTGTATGTTTCTATTCCGAAACTGTATTATCCATCGACCTCGATATTAGGAAATATTTTTAGACTATTATAAAACCCGATAGCCGTTTCAAATATAACGAAGTTATGCACATGCACGTATGTGACGAATATTTCAAGGGTTGAAGGTGATGTAATATATTCCGTTAGCTTTATTAAATTTGTCGCTTCACGTTAGTCACCGAGTTGTTAACAGTGCCTAAAAAAGAAGGGGTGCAACATGCTCACTCTTTTGGAACATCGATCCGTTAACTCAAGCAAAATTTGAAGTGTACGTGCCTTTTTCTGTATGAAACAACAGCAGTTCTCAAACATACCAAATAACAATGAAAAAGAGGAAAAGAATTATTTTTTTTTTATCTTTAGCATTATCCTATTTTGATAGTTTTTAGTAAATGATTTACTACAGTTATATCCAATGTCTATTGAGCTTAATGGTACAAGTCCCTTTTGTACAGTACATGTAATCGTTCAAGTCGATCAATAAAACGTATTTCATTGAAACGATGTGATTATTGCAGTTCCTGTTATGCATTTTCTTTGTAATTGGAATTAAACTTTGACTGACACGAGATTTAGAAGGTTTCGGGGGTTGCTAGTAGCGTGTTAGAAGCTTACCTAGCTTGAATACAGGTGCTTGGGATTAATCCAAGGCACGCCTACGAGTGACTCACTGTACAAAACTTCGTATTCTTTTTTTTTTTTTTTTTTTTTTCGTGGTGCGAAAGGGTGCCGCGTTCAAACCAGTATATGGTAGTTATAGATCTGGTTGGATGCGTAATTAACTCGTTTGTTCTACTTTTCGACCAAATAGCGAATATAAAAAATCTACGATTTAATATCATGTCGGATGATACGTAAATTTAATTGAAATCCCAAATTTCTCCTATCATGTAAATTTTAATCATAATTCGTTAAGAAAAATACCTTTACTCGGAATGTTGATTCATTTTTTCAAAGATCTTCTTGATCGTTAGCTGAGAAATGCAAATAATACGGTCCTGCCTGATATAAGGAATTTACACGAAAAACAAAACCACGGTTAAGTTAGGTATGTGACGGTCACATACCACGCCTGTTACTAGATCGGCATTCCATTGAACCCAACCTCCCCATATTATGCCAAAGGTGATTTCTTATTCGTCTCTTCTCCTTTTCATCCGTTGCCTCATTCTCTGTAACACGGTAACGGATAACATTACATTTTGCACGTGTTATGCGTTTACGCGTGTACACAATGGGGTAAACAGAAACATTTCTAATGTGATAAGAAAAGAATTTGTGACGTAAGAAAACATTCTACTTAACAAGCGTTTTAACTCCTGTTTTAGAAATTGAATACGGAAAGATAGACAAGAATGCGCACCCCTGCTGAGACCGAGACACTACCTCAACCTGAGATGTATAAACTTGAATTTCAGGAAACGGAAGCACCGTCGGGTGTTAATGAAGTTGTTTTATCACCTTCGCACCCAGAAACGCATATATTTACTAATAGGTAAGAGTACCGGAGATAAACAAATCGATGCACGACAAATATATAAATTCGATACGTGCACTAATAATCTGCGTGCACGTGTATTTTATAATAATATACGCCCAAGACTATAATCTCTAATAAATATACATTTGAAACAACGCGCTTCCTTGTTAAAGTTACGCGCGTAGAGTCACGCATGCGTATGCTTAATCGCTTGTTGTGCGTCTACCGTAAATTATTATTTCAAACTGTAGCACTAAGAAGAATAGAAAACAATTCTGACTCGTACCATCGATTTCGACAAGTATTCTAGCATACGCGTTAACGCTACGAATATGTTGAAGATTCGTAAACAACGCGAGTTTAAATATTATCGAACCACATGCATCGGCAGCTGCGAACAATACATTACACTTGATCGTCACGCGTATGTCATATTGAAGGAGCGAACGGTAAATGCCGGCCCTCTGCCGGCGAATTCGCCAGTTTACGATATGTCTCGGGCTCGTGTATATCGTCTGTAGTTTTCACGTACTTATTTGTTGCTCGTCTCGCAAACGTTCGGTCGGTGGCATGATTTTGTAACACTTTCTGTCAGTGCATGCGACACGAGTGTTATATCCATATGCTACGCGTTGTACGATGGTTTTTACACGGCTTTTCCTCAGGAAGACGCGGAACGACGATGCGGCCGTTCCAAACAACGTCGGTACGAGGAGGTGAGCTCGAAGGCCAAATCGTCGGAATGCGCTTCCGATAACGGCACCATCGTTGACGGCTTCGATCTTGTCCTCGTACCAATACATCCGCATACAAACTCGCGTTTTCCAATTTTTTTTCATTTATCAGATACCCGTAACATAGTTTCCGTTTGCACGATCTGTTTGCACTCGCATCTTTCCATCCTTCGCGATTTTACACATAATTTTAACGCGCGATTCCACATCCTTAACGAACCTGAAATACATATTCTCATAAAACGATACAGCATAGGATGCATAATAGATTTCGAAGTAGTGTAACTTGTAGTGTCTATTCTACGGTTACCTATATTGCTGGCGATATATCGTTTTACGTGTAACATTACTTGTTTTGATTTACGCTTACGATTTATAATTGTTGGTTAAACATTTGACAGGTGTACAAATCACGTAAAAAAAGCATTCTAACGAGTATGATGCCCTTATTTTCTTATTGATTTTTAATTATTTACTTCGCGACATTTTATGAAAGACAATATTCGTGTTCATTGCTAATTTTGTATGGTATGCTTTATGTGGTTTGTATTGTATTTTTTTATTAAATTATTTTTATGTCGAAAATGAACGAACAGTGCTTCAAATTTACAGAGATACTTAACTGCATGTTATATTTCTTGAATAACACAATTTCCTCGAAGAAAGTTACTCGACTGCGAGCATAATAACGCGATTGTATCGTCAGCTGACTGTTTGCACCGTGATAAGACCAAACTGCAAATCAAAACAATAATTTATTTCTCACTAATTTCATAATCTCCATAGGACTTTTTTTTAAATTGGCTTAATTATCTTACTTACAATTTCTTCGATTTATATCGCGTATAAATCGAATACACGTTCGGCTATCGTTCGAATATTAAAATCAAATAATTATTTCTTCGTTTCTTTATATGCTCTGTTCTTCAATTAAGATACTTTTAGAAACAATTCTTCATTTTGAACGAATAAAATAATATTTGAAATGGAAGCTCATAAAATAATTTACTTTTCTTAAATTATTCTAGTGACTATGTCCGCACTGTCCGTTATTGTAATTATGAAGCTTTAAATGGATGAAAAGCCCTTGAAGTATTTGGTAGCATTGCAACACGTATCCGTTAAATCAATAATTGATAATCGACTCGTATATAAAACCCCGCTTAAACATGAATTTATTACTTTTTTTTTTTTACATTAATAAATATACATATACGATTTCCTTGCTTAGCGCGTAAATATTATTATTTGTGCATTTATTTAAGTTCGTAATGATCATTATACATATATGTATAGGTATCGCGAGATGCAACATAAAGAAAGTATATACAAATTTTACCATATGTACACACACAAGCACATAAGATAAACTTCCACGGATACATCACGTTTTCCGTCATCTTTGACCTAAACATTACTAATCACGCGCGACCTTGAAAACTTCTCTCAGAATATGTTAAAAATTACAAAAAATAAATGGAAAATAGTTCTAATGATTTGTCATATTTTATATGTATTATTCCAGGTTTGTAAATTAAATTAAGTAATACCGTTTTGTTAAAAAACAAAAGAAATAATTAATTCGTTTTTGGAAGTAATAACTGATAAAAATGCAATTTAGTTGTATAGATAAAATTGACTGTTAACATTTTTTAAAATTACCTGTAAATGATCATTTTTTTGATATCTTGTATCGTTTGTTTTAGCATGTTATGCATTCAAGAGGAATTGGGTCAGCTGAGTGGTATTGCTGGTGGTCCTATAATCACTGACACGCGTGATGTTCAATTACCTAATAACAATCATACCAATTCTGAAAGCAATAGTAATTCTAGTGAAACTGCAACAAAATGTACTCCAGGCTCTGTAACACTAGATGCACAAAGAACAAGTTGGGTAGAGGGTATACTAGGATGTATGCGTCCGGTGTGGACTATGCTTTCGAAAGCAGCTGTAAATGAGAAGATTAAAGGGCATCAAAGTAAATACTTATTTCCTACATGTTTTATACATTTTTTATAAATATAATTAATAAAAAATATTATTCCAGCGGATGATTGGGAAATACCGTTTGAATCAATTAGCGATCTTCAGTGGCTCGGGTCTGGAGCTCAGGGAGCAGTATTTAGCGGAAAATTAAATAAAGATGTCGTAGCTGTAAAAAAAGTACGTGAACCACGTGAGACTGATATACGACATTTACGAAAGCTTAATCATCCAAATATTGTTCAATTTAAGTAAGTTTCCAAACGTATTACCGAGGTGTAAAAATGTGTAATGTAACAATATAAAACGTCTCTATATACCTTTCAGAGGGGTCTGTACGCAAGCACCATGCTATTGTATAATAATGGAATTTTGTCCATATGGACCGTTATACGATCTTCTTAGGGCTGGAGAACCAGTTCCACCTCCAAGATTGGTATCATGGTCAAAACAGATTGCAGCTGGAATGGCTTATCTTCATGCACATAAAATTATACACAGAGATCTTAAAAGCCCAAAGTATGACGTTTAATGTAATATAACTCAGTTGTTATGATTTTTAGACTTACATTGACAAAAGGATTTAATTCACTGGAAATTATGCATTTGTATAGTATTGCGAATTTTTTCAGTGTGTTAATAGGACAAGGAGAAGTAGTAAAAATAAGTGATTTCGGGACAAGCAGAGAGTGGAATGAGATTAGTACAAGAATGAGTTTTGCCGGTACCGTTGCCTGGATGGCTCCCGAGATAATTAGAAACGAGCCCTGTTCTGAAAAAGTAGATATATGGTCGTACGGTGTGGTACTGTGGGAATTATTAAGTGGAGAAGTACCTTACAAAGATGTAGATTCTTCCGCGATTATTTGGGGCGTGGGCAATAACTCTCTTCATTTGCCAATTCCTGCAAGCTGCCCAGAAGGTTACAGGTTACTCGTGAAACAATGTTGGGCCGCAAAACCACGTAACAGACCTTCCTTTAAACACATTGAAATCCACCTTGGCATTGCGGCAGTTGAAGTATTATGTACAAAGCCTGATGATTATTTTAAAACACAGGTAAAACAATAGAAAGATTCTTAAGAAAACATAATACTATGTATAATATTAAAATATTTAATAATTGTGAAAATTACAGCAATCTTGGAAGAAGGAAATCAGGGATCACATGAAACAAATGCAAACAAATAGTTGTAGTAGTCCAAGGTTTGAAGCTGATCTGATCCGACGACGCGAGGATGAACTGAGGCATGCTCAAGATATTCGAGAACACTACGAACGTAAACTTGAACGTACAAATAATTTGTGCTTGGAGTTGAATGCTGTTTTGTTACAATTAGAACAGCGTGAACGAGAAGTGATCAAGTGAGTAGTAAATCGACATTTAAAATATGTTCGATAATAGAATGGTTATATGTAGTAATTTCGTTTGATTTTTTATTGTTCAGACGGGAACAACAAAATGGATATAAACAGTGTAAGAGACGTCTTGTACATCCTCTTTTAAAAGCTCAAGAAAGACTCCATCGTAGACGTAATCCTACAACACAATTTTCAACATCGTCTACACCAACGACTCCACCGTCGCCAACAGATTCTCCTCAGAGTCCGGTAAAAGCCACTATGTACACGCAATTAAATGAATCCAATAAACCGGAGACAATTTTAGCTCCTAGTAATAGTTTCAAACAACGCAAATACAGACATCGTAGAGTAGGATCCGGGTGTGGTGTGAGTTCTAGCCCAAGATCAAGTCCTCATCGTGAAAGAAAAGTATGTATTTATATACTAGAATATATACGTATATATTTTTATATATGTATGTATTCGGTGTGCACAGAGCGTAATGTTAAATACTCGTTTGTTTTCAGAGTACAGAAGTGTGTGTACGTTTCGTGGACAGTCAAACACAAACAGATATAATGCACATAAGTGAAACTGATTTTAGTCCCATTCTAAATACAACAGCAGCATCGCCAACAGAAAAGCTTTCTGTAAATAGCATTAATAAACAGTCATTAAGTAAACAAGTACCAGAGTGTTTAAATGGAAATTCAATTTTGTCCGAAGTTCATTATAGAATGCAATCTAGTCCTTGTTCCAGTCCTGAACCTACAAATGAAAATCATGCAAATGGAAATGAACGTTTAAAGGACTGTAGTGATGACGATAATCTTGAAACACTTGGCCGAAAAGTTAGTGAAATTATCAATGCTAATCGCCTTATTTCTCCGACAGATAATGGAAATTGTGACGATGTAATAATATCGCATAGGTAAGGTATATTTTATATACAAAATTTAATAACAATTATCATTATTATTATAAACAACAGTTAATAATCAATTTCAGGGGTAAAGAGGAATCGGTGAAATTATCTGGACATTTTTGTGGAATTATCGTTAACGGTACTAATGTACAACAAGAACAATCTGAAATTAAAACACGGCCTTGTTCTGATAGTGTAGATACTTTATGTGACCCTGAAGATGATGCTTATGAAGAAAGCTGGTCAGACGAAGAAGGCGAAGATCCAAGTTATACATATAATTATTCTCTTAGGAGAAGAAGGTACATTTTGAAAAACACAATCGCAAATATAATACGCTTTTGTAGTATAGATATATTTTAAACTAAAGAATTTCATACTTGTAGTATTGCAAGAAGGCCAATTGGTCCTGGATGTAGATTAAGAAGATTTAAACACGCAACAGTACGAATAGAACGGGTGTTGCCATCTGATGAGGAAAACACTTCCGAATATTCGCATCCTCCGTCCAGCCAATCCTCCACGTTAGAGAGCAATCCTGATGTGCAAAGAGAACTTCGTAACATACGTTATTCTCATAAGGTGGGTTAAAGTGCTTATTTCTTATTTATTGATATGTGAGATATAGTATGACATGTTAAAATTTTTGTTTTTATTCAGAGGAAAGGAATAGATGATGTTTCTGATACATCAAGTCAATCAGAAACAGATGAAGTCAGTGAGATTACAATTGCATCTCAACCGGTAGATGCAAATTCTAAAATAGAAAGCAGCGTTTAGATTAACACGATTTTTATATCTCACATTTACGAGTGATATGTTATAAGTACCTAATAGCAAGTGCATTTCTGTAGTGTATGTTCTCATTCGATCCTATGTTAAATATTGTAGATACTTATCCATTTAAGATATACGTTAGATATGTATGTACATTAATTTTACGCATTATTTATCAATGAAATGTTACATCAATATTCTAAACATTTTTGGACGTTAGCTGAAAATACGTGAAACAATTTTGAGTCACATTCTGAAACTAAGTACAACTTCTGTTATTTTATAGAAAATGTTCACCATCCAGGTACATTCAGTATATTAATTAATTCAATGAAAATGAACTTTCTATAATTATTTATAGTGTAGTTCACTCTATGTTATACAAAATGGACACTTAAAACTAATTACTTTTTCTATGAAAAAAAAAATATAGTATAGATTGATATTTTCAATAAGGGTGAAAATTTACAAACACATGTTTAGCGACATGTTACTATATAGTATTATTTGTAAATACATCCACCTCATACTTTCATACAAAGGGAAAGATAATTCATTGCTTCATAAAATATTCATTCCATTATCTCTTATTTTTTTATAGTTCCTTGTAGTAGGTATATCAATTGCAGCTAAGTATGAATTAATTGTTATCATGTATTGCATTTGTTTCACATTATTAACAAAAATTCAATTTTGGATTAATAATTTGTACAATGAATGCAAAATCAATTACTGATGATTGTATTCGTTAGTATGTATATATAGGGATTTACCGTAGTGTAGAAATCGATTAAAAAAAAAAAAATAGAAAACTCGTATGACTGTACGGTAGTCTACAAGAAAGTATTGTATATAAATACAATGAAGTCGTAAAAGAATAAATATTTCATTAGAAAGATATACACTTTAAGAAACGATTTAGGTAATAAGCAACCGAATGACAATGATTAAATAAATTTTACAACATAAGTGCCTGTGGCAATTTGCATAAAGTACACCAAACAATGACTATTAAAATATTAAAAAGAACAAAAAAAAAAACTTAAAAATGAATCAAGTTGTAATGTGCAATATGAAACAGTTAAAACTTATAATTGGAAATAAAATGATTTCGATACAATACGTTTTCAATTTTGCGAACGTTTTACTTTTGAGAATGAATTGAATTAAATTATGACATGAGGTATTACTCAAGTAATATCTAATCAGGTCTTCATTACACAGTGTCATGAAATATTCTTGATGCACTAAAAGTACATTTTTACAATTAATCTTATTATTGATGCATGTAATAGATTTTATTTCATTTCTCAATTATAAGATGAAAAAATCTAATTTAATAACTCTGTTTACAATAAAATTAGTATAAGTTGTATCGTAAACATAGCGAAAACAGTGCAGGTTGTCTGAGTTTCAAACCGAAACTCAACAATAGTATTGGACTGTACATGAAAGTCATACTCATTCTTTCAAATTAATAACAATAAGTATTGCAATTACGTATGCATAACTAGACGATATTGTCAACTCAATTGTCCAGAGTACTGTTCTGCATCCATCTATTGTACCTGCTTTGAAACTCAAATTGCCTTAATGACAATTACTATACATTGTAAATATAGACAATACAACGCGTACAATTAAGCAAATAGTAAATAAGATACATTATAACATTTTGATGTGCTCATTTGGACGAAGTAATTAATAAGACATACAGAGATGTACTTTCTAATAATCATACATATTGTATCGATTATATTTATGCAGGTAGTTGCATAAATTGTTCCTCCTTGTGCAGTGGCAGCTAAACTGACTAGTTCTATTATTCTTTAATAATAGAAGCGGTACATAAAATTTGTGTTACAAATAATAAAGTTGATTTACAATAATCTATTTGCTTCGTTTTATTGTGGTTAACCTTGTACAGATTATACCATCGATTGAATATTCAAATTTTGTTGAAATTAAATAAAATTCCTTCTAAGCAAAGTACAAGACCTCAATGATTGGTATTCATTAATATTTAGAAAATACATCATTTCATATTTGCGTCTGATTAAAAAATAAATATATTCATGTGAAGAAAACCAATAATACATACCACAATTTCACTTTATATAAAAATATATTAACTCACTAAAATACATATAATAAATATTCACACAGTCTCTTTCCAATAACCGAGGGTAATTTGAAACTCGGAGTTGAGTCGTCGAGAAAGCGGCAAATTCGAGCGAAGCCCGATATATCTCGAATTGAATTGTATCGAACGATCTCGAAACAGATCAACTGTCCCAGATATATCGAGCTTTGCTCAAATCCATCGTTTTCCTGATGGTTCGATAATGTAGAAATGAAAAAAGCGTATGCATTCTAATGCAAGAGAGTTTCTAATAGAAGAAATATATAATAATGAGATATTTCAAACATTTCAAACATTAAGAAACTGAATACAAGTTGAAAGAAATTAGCTTTTATAACATAAATGCTACATTGATACACATTTGTGTAATAAAATCCTTGTCCTGTACAACCATATTTACATTCTACAACTTAGTAGTTATAATTTCTTTTACTATACCATATGATTAGACCGAGGTTTTATGACTCATTTTATATCTTGTACTTTTTCAAGGTTTTATAATTCTTCGTTTAGTTATAAATTTGTAAGAAATTTAAATACATTGCATATATATATATACAGGCTAATAAAAAAAAAAATGTTAAGTAACAACATTAAATTTTCACTGCTATTTAGGATGTAAAGTAAAATTATGTTTGTCTACATTTTTTAATGTGTATACATTTGACAGTCTTGAAAATACATAGAAAAACTTAATGATCTGTGTATTTGTCACTCTTGTAATAAATATGATTATTTTATAAGTACATTATTAAAAGTGATGAGAAATGAACAAGTTGTCGCTCGTGATATAATGAAAAAATAAAAATCTAATAAATGTCATGGTATTACGAGATTATTAATCAGATATGCAATAATAAATTTGGTTGAAACATTTCGTTAACGAATTAACAACTTCAAACGTTCACTACTTTTATTATATTTTTTTGCCGATCATAAAATAAAAAAATTATGCTTAATGTTAACTACTTTTGAATTTACCAATAAAACGAATTCTGAAGAAATTCGGTAGTAGATTTGTATATTGATGAAGCACTTTGTCTTAATCCAGTAAATAAAGATACAACACCCTCTTTTTCATCTTCTTGCTCGTCTTCTTCTGGCAAATAATCTGGCATATCATCAGTGTCACAATTGTCTTCTGTATTAATCTGCAAATTACATCATGTATCATTAAGAAAATATGTAATTCAATTTACATGTATATATTTACCAGTGGAACAAGATACTCTTGGTTGAATTTATTTCTTGTAACCAATCTTGCTTCCATGGTCTCTGCATTGTTTTGAATAGCTTCTGCAATTTGTTTCGCTGTGACATAACTTAGCGTACGCATCGTAACACGCTGATGTTCTACATCGACTACAAGAGAAACCAATCCGTCGATTCTTATCAGTATTGATTCCAAATCTGAACGGGTCTCCTATTTCACATATCATTGGTATGAAATGCTAAATTTGTAATAGTAAGGCACGCATGTATTGCTTGAACTTACTGGTAATAGCCCTTGAATGTGTAACACGATAACATGAGTTTTTAGTTTTTTAGGTTCAATAACTCTTCTACATCTACTACGTAGATTATATATCGGGGGTTTCATTCTTTCTATGTCATCTTTTATATACTGAGCTCGGTTAGCTATCTTTGGTTCATCTATATTGTACTTATTTATAATTGCATCCAGGGCTTCCCGAACACCAAAGGTAGAGGTTATGTGTACATAATTATCCACATTTTTAACAAATAATTCGAGAATATCTAAGCTCAGAGTCATAATTTCAACATCGGGTACTTCTAAAACGTATGCTACGTACGACAGGACCGTTTTGTCCTGGAATAAAGAAATTGTGGCAATAGTAAAATCCTAACGAATTCGAAACAAAATTTTACCTTTAAGATCGTGTCATGGTTTGCAACATCGAGGGCCAACTTTTTATATGTTTCAAGAGTTATTTTCACATCTTTTGGATCTATAGAATCCTCTACGTCCATTATCTAAAAACGTAATGTTGACATTAACTTGAGCTTAAACCAATATGATCAAAACAACGAAAAGTATGTTGAGTAACGTTATGTGGTTATCCGTTTTCGTCACTATCGATAGCCATTCAGGAATTAATGGAATTATCCGAATATTTTTATTAAATTTAATATTTAATAATGAAAATACACGTTTCACGATAGTCGAATGTATCCACCGAACTGATGCCCTGACATTCAAACCACAGAATGGATTTTAAATTGATTTGTGGGTCAAGTTCTGTAAGTTCACTCGAGATATACTGTATAGAACATTAAACTAGAACCGATTTGCTGTTTTAAAATTCTTTGCAATTAAAACATCCAATAAAGTCGATTTCATGTAGTTTCAACAAAAATTCATTAATTGGTTTTAAATAAAAAAAACTAATTAAGATAAATGCAGGTTTCATTTAAGTCTATCCGTGAGATAGAAGATAATTTGCATACAACAAATGCTTCAAAATAGCAAAAATGGATAAAATATGTATACGTTTGACATACACATAAATTTTTTATGATGTATGCAGTAGGTACACGAGTACGTGTACGTATGCATTATTCATATATATGAATAAATACATGTAATACACACGAGTAATTTATATGTGTATCAGCATTACCCTACGTAGTATCACAGACGAGGTATGGAGTATAGACACAGACGAAGTATACTCGTATACTTGATCTCCACTACTAGTATACTTCGTCTGTGATTTTACAACTATTATCGACAGCTGGGTTACATACTGTTCTTAGAATCGCCGTCCATGGGCGCAGAGTGCGCTTAACTGATCTTTCACATAGTCGGTACTTAAGGATATGCGATCATTATAACTTCCATAGAATGTGTTTCCATAATACTCGATTTTATGTCGCGTGTATGGTGCTCCGATTGTAACACAGTGGAAAACAAACCGATTATGACAGAGTGTCGTGCGTTGTTCTATCTCGACATTGTCGCGATAAGATAAAAATAAGATAACGAAATTAATGCTTGTGGGGTTGACGAGGAAAGGGAGAAATCCTCTAGACGATCGGATATACGAATCTAACCTATGTCTACAGCTCTATCTCCGAATAAAATCGTCCGTTTCTTGTTTTCGTTTCTTATTTATTTCAATTAGTTATTAGCGAACAACCACTATAAGCAAAATGAAGTTATCGCAGGATTCCATTGAAGCTGGCGTAACGAGCACTAACTCGTGTAGATTGTGCCTTCGTTCCGAGGGCTGCGTAACGTCAATATTTACCGAGGAAGAAGAATCTCAACGTTTACGTTCCCACATTTTAGATTGCTGCCCAATCACAGTGAGTTTCTCGGACCTTTTTTCTCCGTCGTTTAGGCCAGTGTTTTTCAAAGTAGAAGGTACACCTCCAAAACAAGGGTGAATAACTTACACATTTTTTTATATTAATCCCTCTGACCCATTGGACGTACTTACACTTTTGTCGTAGAAAATCATAATTTTAATCGTAATTAAATAAAATTAATGGCGGTAAGTATTTTCTTTTTGACTGGGAGTGTATTACTTATTCGGTTGCTAAAATTTCTTCTTCCTCAGAGGAGTAACTTCTAGAAGGGTTGGAAATCACTGGATTAAGCCTTTAATTTCCCTCGCGTCTTCGTGTATCCCCTCAATCATGTTATCGCTTCCGCAATCGTTCAGCTGTCCGAAGACACCCGGCTGCCGCAGGCGATTTGCACCGAGTGCAAACACCAGGTGGCGGTTACGTACCAATTTCGCGAGCAGTGCAGAAAATCGGAACAAAAACTTCGATCGCTGTACGGATCGAATTATTGGAACGAGTTTTACCGCCCGAATACACCAAACTATAAAATCGTTCGGGTAAGTTCGACGAAAATTGCATATTTCCATCTATAAAACAATTTTATTTACTTTCGACAGGATTACGGTGTACAGACTAACAACTGGTCAGGATTGGTGATCGATTTGACAAAAGATGACGGGCAAAAGAAGAATGATCGAAAAGCGTCTCGCGTTAAAAAAGTTGCAGTACGTTTGTCGAGGGTTGGACGAATCGAGAAGAAACGGAAAAATGATGCTCCTTTGGCGAAAAACCGATCGTCAAAGAAGAAGGTCGAGGCAAAATTCGAAACTGTTAGAAAGGGGAAAAATAAGAAGGATGAGACACAAGTAGAAACTGTTAGAAAGGAGATAAATAAGGATGGAGCCGAGAAAACAGTGCAAAATTCTGTGGAACGGAGAAACGAAAACGTAGAAGAGGCAGGACTTAAAGGTGTAGAAGAAAGACAAGATGGCGACGACAATCACGATCACGATTCCGAAAATCGAACGAAACCGGCCAACGATAAAACAGGAAAACCGTATATGTGCGACGTTTGTAGCAAGACGTTCGCCTCCAAATCCGGATTGCGATTACATTTCAAATCGCACATTGGCGCGAAGCCTTACGTGTGTCGTCACTGTAACAAAGCGTTCGTTCTCCCGAGCTACGCCAAAAGGCACGAGAGAACTCATTTGGGCGACAAACGGTTCATGTGCCATTTATGTAGCGCCGGGTTCGCCTCTTCGAATGGCCTCAAGTATCATTTGAACCTCCATACCGGCGAGGCGAAGTATCGCTGCGAGACTTGCGGCAAAGCTTTCTATCGTTCCAAGTTTCTCAAAGAGCACATATTCACGCACACAGGCGAGAAACCGTTCGCGTGTAAAACGTGCGGATTCACCTATAAAAATTCTGGCAGCCTGTTCGCCCACGAAAAGAAATGTAAAGCCAAGTTTCAGGCCAGCAACGAACGCGTATCCGCGGTTAAAAAAGAACTGAACGGTAGCGCCGATTTCGGGGGCTGATTCAACAAATCCGTGTACAAGAATTTATAGATTGATTTGAAAGATGGACATAGTTGAACCGACTACGAACGGGACACACTACCTAACGTTAAATCTTGTATTTTATTTCGAATGTATAAGCTTGTCATGAAACTCGTTATAACTCGAAAACAAGATCAAATAGAATACACTTTTATACGAACTCTTTTTTTATTGTTTCCACGTGCAAAATTCCATGCTACGGAACACCCTGTATAAGATGCTACGACTTCCAGAAAACACTATATTCTCATCCGTCAAGAGGGTCACAACACTGCCTATGGCATGTATAAATCGCACAATAATTCATGCAAACAAGTTTTATGAACAATTGGATTTCTTGTACAAAGGGTAATCAACCCATTAAATAAATAATAATAATAATTATTATTATTATACACACTCGTAGCTTGCATCGAAATCCAGCGCGCGCTTACACCTAATATAATCTAACGTAACGTAATCGAAAGTCTTTGGTATCGCGAAGAAAGATTTGTCAACGAGCGCTAACGCGATCGTCAACAGTTTGGGTTTTTACGGACGGACATTTCCGAGGTGGCGATCGACATCCATCGATCGGTGTCGGAACGGAACCAAGTCAATCCTAGGGAATATTTGCCGTTAAGATTCGCGTGTTGGCAACGACTGAACCACCATCCGCCGTGGTAGTTGCTGGCGCAGTGGACCTTGCTGAGATCCATGTCGCGATCCTTGGCGCTAAAGCCCATCCCGTTCTGATAGGAGAGCGCGTCCGTCGCGTTACCGGCGTAACCGTTCACGTACAGTCTGTACCCGTTGGCCGCTGAATCGACCACGAACGAGTCGTATTCGGCGCGCCAACGTTCGCCGTAAATGTCCAACAGATCGACTCGCAGCTTGGCGCAACCGTCGTGGGTGAGTTTGTGGAGCAACTCGTTGCCCATCCAATACTCGCCGACCGGCGAACCGAAACCGAGGGAGTACTCGTGCCAGTTGCGATCGAAATCGAGGGTGCCGTCGCGACGACGGGCGATCACCATCCAACCGTCGCGACAGTAAGCCAGCATCGGTTTGCGAGCTCGACCCACCCCCAAAAGCCTAAGTCCGTCCCGATCTTCGCAATCGGTCGGCAAACTGTCCGCGATCAAATGATACTCGTCGTCCAGTTGCTCGAGTTCTAGCTCTAATTCGAGCATGTTCGAAGGCAACGACTCCGTTTCCGGCTCCGGGGCGGCGAAGCATTTATCCAAAGCACCCAGGCAGGTGCCGTTCAGGCGATCGATCGCCTCCTGCTGGCCGTCGCTTCTCTCCTGAAGCTTCGACGCGCTCACGCTCAACGCCTGAACGGCTCGACGCAAATTGCTCAGCTCTTCCCTGGTCAGCGATAGTTCAGCCCCTTTTTGTGCCGCGTTCACGCCTAGCCGTACCAATTCCCGCTTGGTCGCCGTGTCGTTTCTCTCGACTGCCTCACCCAGCACTCGCAACGAGTCGATCAGCTGTAAACCGAGCGACTCGCCGACGTTTCGCTCGGCAATTGCATTCTCGCTGATGTTCGAGATCTGTCGGTACAGCTCGGCCATGCTCTTCTCCAAACCTTTCATCCGTTTGCTCAAGATCATCGGCCATTCCTCGTTCTCGTACACGATCCGTTTCTCCAGCAACGCTCGCCGCTGCGAGAGCAAAGAGGCGGTGCGTTCCAGGTTCTTCAGACGCTCCTCGATCCGGATTCGACGTTCCTCGCTTCGTCGCCAGTAACCGTGACGTCTCGGGACCCGACGCCTGGGCGTCGTCGCGTCCAAGCTTTTACGATCCACGTTCCCCGACTCGGCCTCGATCCTCGACTTCTTTTCGTCGCGGTGGGCCGTCGGTCTACCCGACTCGGCCGACGACAATTCGCACCCGAGGGACTTCACCTCGACTTGGACCGCGCTCAGCTGAAACGAGAAGAATGGTCAGAGAATGGTCGTGTCCCGGGCGAAAAAGAAAAAGGCGCGTTTCGTTTCTTCTCGGACGGCATTCAAAAGAGAGGAACGAACGCCAGCTGGGCGTCCAGCTGGTCGCGGGGCAGCTGCAGCTGTCACGGTCGCGCCCTACGCTATCTATCGCAGCCTCGAATACCGAGACTTTTTTCCCAATCGAGACGCGTAAAAGCAACGGTAGGATCTCCAAGGCGGAACAGAGGGATGGCTGGAAGGAAACCGGGAGGAAACGAACGTAACGAAGGTGAAACTGGGCGAGCGCGCTCGCGAGACTACCGGGACATATGGAATGCGAACCGAACAACGCAGAAACAGAGAGGGAATCGAGGGAACGGGGCACAGCAAGCATGCCGGTAGAAATTAATACTGGCAGCGGAGCGAATCGCGGAGGGGATGTGGAAAAAAGCAGCTGCGTAGCGGGCGCGCTGGGACCGCCGAAACGCGGAGAGGTGTCCGCGTTTGTTTGCAGATATCCCGACGCGATCGCGGAATTTATCACGCGTAATAAAATGAGCAACCGGCAGGTAGATAGTGGCTCGTCCAATTACGTTCTCTGCGTTCCTTCGTATCATGAACGAAGCTACGCGAGAGGAGAAAAAAACATGAGAAACACGAAGAAAACAAGCGAAATCGAGGCAGATGCGCGTTCGATCGGGCACGAGCAGGTGGACAGAAGGATAAGAAGAATGGAAGGGAGAAAAAAGGCACACGACGACCAGGGGGAAAGTGAGCGTGTGCGGCTCGGGAAGGGATTGAAGAGGGACAGCGTGCCGAGAGCGATAAAGTGGACGGTACCTGACTGGCGATGTCGGCGCAGGTGCGAGAGAGCTGACCGAAGCGTTCCTTGACCGCCACGATATCGACGCGAATCGTGCCGAGGACAGCCTCGATCTTGGTGATCCTGCCGCCGAGATTTCGTACGCCTCTACCGACCGCGTCCACGTCGCTCTTCAACAGAGACAACTCGCTTCTCATCCTGGACCTCTCGGCGAGCTCCTCGCTCGCGTTCCTGGTCATTAGTACTTCCGCGACCTCCCCCTGAAGCTCGGTCACCGCGTTTCCTAGCCATTGTACCCGCAATCTCTCGTTCTTCGCCTCGTTTCCGTTACCGCCGCGAAGAGCGTTCACTTCCTTTCTGAGGGAACGAAGATCGTACAACACGCAAATTAATACACCGGCCTCGTTAATACGCAAACAATCGTTCGAGCCATTCTACGCGATTACCTGAGTTGCTTCACCTCGTCCTTCAGGACGAACAACTCTGTATTCTTTTCCATCGCGCGCTTCAAGCTTCCCTCCAGAGCGTTGTAATCCTGTTGCCGGTGGTCCAGAAGAGCGTTCACTTGCTCCCGCAGAGATCGTATCGCGTCGGTGACGTTCTCCTCGGCGCGAGTTTTGCTGTATACAACTAGAACGAACGTTACCCAGAACAACCACGTTTTCCCGGTCATCTTCGGGCCGGAATTCAAACCAAATCGACGATCGAATAACACGGTAAATATTCGAGAACTCGCGTTCGTTGGTAAAAATTCACAACGATTCGTTTGTATCGAGCTCGTGTTGTTCCCGGTTTCTGGTCGAACTTGAACGCGCGCGGTCCCGTGCGCGTGCGATGTTCCACCACCGAAAGCTCACTGGCCCGACCGAAATCCGCCCCACCAGTTTTATATCGTCCTCGTACTTTCCGTAAAAGGTTGGGGGCAAAATGGGCCCAACCCAAGGCGCAGGTGCGCTACGGTAACCGCCTGCAACCGCTACTACCGCTTCGCTTGTATTGTCTCGTGCGTGCACACGCTGCGCCCCCGATCCGTGATACCGATACCGATAACGCACGTGTTCCACCCTGTACTCGTTGACCCTTCACGGCTATTTTTTCCCCGCTGTGATACCTCGACCGCGAAATTCCTTTTATTATTCGTTCACGCTCCGTTTTTTTCTCCAGTCAACATTCTTGTCCCTCCATTGGCTTCCCTCGAGTCCCCTCTTGCGTACCCTAGGCACAGTTAAAATTAATTAAAAAGAAGCCCACGTGTGCGTTGTACTTCTCAAAATTGTCTCCCAATATACTTGATCCAGGCAAAAAAATCATCCTTTTGTAGAACCGTTAAACAGCTTCTCCAATGGGCGGTTGTCCAATTTTTACGCTGTCGTGCCAAACGTTTTCGCTTATTTTGCGACCGTGGCAATGACTTTCTGACGATAATTCGACCATGTAGCCGTGCAAACCGCACCAGTAATCTTCCAAGCCGTTTTCCACCTATTTCGTTTGCTGATGACAGTAATTTGCTCATCTTCGACCGGTACAATTTCTCTTGGGCGTCAAATATTCAATTACGCGTTGCGGTCCATGGACTCTTTATGATACTCTCGACTTCCGTGCAGTCTTTTGGTTGCTTTTGTCGATCGTGCGGTGAACGATTATCGTGACACGCGTTTTTACCTGTAATTTTTTCGTTTTCGAAGGGAATTAAACTCTTTTTGTACATCAAAGAAAAAAAAAAGGAAAAAGTAACATAATATAGATAACATAATATTTATATTCCACCTTTTATTTTATTTTCTACCATTTTAGTCGCTATGTTACTATTTTCGTTACATGGTTTCACTTATTTATCCGGCGAATATGTTACCCAAATTAACTTGGGTACGACAAGTGGTTATTAAATTAGTACGAGACCTCGACAAGATACGAATCTAGTCTGTATCGTATGATTTAAATTTAAATCCCTCAAAAAGCGCTCTCCTTATTATTGGTTCCACTCCTTCTGCTTCCGTCTCTACCAATCCCATCATTCAATCGTCAAACGTACTCAAAAACCTTAGCTTCATTCTCGATCCAACCTGGACGATTATGGTATCGCCAATACGATAACCACGCATACTCGATATCTGAATTCATTCAACTCGTTTTTGCTCGCAACGTCTTATCTTCCGGTTCGTGAGTTTTTCCTCGGTTCAGCCACACACGGTGATTTTATCATTATCAACCAATTTTTCGAAGACGCTGAAATTATTTGAAACTGTTTGACCAAATGTAAGATACACCATTTTAAACGTGAATCGTCTTACCTATTTTTCTCAAAAACGACGAGCTTTACGGGAACGGGAAAGAATACGTGTAAACTGTGAGCGCATTGCGTAAGGTCAATAATTTATTGAAAACAACTTGTTCCCTGACAAGACCTAAAATTCTATATATTTCTAAGGAAGTGCGCGCATGGTTCTATTTATCGATTACGGTACGACCATAATTTATGTACCGTAGTCGTCGGTATTACGATCGCAGCACGGTACAAAGAGACGTGTCCTGTCGCCTAGAGCGATTATTACGATAAAAAAAACTCGCTCGCGTCGAATAAATTTTGAACAAAAATTGCATGCAAAGTCAACTAATTTGTAGTGTAAACCTCTTCTTATTCGTCGCTACTTTGCTCGTTTTCCATAAATGAGAAACAACAATACACATTGTGTACGCACGTCGAGACACACTTTGCACGCAGAATCGACGATGTCGATAAAAATTGCAACGACTCTGCCGGTCAGTATATTCTACTTGGTAGAAAACGGTCATCGTCGAGATGCAACGCGCAGACGACCGATACAACCATTGGCACAACGTGTTTCGATAAAATTTCAACCGGTATTTTTTTTCTTCGCGTCTAACCTTATCGAGTAAAATCTTATGTACAGAAATAATAAAAATACATTTGTTCGAATCCAACGGCCTCCTATATAGCATCCTCTAAACTCGTGCTAAAACGCGACACGTTATATATTAAATGGCACTCTCTTTCCTCGATTAAACGAACTGAACGAAACGAATTTCAAAAATTCTGTAAAAATTCCACGCATGTTCGCTAATGGTACAAAAAAAAAAAAAACAACAAAATTTCATGGTATTGTTCGTACGTGACAGTACTGGTCTTACGTGGTTGATGTTTCCGGGCACATGCGTGCTATTAACATGTTGACCGCCACGTGTATCCAATCGGATATGTACTTACGTGGGTCCAGGGTGAGAAAAAAAATGCGGCGATCAACGTGTTAAATAAGGTTGTGCGTCGGAGAAAAGTTGCTTGAACGGTAAGCAACGTTTCTACTTAAGTTTGCGCCGATCCGTAAGTTCCTGTCGGCGGACGATACAACTTGGGTAGTGTCAGAATTTGCAAACTATTAAACGCGTATTTTCGAATTCCGATATTTTTCCAGGTATTCTCTCGTCGACATCCCTCGCTGAAATAAAAAGTAACATTTTTTTGTAACGCGTCAAAAAGATCTGCACCTTGAATTTCATTAGTCGAAGGGGAAATTAACCTTCTCATGCAGTCGAGAGCCCTCGGGAATTCGTGCTCGGCCAGATGGTACTCGCTGGTCAGTATGTTCACTTGCTCGAGAGTAATCGACATACCGGTGCGATCCTTTGCGCTTTTGCAACTGGTGAACCTCAGGCCGCGCATCCTTCGACAGATCTGAGAGGACAGCTGCAAGATTTCGACGTTCTTGTTCACTCTGGCCTGAACGCTCGTCTTCAGATTGGCCATGAGCTCCGCCAACGTTTGACCAAGCGCCGATCTCGAGCCGACTAAGTCGAACAGAAACGGAATAACACAACTATACAACCAACGGTACGAATAAACGCGTCGTGTTGGGTACGAAGCACGAACGATGACTGGAAAAGCTTACGTCGAGTCGATGCCGTTTCCGTGGGCAAGCTGAGCTTCTTAAACCGCAGATAGTATTCGTTCAATCTGTCGAAATTGTCCATGTTGCTCTTTTCTTGCGGTTTCGTGGTTCCTAGGCTCTCCGCCAGGGAGGCCATTTCGTTGATACCGACATTGAAGAAGACGGGGGTAACATTAAAGGAGATAGTTTGTCTGGAAGAAGGAACCAGTGGAAGCAAAGAATAAATCGCATCCGGCACTGGAAGCATCACCGTTAACGCAGCACGAGATCCAAGTACTCTTGGTAGTGGAAGTTGAACCAGCGGTCCGTTGCAGTTTCCTTCGAGCCTAAACAGCGGAAGAATTGGAATCGGTTAGATCGTTGTTCTCATACTAGGTGTATACTATACGTAATGTTTGCACCTCGACTGAATACCACATCTGGTCAGAGTAAAAGTTACGGTATGCATGTCCTCCACTGCCACAGCCATGTCTCCCCACATGTCTATCTCATCCCCGTAATAGCTAAGAAGCCCTTCGAACGAGACCAGAGGACCCAGGGTAGTTAAAATTAGGAGAAACATGGGGTCGGGCCTTTGACACCAAAGTTTCGCCATTATGCCTGATACCAAACTGGTCAACTGCAACCAAATAACAGTTCCTTATACGAAACTCGTCACCTCGTAGCTGAACGCAGTACTTACAGCTTGACTGAAGCACACGTCTCGCCTGTATCGAACGTTGCAAGCACGCTGAGCCATTTTCGCGTCCTCTTGCACTCTGAACACCGAGTGCGTCAATCTCGCAGTTTTCAAGAGACCGTCCATGGCTTGACGCAACTTCTTCATGCTTGGTCTGAGCTCGCTCGTCCAGTCTACGATCGAGGCAAAATCTAGACCCTCCGTGAACTTGTTTCTTTGTCCCGAATTACTTTTGATCACTCTCGTCATCGAGTCAACCGCCTGGCACACTTTCAATCGAAAATCATGAAACAAAAAATTATTACCGATATCCTCCCGTTAAACAAATATCAGAAACAAAAATCAGTGAAACGGATCATAGCAAGCGGAAAGTTCATCGATAAACGGATAAAGAATGCTATTTAACATGTCGTCGTTTCGTACCTTCTTTGGCTTTCGAAAAGGCTGGCAGCGTTTTCTCCGTTCCCGGGCTCGGATGTTGTCGCGAGGCGATACGATTTTCCACACTTTCGAGAAGTTTGATCGACTCGTCGTTTTTTATGTCGTTTTTTGGCTGAATCGTTACAACTTCGACGCTTTTGTTACGATTGTTCGGCATACATCCTTTCAAGCTGTGCGATCTTCCAACGGTATTTTTATTCCGCAAACGCACCGCCGGACTGCTGCATCTGCCGCAGAGAAACTTGACTTTCGATACCAGACACATCACGCTGGCCTCGATGTTCAGCTGCGTAAGGTCCCAAGGCTCCGGTTCATCCGTGGGCTTGTAATAGTTCGCTGATGGTGAATTGCACATTTTCTGAGTATCCAAGAACCGTTTACACGGATCGATTTCGCCTTTGATCTCCTCTTTCTCTTCGTTGTCCTCGTGTTCGTTAACGACAATATTATCATTCGCATTGTCATTACCGATATCGTTGTTGTCATTCTCGTTGTCATTGTCATTATCATTATCACCAGCACTTTGGGGTTGACGAACACCAAAACCGGTGCAACTCGTTTCCATGTACGTTTCGATTTCCGTTTCTTTGCTGGTGTCATTCTCAACCCCAGGGAAAAGTACAAAATTTTCCTCGGCCACGGAATCGTCGTTGCCGATAGAACTAATATGCTTCGCTCGTTCGCGGTCGCGTTCACGTTCTCGTTCTGTTTTCGCAGAGAATGTTGCGTAAGTGTTCTTTTCGTTCTCCTTCATCCACAGATCCTTGACGCACTCCGGAGTATCGGGTGTAACGAAATCATCGAAATCCGGGCTCTTCAAATCGAAATTCAATTGTTGGGTGATCCGCTTGAACGGGGACAACGATTGATTCGTTTTGAAGTCCAAGTTCAGAGTGTCCTCGTTCGCGTCTTCGGGAACCTTAGCTACTTTATACTCTTCGAGAAACGTTAACGCTTCCTCGACCAAACCCGGATCCCAAAGACTAAGCAGGATCCTGGTTTTCGTAATCATGTCCTCGCAAATTGGCAGCATTCCGCTCGTCTGCTTCTCCTTCGCGAGTTTCATCAGAGCGCGCATCGCGTCGACAACGTCGCGTCGGAGTTGCTTGATCGCCTGAATCGCATCGTGCGCCATCGTTATCTTTGATGTTCCTTGATACAACTGGCTACCGCGTGTCGGCGATTCTTTCAAAGCTTGCACCAATCTGAAACAGAATTTTCATTGGTGGAAAATTACGTATCTTAACCCTCTGCACTCCTGTGTCGAATGTGACTCGACATTTTATCAAGTCCAAACCAAAGAGATATACATTTGAAAATTACAAAATACAATATTTTTTAATTAACGTAAATTTCAAATAAAACACTTAAAAGCATTGGGAGCAACTGGTAACAAGATTGAAATATAATTCGGAGTGCAAAGGGTTATTGCGTGTATAACGAGGCCTGCAACTCGAACGCGATTCCAATTACCTTATCAGACCTCCGTTTTTGCTTTTATGCGAATGCGCGGTGAACGCTCCGACGGTTATGAAATCGTAAAATCCACATTTGTTCAAGGTGTCGTTGTGAACCCACATTCTCTGAAGGTGTAGATTCAGTGGTGCAAACTCTAGCGTCCTATCGTTTCTGCGCGATGACCGTTTAAAGTAACTCCCTGAGGAAGACAAGACAGAAATATAAATAAAAACGAAGAAGTGCAAAAGAAGGCATGTATTTACCTTTAAAGGTAGATAAATTCTCTTTAGCTTGCGAATAGAGGTGCAAGAGATGTAGATGACGATCGAGCAATTCGATTTGCTTGGTGTGCCAAGGCTCTCGCAGTTCACCCATTCCGGCCACCTCCTGCAGCAATTCCTTCTCCTCTTGGATCCAAATTGCACTGGACAGATTTTTTTAGAGATAATTTCAACAAGATATTTATTTATTTATTCGTTATATGATACACGTGATCTCACTCACAGTAAGTGCTGCGGAAACTGAAAACAAAGTTTACTTTCGGCCATGATCTCGTGGACGCAGATATCCCCGCCTAAGCCAGAGTGAAACCTGAAACGGCGACATTGCAGAGACCGCGTTGGAATAGGGTATAGTCTGGGCCACGATATAGCGAGGTCGTAAACTCGAGTAGGTGTAAACGTTTACGCGTTTCAGCTCCCAGAATAAGTGAATTGACAGAAATATGAGTAGTTAAGGACCTTATTAGACCAAGGTCAGGGCCGTACGAAGAAATGTTTTATCCAGTGTCGCCATTTTTAGAGATATCGTAACAGGCTGGTAATTTACCTGCTTATAATATATGTATGTAGAAAATGAAAAAAGGTAGTGCAATTACAGACACAGAAAAAAAGGCACCCTCAAGCAAGATGTCATGTACGGTACTAAGTGCCCCAACTCTCAAGAGTATAGTTTACGACCTCGCTATATCGTGGCCCGGACTATACATTTTCATTTTACTCGCTGAAATATACCTGTAAGTTTGCATGTACGGATTGGCGAAAAGAAGCTTGAGTTGTCCCTGATGCGGCAATTTGATTTTTGTTCCTAGTCGAGGTGGCAATGATTGCGAACGCCTGTGCGAAAGTATCTGCCGGGTAAGAGCGAACGAGCGAGTGAATGAACGGGAGGCGAGAAAGTAAATCGAGACCAGAACGAAACCATGGAGGAAATCAATAGAGAGCTATATCTCGATGTAGTCTTACCTGCTGATTCGACCCGGAGGTAGGTTCCTTCGACGGAGTGCTCTCCGTGCTGTTCCCTTTATCCTCTGCCTCTAGGTTCCACACGTTGATGGTCAGGAAGCCAACGGTCGTCGTTTTCGCCGATTTCAACGGTATCCTTAATCTAAAATCGTTCGATCGCTAGTCAAAAACGCGATAGCTCGGCGAACGTCGAAACGTAGTACGAAGGAGACAATATCGAAACGAGAGTCGCTAGAATTACCTGGGAGTGTCTTGAACCGCGTTCAGGGTGACGATCACGGTTCCTATCGGCGTTGCTGTCTGACTCACGCGTTCCCTAACGTCGTACGCCGTTATCCTCGCTTTCGTTCCTGTGGTCAAGCCGTCGCTGGCTCTGAAGCTCACGGTCGTTAAGAAACCGGGATTGCTGCTTCGCTGTGAACATGTACAGACCCCGTAACGTGAACACGGTGACCATACAGGTACGGAGGAGTCGTTAGAGAACACACGGAGCTCACCTCCACCACCTCTGTTCGCGCGTACTTGATCCAGGTCTTGGAACCCTTTGCCTGAACGTCCACCTCGAGAACCGGATTAGGCGGCCGACCGTGACCGTCACAGAGGAGATTGTCGCACGCCAGCGATATCTCGCACATCGGTATCTCGGCGGGATCTGAAATGGCGAATACGGATGGAATGAACACAGCCGGACGCCGCACAGTGCAGCCATTTGCACGCCAAACGCGATAAAAAATGGTTTTATATAAATATACCCCGAATTAAATAATGATTCGCTAATATATAATATACGTTCCATTGTTTACTATCTAGCCTTTGAAAAAAAAATTAAGAAAAAATCAGAACCTTGTACAAAAGAGGTTCTCCCAATTTTGGAAACTGAAGAAGAAGAAGATACGGATGAAGAATCCATCGATTCATGAATTCGTCCGTTTCCAAATATATACGTAATTCTAATTAAAACGTGTATTATTTGTCCCTGGATGATTTTGAGATTGAACATTTGAAAATCATGTAGTCGTATAAAAAATCGACGAATGATAAAAAAAATCACACTGAGTCATGGCTAGACTGCGGATATTTATGCATTTGTGGGAAATTTAGATTGTCAAAAAACTATAGAATGCATTTAATATGCAAAAATATAACAAAAACTCAATTAAGATAAGAATTATTGTATTTAGGAGTTGAAAGAACCCTCTACGAAGCTCTTATTTTATTAATTTTATTAATAAATATATGAATTTGCATAAAAATCCGCAGTCTAGTCATGGCCCATGTGTCCCATTAACTATTACGTTTGTATGAAACCACTTTTTACCGCGTTTGGCGTGCAATGACCCCCACTGTGCGCTGGGCGTAGAAAAAACACGAACCTGACGAGATACCGCGTTGCAGTCGCAACATTTGAATGTCCGTGTCCTGTTTGTGCCCGCTAAATGCTTCTATTCGTTGCCTCAACGCCAGCAACTGGCTTCTCATGCACTCGTAGCTGGCCAGCTGAAGCGCCTGCAGCCAACTGTCCCTCTCTTCCGCTGAATTTGCGCCCAACGCTTGAAACAGACCTCCGTCGAAGACTGAAACGCAAAAACGATAAATTAGATTCATCACCTGATCGTTCTCTGTTTCTTAAAACAACGTTACGTGATGAGACCGTTGTAAAAACCTGAAATAAAGCGTTCTTTTTTGATGGATGGAAAATTATTAACCATGTCGTTAAGTGTTAAAAAAAAAATAGTGCAAAATGGCGACGCTGGAGCCATTCTCGCGAGGCGTGTTTTGAATTTGAGTCGCTCTAATGCAAATTAGTATCTGGAAAAAAACAAAAAATTTTTTTCTTAATCTACACCGAGTATAGCTAGAGAAATACGCAGGGGATCTTCAATAAATTAATTTTAACATTATTTATTGACAAATGATTGCCCCATTTTTTGCACAAAATTGAACTTTCTCCTTCAAAAATTCCCTACGTATTTCTCTAGCTATACTCACGTAGATTAAGAGAAAATTTATTTGTTTTTTTCTAGATACAAATTTGCGTCAGTTACGTCCCGCAAGAGTGGCTTCAGTGTCTTCATTTTGCACTATTTTTTGGAATATTATTATCCTTTTACTTTTCCATCCATCTAAAAGTTTTATTACAGATTTTTACAATGGTGCCCTTACGAACCAAATTGATTCAGAGTACGGTAGCACATAGAAAAGCCCCGAAGCTAAAAATTTTACCCTGAAAAGCAAACGTGAACGCGCGAAACTTCGTCGAACAATTTCAATTTTACTTTCCTCTTATCGCGAAAGTGGAACACGCATCCTCTCGTCTTATTGCTTTTCGTACGGTTTATATCTCTCTCCGACGTAATTACGAATCCATGGCGTCTCTACGCGATACTACCCGACCAACGCGAGGGGAGCGGAGGGTTAATAATAACGACTCGTAATAAAGCAAAGAGACTTACCTATGCTGAATCCATAGGGGATATGATTGCTCGGTTGTTCTACGCGAACGAAGCATTGCTCGAGTATTATTACTCCCAGGGGTTCCGACCATTGCTCCCGCGATTTGAAATAAAACAACAGGTTCCCCCGTAATCTGCACCATCTCTCCAAACTTACTATCCAACAGAGGAGACAACGATTTGTGCGTTACTTTCTCAACGTCGTTTAGACATTAGAAGCTTTTTTGGAAGCTCCCGGGTGGTAAAAATGTTGAAAAGCATGAGATTGTATGGGACCCCCTCGACCTCGATGATCAGAAACAAAAGACGCAAGGGCGGTACGACACGTGTGCGCCTGATTCTTGGACATTGGTATGCGTGAAGTGTGTGTGTGTGTGTGTGTGCATGCGTGTGAATTTAACCGTTACACGGGGAGAACCAAAAGCAAGAGACAGCATTGGGAAAGCTTCTTACGAAACAGAGATCCTTGACCCTTCGAATTTTAGGGTCAAGCTTCATCGCGCGACGATGGATCAAAATTGTTCCGATCATCGATGGAAGTCGAAGAAAAATGATTCACGCGATTACAGGGTGCCCAATAGCATTTGGGGGCCGCTTCTAGAGCGAGACACTCTGTATATTACAGACAGAGAGGCAACTATAACTTTTCTTTTGATGTTATAGAGCACGAGTGTAAGTTTACTCTAAACTTAGTAAACTGAATGAAAAGAAAAAAACTAAAGATTTATGGTATAATGAAGAAAGTTGTGGTAAGTGGAATACTGTTTAATTTGCATGTGGACAGTTAAACGAGCGATGAGTCATACAATTAATTAAAAATAGAAACGTGATTAACAGCTTAATAAAAACGTGTGACATAAAAACACTTGTGATACTATTATGTTAAAGTACCTTGACAAACAATGCATTATCTGACACATGTTCCGAGGTCGACAGAAAAGAAATAATTGACTTACACTGTCCATAATGTATTTAATTGATAAAAAGCAAATTTTGTTCTTTTATGAGTCATAAGAAGTCATAAACCACGATAGAGTCCGGTTGGGTCGGTTTCATACGATACGTGCAAAATAGTTTCCAACGAGCATGCGAGATATGGTAATCTAACAGAGCCTACGACAGAAAATACAATATAAATCATGCAATTATGTTTAACGTGCAGACACGAAACTCGAATCTCGCTGAAGGCGGACATGCCAGGCACCGTTTAACGTACGTCGCATATTCTTGCAAATATCTACTCGTGCAACAACAAAAAAAGGGCGCTTTTCTTTCGCGAATCCCTCAGCCCCGATTGTTAGACCAGTTCCTCGGGGAATCAAAAAAACGACAAAAATAAGGACGAGGAATTTTCGGGGACGAGGAGACGGCGGGGAGAACATCTGAAAGCGCGAAGCGATTCTTCGATCTAACGTTGCTCTGCGCGTCGAAGGGAGGAGAGGCAACCTTCGTGAAAAGGTCCGGTACGTTTTAGTTTTGCGGCGATAAAGCGTGTTAATCACGGGTGGATCGAGTTAAGACAGTGATGGGATAACGATGTTGGGAAAAAAAAGAAACAAAAAACTCGAATATACCTTTACTCGTACTGGCTGTAACGCAACTGAAGTCTCGCAGTGTCTTATGCGTTTTTCCCTTTTGAAATTTGTTGTCAGATTGTTTACCTGTACCTGCAAATTACATGTAGCTACGGGTAGCTTTTAATTTGCTCGAAAATGGAAAAGCAGTCGGACGTGGCTCTTTTCGTGCGTATAAACTTCGATCTGCATAATAGTTGCTCGTTACCAGAGTTGGGCGAGAGTTTAACCGGGTATAGAATCGAATAAAATCTAACCTTATTCGTTATTCGTTATTCGTAGCTTCGTATAATCTTGTTTAACTTTATTCCACGAACAGATGTTTCGACTGTAACTGTAATTTCGCTTTAAAATCGAAGTAATTTAATTATATATTTGCCGCCATTAATTCTACGAAGCGACTGCACTGTAATTGTACCGTAATTATATTACAACTTCACGGCAATTATAGAGTCTAATGATTTACGATTATAATTATCGTATAATTGCAATATAATTACAGTATAATTACGTGGTAGAAATAACCATGACAAATCTAATTACATCATATTTAGCCTAATGCTGCTTCAACTTGTCGCCTCGAAGTTACAGTTACGTTAGTGGAATAACCTGAGATAACTTCATTAAAGGGATAAAGTTAACCAAGATAGTAATCTATTTAATCTAATAATTAATTTAATGTAATTGTAATTGCTAATCCTAACCCAGACCTAATATAAATTTTAATCAATACAAGGTGTTCGACCCACCCCTGGGAAAAACTTTAATGGCAGATTCTAGAAACCAAAATAAGACGAAAATCAAGAATACCAATTTGTCGATGGAGGCTTCGTTAAGAAGTTATTAACGTTTAAAATTCCGCCCTTGCTGAATTTTTTTCTCGAAAGTGCGCAGGATTTCGGGGGTATGTCTATTCACCAAAAATGCTTGTAATTGACCCCTGTAACTGCATATAATTTTTTTAGTACAATTTGAAATTTTTTAACTTTGTCTAAAAATTTCAGTACCTTTTTGAATTTTTTTCTCAAAAGCGCGTAGGATTTCGGGGATATGTCTATCGACCAAAAATAATTGTAATCGACCCCCGCAACCAAAAATAATTTTTTCAGAATGATTTGAAGTTTTTTAATTTAATTTTTTAACGAAATCTCAGTCAATTGATATTTTTGATTTTCGTCTTATTTTGGCCTCTAGAATCTCAGGGGTGGACAAACACCCTGTATACTTTGGTCGAGTATTTATTTAAAAAAGTATTTTTAATCCTTGGTTCGCTTTAAGCGTTTCTTTTCTTTGTCTCGAATCCGTTTGTTCGTTCCGTTAAAGTAACGCGTTACACGAGACCTCGTTAGGGCACAAGTAGCCGGAAGAATGCAGCCCACGGTATTTCGTTATCTGGGTATTCGACTCGGAAGTACGTATTCGAAAAGAAAAGAGAGTATGGTGGTCGCGTACGATGTCCACAAGCACGTCCGACTCGGGGAGCCTCGGCTGATCGTCAGATTCAAAGGCATGCTCGACGGGCACTTACGAGATGCATCGAGATATTTCGAAAATAAAAAGAAAAACACAATCGACGGTTCTACAAACTCGAAGATACAAGCTACGATAAGTCTAGGCCTTTGACAAAATTCTCATATACTATATAGAGCGTATCCGCAATTATAAGACATCCCGAATCGACAATCTAACGATTGCAAAATGGCTGATTCATCCAGCGAATTGTTCGTATCTCGTTCTTATGCCATCAGATACTAAATCAGCGTGCTATCTTCCTTCGAAACTTCACAATTCTAGACAACAATGCTACGATTAGAAAATTTCCCCTCCATAGTGGAAGACAGATTGTATGATCACCTTCGGTAAATATACAGGGTGTCTCACCTTAACTTCCTTAATATGTCTAGCTGTATCGTTTGATGCATAAAAAAGTACCTCATTCCCTTTAAAAAAACATAGTTGACCTTCATATATCCTTGACGCGTCCGCATACGAAAAAACTAATAACACAAGAATTATGCCCAACTCGATACTATTTAAATTCCCTATGAAATATTTTTCGCTACGTGCCACGATACCGAGGAAATCAAGTTGTAAAAATCGGCTGAGACACCCTGTATACATACCGAGAAATTCTCTACTACTAATAATTATTCTATGTGTGTGTTTCGAAATAAGATCTACTTACAATATCGAGCAAGGAGTAGAACGGTCTATTCGGGATGTTTCGTAGCTTCAACGCCCTATACATACATCGTAGGTTTGCACGAGGTCAACAAATTCTTCGTACACGGCGACATAAACTTTTTACGGTCGCGTTTCGCCTTTAAAACGGAGAAGAACGTCGACGCTCGTCGGTTCGTCGATATTCGTGAACATCAGTACCGTTCGTACGAGCCGTGTCTCAATAATGTTATCAGCCGATCATCGCGAGAGGGATGCGGCGGTCTCGTATAACTGCGAACGTAGACGAGCGTCGTATAACAAATGTCGCGCGATGAGTCTCAAGTTTTTCAGCGAGTACAACGAATCCCGTACATTCGGAACAGATGATGGGCTCTACATTAAACAGAAAACGAAGAATTTGCGTATCACGTGAGTTTATTTTCAAGGATCAGACATGTACAATGTAGATGAGGGAGATAAGAAACATGCGTCGGCCTGTGTGGCAAAATACATGTAAATAGAATGTACTCGATTAAAATAGGCGACCAGTCGCGCTAGTATCGTTCGTATTTGCCAATGATTGGGTCACTCACTCTCTGTTCTGCGAAAGAAGCCTTCTTGCCGCTCGCGTACATACAATATACCCTCCTTCTCGAATTTCTGAGACGGTTGCGTGGCCAGAGTCAGCAATTCCTGCTTGTTGAATCGCATCTCGGAGGACAGTCGTTGGTTACACCCACGTTATTCGTGATTATCCACGTTACGAAGTTTTCTTTGTCTTCATCTGTCAAGAATCAGACAATTAGGGACACGTGCGTCGAATCCTCGTCACGCTACATGATATTCGCCGATTAATCAACAAACGGGAACAAGATAAAACGTATCAGTCTCCGATTTCACCAAACGCGCTTGTCACATCGAGCCTACGAGATCTCTAACCTATTCCTTCCTACGCGTCTTGCGCTCTGCGATTCTCTCCTCCGCCTACTCGCGCCCTCTCGCTTCATCTCGAGTCGACCTCTCGTCTATCCTCTTCCCACTTAATCACGTTTACCGATACCTTGCGAATTTTTTGCATTTCGTTATCTTGTGCAAAGGAACAATTTTAAATCGTCAAATGCTGGTAGCTGACAAAGAATACGAGACTTTATCGTTCGAAACGAACGGGGAAGAAATTATTCGAGAACGAATAACAAGGGTAGAAATTATTACGCGAAAACACGACGTCACAGATGAATTTGTCGCACTGCTCCATAACGAACCTTCGTGGACAAAGTATCGTTTGGTGTCCTCTCGGAAATCAGTTTCGAGGCCCTTCTTGTCCTCGTGGTAACTTGTTCCGACTCACACATTTCGCGTCTTGACTCGGAATTGTTACCGAAACGATTAGCATTCGTCTGAAACAAATTTCAAGCAATGGATTGCAACGACTGTGGTGGTCGCGTGAACGTTTAAACGAAAGTACATGCTTGTTGGCAAATATGCATGCACGAAACTAAGAAAACGCGACAGTTGCTATATTAAAACGGTCAAAGTAACGATCTAGCCATAGAGAAAGGAACGTGTACCGTGTTTTACATCGCGCAACAAAGACTACTGATCGGTAGGACGGCGAAGCGAGCAGTTCCGGACATTATTGTCATGCCGGATCGTTCGGCGTCGGTTTTTTTTCGACCGTCGCCGAACATTTCCGAACAACTTCGAGCATTTCCGAACGTTTCTATAAGTAATGTCGGTAAATCGTCTCGTGGAAAATGAAAAATGTCATAGAACGAGTAAACAATTCATTTTTTGTTCATATTTAGTTCAAGTTTGCCCACTTTTGTCTTAAAATATTAAGTGTGCGAATCTTCGAGAAGGCAAAAAGTATTCAAAAGTTTCGAAAGAACTGTGTACCAAGTAAAAGGACCATGGAATCGTTCCTCTCGGCATCGAAAGCAGCTCTGGTAAATTCACATTTGTTTTTTATTGTTTTTTTTTATATTGAATATAAATCGAGGAACTTTTCACGTCAATTTATCGAACGATACCACAGACGAGGTATACCTCGTACTTCGCCGATGAACCAGTGTCGCCATCTCTCTTAAATATACGTAAGAACTAATTGAAAAGGGAAAACCGGAAGTTGGTAATACGTAAAAATATTTCTTAAAGCAAAGATCAAATAATTTCTAGTTTTCTGCACTTTGAACGGTCGCACGAATCGATTAATTGAATTGAAAATTGAAGAGAGTAGTGCAAAATAAAAACGCGGGAAAAGTTTGGCAGATCTCTGTTCCCTTATGATTTTAACCATTATTTTAGACGAACTTATCTCGCTGCAAAAGAATACGCATCGTTTTGGGTAACGGGACCTGCGATTTAGATTCCGCCGTATCTGCTCTGATCCAAGGATTCTCCGAATATCTAGATGGAATAAAAAACAAAGAAGTGGATTTGACAGTAATTCCATTAATGAATATACCGGAGAGAGAATATCGCGTGAAAACGGAAGTCGTGTATTTTTTCAAACGTCACAACATTTCCTCGAGTTCATTGACATTTTGGTGAGCCGAATTTTAAGTTTAATATAGCTGAAGTTCAGACGATATATGTACATGTATATAGACGACCGTTCTTTTCGTTTGTAGGGATCAGATAGATCTGAAAGCTCTAAAGGAAGATACCGAAAAGAATTTAGAAGTTATACTCGTTGATCACCACAATCTCCGGGACGAGGACATTTTTCTAAAAGACTCTGTAATCGAGGTTATCGATCATCGACCTCAAGACGTACGGTGGCCTTGGCCCGATAGAAAAGTTCACCTAGAAATTGTCGGTAGCTGCGCGACTTTGGTGGCGCAAAATTTCCTTCGCAAACATCCGGAAATGATGGACTCTTGCTTGTCGAGTCTTTTGCGAGGCAGGTCATTGCGTATCGTTTTAACAGACTATTTAGTCAAAAATTTCATCGTTTATGTATACCTATCGCAAATTTCGTAAATTTCAACAGGTCCAATTTTGATCGACACTTGTAATTTATCGAAGGAGGCAGGTCGCGCCACTTCCATCGACGTTGAAATTGTAGAGACTCTCGAGAAAATCGGGCGTCTGGATCTTGATAGACATCAAGTGTATAATGAGATTTTGGAAGCAAAATCCGATATCAGCGGACTAACTCCTAGCGATCTCCTAATTAGAGATTTGAAAATCACTGCAGGAGTGCCAATTGTCGGAATGCCTATACTGTTCGAGGTAAAGCGTGTCGAATAGCTCGGTCTACCTATCAGATAAATATAAAGTATCTTATTAGTATTTTATAACTGCATTTCAGAATTTTCTCAAGTTACCAGATGCGTCTGCAGCCCTTCGACCTTTCGCCGAGTCTAGAAGCACCACGATCGTCGTTCTGCTGGGAATGGAGTTTAAACAGGAGACTCAATTCCGAGATGTTGCTATTTTCTCGATAAACGGCGATCGACTGAAACAAAAGGTTGGCAGTTAACAAAATTTTCTTTGGAAAAGGAAAGACCGATTTATTCGATTTTATCATCCCCAGATAGTGGACGCGTTGACCACGGCCTCTGAACCGTCCCTTGAGTTGACCTTGACAAGGGAAATTCACGAAGAGAATGAAAAATGGAACTTGCTGATCTACAAGCAAAGAAATATACGCGCTACGCGAAAGCATGTGTTGCCGATTGTCAGAGACACGGTATTATCGCAGTGTGGATGCTGAGGAAAAATGTTTGCATGGTTAATACTATTTCATTTGATATTTTTCTTCATGCCTGGAAAATAAATTTTCGGGGAGCATTGTAACAACATTGTAATTAGGATACCCAGTTGTATAAATGTACAAAACTTGGTCGAAAATTGTACGTTGTAGTCATTTCCCTTATGTAAGAGTATTTTCAAAATTCTTCGATCGAAAAATGGAGTCCTCTGTGACAACGTCGTCGCCGTATCAACACCGACGTTATAATACCAGCAACGTCATTACCGTCGTTGCGAGAACCATCACTGGATGGTGGACGCGTGGGAGGGTGACCTTCCCCTAAACTCCTGCTACCGCCCCGTTCTCCCACCCTTCTCCATCGCGTTCGTATCTTCGAGCCGGCTCACCACGGGGCAATATCGTGGATGCTGGCTAAAACCCTGTACCGCAACGGGACTCGCGGTGGGTTGCAACTCGGGAAACTAGTTCGGAACGCGAACGTTGGAAAAATCAACGGAAAATATACAGACGCACAAGTGATGCGAAATATCGAGGGGTGTAGTGCCGCGAGCAACGATACTTTAACGTTCGTTTCTTCTCTTTAAAGATTTTCATTTTAAATTCGCGTTTCGTTGCGAGATCGACGAAGAACCGCGCGGCCGATGAAGGAAAAACGAGAATCGAAATTATGACAATTCGGTGCACGTTGATCCGGTTGCATTGAACCATGGTGAAATTCCCTCGGTTTCCCGGACACTCCGTTTCCGCGATACGCGTCAAGAATGGAAGATGCCGAGCTTGAAAGGTAAGCGATCCTTCGAATTCGATCGGACGTTGTCTTGGTGTTTTACGAAGGCACAGCAGTTAATTACGAGTCGCGCAAACGTGCTTTCGCGGCGAGAATTCGGCAGCACATCCATCATGGGTGTGGATGGAACGTCCTTACTACTCGACTTGAGCGTTGTGCATAAAACTATCGCATCCTATTTATCTAACAAGGTGTACGAAAATACAGTGGAATGGCTCTGACACTACGCTTCTAAAAATGTATTTTCAATTATTGCATACTCTCTCGCTAACGACTGTGCATCCGAGTTAACGGGGTCAAATTTCTATCCGGGTGTGTAAAACAATTCTACGACGTACTTTCTGAAACACAACCAAAGGCAGTTTCTATAATGGTTTAACTCTTATTCTCGTTGAATTCATTGCACCCTCGGGTTCTTTCCTTCGAGAGAACCGTTCGTTACGCAACAAGCTGAAGTTGAAAGGCTAAGGGCATATGTATTCATATTGTCGTCACGATAAGACTGGTAGCAACGTTAACGCGCACCTGAGTCTACCGAATGATCTTTTTACGGTCTCAAGAATGTAAATGTGGGTGTGCGTGTGTGTGAGCGTGCGCGTGCAACAATAGGAAGACCCTGTAGCCTCGATCTCCGGAGGAATCGAAGGAACGTTTCAACGAAAGTTTCATCGTCGTTCTATCGTTCAAGGCCGAAATCGTCATCTTGGTCGTGCTCGTATCGCGAACGAAATTACGCGATAGCTATTGCATACGAGCCAGGATGTACCACGGAACAGGCATGGTCGATCTCTTCCTTCCTACGGTTCGCTCGTATTGATCGTGCTTTACTTGTTGCACGCATAGCAGCCTCCGACTCCGTGCGCATTCCCTAACCCTCTTTGTCTTCATTTTCCATCAGCGAATCTAATTAACGTACGGCCGAACTACACGGACGCGATACCCACGTACAGGTGGGAACGTATTCGATTCTTGATCGCGAGAAGTCGTCGATCGATCCTTCGAAAGTCTATCCTGCCGATCGTCACGTCGATTCCTACTCTGGTCAAAATACATACGGAATTCTGTCACAATTTTCCCGTCCGGAAAATCGTTCGCGGTAACGCGATATCGTTACTTCCTGCCTCTACTTTCGACCGATCCAAAAAGTTTCCTCGAATTCGAGAAAATCGATTCGTGGTTGTTCGGTATCGAGTAAAATTGATCATCTTTTCGGTCAACTTTACGTAATTCAAGTTACGTTAAAAAAAAAAGAGAAACTTCTGTTCTTGGACGAAATATTTGTAGCGAAAAAACTGCGAGATAAGTTCATCGATCAAATAGGTTCTACAGTTTTAGTGGACCAAGTGATGATACCAAGCTACTCGACCTATCATGAGCTGTAAACAAGTCGAAGCGAATGCCAGGACCCGATATCAAGATGCGCCGCACGCTAACGATCGTCTCCTTGGTAGTGTTTTTCGCTGCGGCGTCCTCGCCCGTGGAGGATTCGACTAGGAACGTTTTTGGTAAATGACACGCTCGTACGTGAAGTAGAAAGATTGATGGAATATAACGAGTACCGTGTGTCCGTTTCAGACCAGTGCATTCTACCGCTGGGCATGGAGGAGGGAAAAATTCCAGACGATGCGATCACAGCTTCTTCCAGTTACGAGACTAAATCGGTGGGCCCTCAAAACGCGAGGTACGTTCGATGTATGGCTAGCAACGAATGGGATAACATTATAGTATACGTCTGGTACAAGAATACCTCAGCTTGTAAAAATAGATACTTACGTACAATACCCTTGATCCCCAACCGTGACCATCAATCGATGATCGTCTCGTGGTCGCTCTTTTTTCTCGACGAGGGAGGCTATACTGTATAGTCTGTAACAAATATATCATAGAAAGGTGTTAGTAAATTCGATCGAAAGAGAGCAAGACAAAGGAATGAAGGGAATAAATTTCTTGTAACCTAAACAACCAACTTATTCTTTTCGAGCGTGTTCGTAGAATACGACAAGAGAAGAATGGCGGCGCCTGGTGCCCGAAAGCGCAGATCAGCAGCGCGATACGGGAGTATCTGGAAATCGACCTGACGAGAAACCATCTGATCGCGTGGACAGAGACTCAGGGACGATTTGGGAATGGCCAAGGTCAGGAGTACGCGGAGGCCTTCTTTCTCGAATATTGGCGCGACGCACGGTGGCATCAATACAAGAATTTGAGGGGTGACAGAGTTCGTGTCGTCGGTAAATCGACCGGGAGTCGTCCGCGTTGCTTCGAACACGTTGTCGTTGAACAACTGCCGACAATGGGACAAGCAACGCGTCGATAAAATGACAAAGTAACACGGAGTGAGCGTGTTCGTCGGATATCCTTATCCGGTTTTCGGTTCGAGACGGCTCGTTCCAATCACTCGAAAGCAAAGCGAGACGTCTCCGGTGAACGTTGGTCGAAGAGACGAGTTGCTCGATTCCTGGCGACATTGATCGAAGCTCGCTCGTTTCAGGTACTACGCGGAAACAGCAACACCTACTTGGTGGAGAAACAAAAGCTAGACTTGCCGTTCGTCGCCAGCAGAGTGCGATTCGTTCCATACAGCCAACATCCGCGTACGGTTTGCATGCGAGTCGAAATTTACGGATGCGTCTGGGAACGTAAGTATAATTCAGCCGTCGAGACGGTGATCGCGATCGAGACTCGGCCGCTCGATCGTTTGCCCGCAGAATACGTCGCGAGGTACGCCGCCCCCAAAGGATCGACACCAGGCCCGAAAGGATGCAACGTCGAGGATTCGTCCTACGACGGCGCAGAGCTGGACACGCTCCTCGTGAACGGTCTGGGCCAGCTGACGGACGGAATTCTAGGCGAGGTTTCGGAAATTCTGACCGCCTCGACGACCAGCACCAACTGGGTCGGCTGGTCCCATCGCGACGTCGTCCAGCTGATCTTCGAGTTCCAAGAGTCGCGAGAATTCGAAAATTGTTCCATCCACGTGGGCCGTTTGCCGGCACTAGAAGTCGAGGTTCATTCTCCCTTTTGATACCGTGACATACTGAAAGGCGTTCTCGATATCCTCTTGATTTCCAAATCGTTTTCTTCCGAGGAATCTGTCGAATAAAAATCGATTGTAGACAAATCAGGGGAATATCAACTTTCACGATAACACAGTCGACTCCCGATCTAACCGATCGATGCTTGCAGACGTTTTCGACTTTGCGAATCTGGTTCTCCACCGACGGCGAAAATTACCAGGCCAATCCGGATATATTTGAGACTATGCTGATCGATGCCAGCCCGACCACCAACGACGCTATCTTGACGTCGATCGCGTTGCAGTCCAGGATCGGTAAATTCGTGAAACTGGAATTAAGTCTAGCGGGCAAATGGTTGCTCCTCAGCGAAATCACTTTTCACACTGGTAAGAACGATTAAGCAATAACCATAGAATAAACAGAGAAGGTAACCGGTTAACGTTTGGAATCGACAGTCTCGTGTATCAAGAATCGCTCGACCGATTCTTACTCCTCGATCGATGGATCCTTTCGAGCGGATCGAAATCAGAGCGAGTTGCAACCAAGGTCGCCCAACTCCGAAGGAACGATACCCGGCTTCAACGAGACAGAAATTTACGAAACCAAGGAAGACGTTTTAACACCGGACGCGTTTCCTGTCGGCACATCGCAAACTTACGTCGGCCTCGTGAGCGGCCTACTAACGGTGCTCGTTCTCTTTTTAACCTGCACGATATTCCTGATCAAACAAAGGGGCCGTAACAAAGTGGCTCTGTTGCAAAAGCACACGGCCCTTCTGTGCGACTCGTCCGCGCCCGGGATCGCGATCAGCCCAAAGGACGTTAAACTCCCGAACTCGATCGTGAACGGATTGTCGCTCGTACGCAAACCGATCACCATCGCCACCGTGGTCTCCGCCACCAACCTCGCAGCCAACAACATGCCCGATCAATTCGATCGTACGCGAACAAATTCTCGGGGCACCGCCGATTCCGACCGTCGTCCTTCCACCGTTTACGAAAGAACCTACAAGCTATTTTCTGACGAAAATTTCGTTCACGCGGAGCCAAACGCGTCCGCTTGTACAACCAATTCGTGTACCGGTAAGCCTAACATCGTGTTTCGACATGTTTTTAACCAATCTTTATCCAACAACGAATCTTGCAGATTTTAAATGTCTGCCAGGATTAGCAAAAGACAAATCAACCGAACTGCGATCGAAGAAGGTGCACCACTACCAATCGGGGAAAACGACTCAGAAGGTGCACGAAGGATATTACGCGGCAACAGATATTTTGACGGTGAGACGAGATGTAAAACATATTTGAGAGAATGCAGAGCAAGAGATATATAACAGAATATTATTTCAGATAAAAAGGCGAGTCCTTCCATCGACCGTGAGTCCATTCACGTCGCTGTATATTCGCGAGAAGGGTGTACGTTTGCCGCGTACCCTCGATCCGTACGACGTTCAACGAATTTCCAAACACAGATTGAGGATCTTAGACAAACTTGGCGAGGGAAACTTCGGTTTGGTAAGAACGAATCGTGCGCTCTATCGAAATCGTTCGGAATAAAATTTGAAATTCGAACAGGTTCATCTGTGCGAGGCAAAGGGCATTACGAATCCGGAATTGGGATCTATCCAAAATCGGCAGACCGTGATCGTTAGGTCTCTCTGGCGAGGCGTTGTAGATTCTTTGAGGTAAGCAGATCCATCGTGTAATTTTTAATACGCCATTTGATCGAATTTGATCAGTTTTTATTCTAACGCTCTGAGCTTCGTAGGCTAGATTTCACGAAAGACATGCTCGTGCTGGCGGCGCTTCGAGACCCAAACTTGACGAAAATGATCGCTCTGGTAGAAGAAGAACCGTTTGGGGCTGTTTTTGAGTACGGCCAACACGGGGATCTGCCAACCTTCTTAGAGAATCGCGAGAAGTCTGGCGGCGAGGACACTTTCAGGTAAAATGTTCGTTTCTACCGATCGAGATCGGACACCAAAACTTACTTCTGTTCCCAGCTATGGTAATCGTCTGAATTTTATCACGCAAATCGCGTCCGGTATGAAGTATCTTGAATCCATGAACATACCGCACTGTGATTTGGCGGCGAGGTAAGATCTTTACTTGCGAATCCACCGATCGAGTCAACTTAACGGGCGTCTGTTCGCTCTGTGCGTTTCAGGAACTGTATCGTTGACCAAAATCTGACGATAAAGATATCCGACCATGCCATGTACTGTAGCAAATACGATCATCATTATTACATCGACGGATGCAACGCGAAAATTCCTCTTCGTTGGATGGCATGGGAAGCGGTTTTATTGGTAAGCGTTGGCCTTCCTGTTCGTGATTCCGTTTGCTTGGATCTGAATGTACATCTCTTCTATTTCTCTTGCCAGAGTAAGCGTAGCTGCCAAGCCGATGTTTGGTCGTTCGCTGTAACAGTTTGGGAAGTTTTCATGAACTGCAAGGAGATACCGTATCCGGAGTTAACGGCGGAACAAGTTCTAGAGAATTGCGGTCGTTGGTACCAGAGCGAGACGTGTGTCAATGGAACCGGTGCCAACGACGAAAGAAATCGGCCTCGAACTCTTGCAAGGCCCAACCGTTGCTCGGACGATCTCTATCGTATGATGAACAAGTGTTGGAGCAAACGTACCGAGGATAGACCTACCTTCGAGGAGATCTATCTTTATCTCGAGAGACTAGCGCTCGATTGAACGTTTGATACTCGATCGAGTAGCACGGACCAAATCGGTTACAATCAGCTAAGAAGCATCCTGTCCTGTGTACGTAAATTTATCTTTTTTACGCTCATCCACATCCTCGCCCCGTTTCACCGTTCCTCTTCTTGTGCGCCACCCTCCCTCCCCTTCCAAGCATGCGATATCCTTCTTTCCACGGGAGAACCGTAACAAATCGACGCGTCGCTCCAGGATGCTCTGGCCATCAACTCGTAATGCTCAACTAGGTTTACTCGAGTCGATCTTTACGTACATAAGAATATATTATATTATGTCGAATACGTTTACCATCACGTGGGTAAACGCAAAGTTTTTTATAAAAGATAATACGTATTCTCGTCTTTTCGTCTATGACCTAGAATATTTGCGCGAACGATAAAGGTTTACTCGGACGTTGGCAAGCATCGCGTTGCCCGCCGATCGGCGGCGGTATTGCGTCAACAGACATCGCGATTGCGCCGATTCAAGATATCCAACACCACGGACCTTCGTTAATGTCCGACAATGCTACCGCTCGCTATACGTACGATATACGATATTATGTAAGTAAACGTAAGTAAGGGTTCACCAGTTTGGAATAACGCGACGTAAACTTGAATCCGTTCGCGTTATTCTCGATTTCGCGACAAAATCGAGGTTTCCTATTATGTAATTTCTCGACTAAGCGTTCATCTTGATCGACACTAAAATCAACTCGTTCGCGAAAGGGGTTCTCGCGTACGAATGTCCACGGATAAAAACGGGCCAAGCAGGGAACACGAGTACCCGGGCATTCGTACGATACGCATTCCCTTTCGTTTCTTGTTTCAACGATACGATCGATTCTGCGCTAATCTCGTAATTAAGCGATAGCCTGTAAATTATTTGGGCGCGTTACTATAAACGAAACGGGACAATCAATTTCGCAAACGTTGTTTCACACACCGCGCGATACGCATGACGAACGATAATTATCGATCGATTCGCTCGTACCTGTTTATCCGCACTTGGGACCTGTTAACGGTTTCTCCACTTACGTGTCCCGTGCCCGCGCGTGTGATCGATAATCAGTCGTGTCATCGTATCGCGTTGGTATCGCGCGTTCGTTTCTATCGAACAGTTTTTTCCATTTACGGTTACAGTTAATCGAAATTTGTAATACAAATCGCACACGTATCCCATCAAAAATTATATTCTTCATATTTCCAAAGTTACGACGAATAAACATTGTTATACCATCTAGGAAGTTACTGTTTCTGTGCAAAGACGGAACGACCACGGAAAGAAGAACTCGTCCGAGCGATTCCTACCAACTTCTTCGTTCCGTTTCAATTTTTTATTTGCACCAAAGGGACGATATTCATTTCACGATGAAATTCAACGAGCGGCTGCTCCCACCGTTCCTCGAAGTAAACTCCCAACAGAAATTTCGCATTGATTCCCGTCCTAATGGCCCACGAAAGATGATGTTCGAGGTACATCTTCCTTTGCCTGAAAGCCGGAAATGAAATCCAGCAACGCTCGGATACAGTCGAAACAAGTATAGTAATGCACGGCTAACTCGCACCAAAATCTGCACGAGTAACTTTCGATGATTTTATATTACTTCGACAAACACTTTTCGAACAAATCCTAACATAAACACGATACGATTTCTTATCGTTTGATACACAACAGTTTCGAAAATTTGGATTCATTTTTATCAGAAGAATCTGACAAAATATATAACGCGAAAGCTACGGAAAGTAAAATTTTGTATGTTGCAATGATTATTTTTTTTATCATAGCGGCATCTTTTTAAAGCGCCAAATCTCAACTATACTATATCCATCGCGCTTCTTTTTGTTGTAATCATTCTCTTTCTTTGTCTAACAATGTTCGAATTCAATTCTACATGCGTAACTTTCTCTGTTGGGCCCAAAATCTTATGAAAGTTAACCGTGCATTGCTGTATTCCGTTCCCTTTACCTTGGACGTAACCGATACGCTCCGAATATCGCTCCGCTCAAGCACATTGGCAAACGTAATTGCAACGCTTCTATCCACTTGACTGACACTTCACCGAGCATCGTGGTTGGCATTAGAAGCATCGCATGAAATATGTCGTGAGTTTCTCGATATCGTTGCATTACGTACGCCAACTCGGTATCTTCGACGAATCTGACCGCAGGTCTAGAATCGGGGGACACGTTCTGCAAAATAACGAATACCCTTGACTTTGAATCGAATGCCCCTCGTCGAACATAGTCGGTGAACTGTACTTGCTCCCGTGTACGTGCAATTTTTATTAGTGTAACGTAACGAAAGGCAAATAAAAATGTGTCGAAAACGATGCGTGGCCGTGGGATCGCGACGGTAAATATTGGGGCACGAACGTTTATAGGCTTGGTAAAACATCACGTTGAGAAGCGAGCAAATACGACTTAGAGAGTCAGAGTGGGGCATACGCACAGGTAGAATACACGGGTGAGCATCGTGAGCTTACGTTCACGTCCAAAAATTCGCGATAAGTCCTGCCGACGGTCCCCTTTGGCAAGCGTTTTAACGCGGAAAGGTCAATCGTTGAGGATGAAATGCGGGGCTTTTCGACGAGGATGCGGCGTCCCTCGGAGGTAGCTAGCATTTGCTGGTGACAGTAGGAAAGCGCACCGGCGCCGGTAGTTTCTCCCAGGCATGCAATCATGTCACCGCGAAACGGACTGACGAAGGATATCGCGGCTGCACCCATCGTCAAAACCGCGCGTTGCATGCGCGACAATGAGACGTGGTGTTTCGCATAATCCTCCGCGAACTGCGCGCCGCTGGAAAACCATCGAATCGAACTGCCTGAAACCGATCGAGGACAATAACAATCGATCATTACTTTTCTCCATAAATAGAATTTATTTCAATAAAATTTGTATGTACACATTGCCGCACAATGACGACACTGCGTCTTTTAAGTGTACGAGTATGTATATATGTACAAATTACGCTTTACATCGCGAATGGTCGCGTTCACCGCTAACCGGTACGCTATGGCACAGCGCATTCTAGCCGGTAACGATATATATTCACTTTGGTATGACACTCGTTGTCTCTTATTGTTACGTCCTTACACGTCTCCTTCCACCGGACAATATCGCAATATTCCCTCGCAACGAGACACAAGGAAACAAACAATCGGGAAGAGTGAAAACTATAGGATAGAAAAGGAATGGTAAAAGAAAATTCACTCACCGCAAATACGTCCATGATTAAAAATTAAAAACGCGACATAGCTACGAGATCATTGACTACGTGGAACTTTGTGACAGAAGGGAGCGAATGAGATAACGTTCCTGGTGCAACAGCTCACGATATGCGATCATACAGTCTGTGCTTTGACTACTTGGTCCTCGGAAAGAGGCGAGTATTTGTGCTCGCTGGACTCCTTTCTGCGGAAGGTGACCCACGTGTAAACCAAGCTACCGATTACGCTTAAATTCAGTCCTATGAAATTGAGCCATGTAAATATATAGTCACCGCCGATCATCATTCCAAGATACGTGACGCATATATTTTTCAAGCACCCAATTATGGTAGTGGTCAGGGCGGAGTTATGCAGGGTGCAAAGAATCATGCTATAAAATAGCACAAAGCCCATCACGCACGAAAGCCCAAATTGTACAACAAAGAAAACATTGCCCCAATGTGGAAATTCCACAGTGGAACGCACGTCTCCCATCCAACAAGCAATAGTAACTGCTGGAACAACCATGAACAAAGAATTATAATACATCAATCCATATTTTCCAAGCTCCTTCGAGTCCAGCTTCTTCTTCATATAGACGCCGTTAGCCGCGGTGAAGAAATCATTTAGCAGTATAAAGAGATATCCCTCCAAATTAAAAGCGAGATCGTTCGATGCCGCCACCACTGCTCCTAGAATCATCGTATAGACGCTCAACTGAACGGAAACGCGCGCCTTTATTCCGAGGATATAATATTCGGCGAACATGGTCATCAAAATACTGAATCGTCTGAGCGCGGTGAACATTGGGAGGCTGAGCTGTTTGGTTCCGCCTAATCCAAAGACCATGTTGCCGATGTAGATAATTGGTAATGGCCATATCTTCGTAAAGGTTTTCGCTTCTAGGTTAGGAAATTCGACGTAATGCAATTTCTTTGCGACGAACAGCAACACGATCGTAGCCAACATTTGCCCGACGCCGAGCATTTGAAACGACGGGAATTCAAATGTAGTCAGCACCGTTTTATTCACGACCGTGATCATGAACGATGACAATCCATAAAACACAGCGGAACCGACCCGCGCAAATATCACATTCTGCTCGTTCGCCGGCATACCGATCGATTTGCTCTGCCGCAGTACAGTTGCATCTGGTTCTTCGATCTCAATCCGCTCTTTTATTCTTGTTAGAAAGATATGTCAAGTGTGATGGAACGTACACTGATATAACCTCATTGTTCTTCCTTCCGTTCCGTAATGTAGACAATCACCAAAAATAACTGTCGATCACTGCAGGCAACGTTACTGCTTGAAACTGATCAAAATTTTTACGATTATTCGCGCGTTAAACCAAAAACACAAAGTTTTTCTTTTCTATGCGACTGCTCGTACATTTTTCGTCAACGTGTCAGTGCTTATCTTCGTCTCCCTTTTTGTTGTACGTTGTACAACGGTAATTCGTGTACTGCTCACACGTGTGTGCGCGCGCATCTCTTTTTACTAATCTCGATTCCCTATACAATCGTTTATGATCGAGAAAATTGTGCTATTAACATTTTGAATATGTATGATAAATATCGTAGAAAGTATTATATTCACTGCATCAGTGCTATTTATGTTCTATACATACATGAGTAAATATTTATTTGACATAGTAAGGCAAAAGAAATAGATTATTCTTTAATTTAATGCTTTCGTTCCTGTGGAAACCAAAAATCCCTTCGATGGAATTTCACCATAGATGACCAAAGAGGACCAGAATTCGGACTCTAAAGTACTATGTAATCTGTAATGTACATCTTAAGATGATACTTTACTGTAATTCGGTCAAACATCGATGCATTTACGATCCTAACACGGTTCTCTTATCGTTGATATCGGTCGTGTCCCCAATGCAACGTATGCGAACGCAATGTAGGCTCTGATGAGCTAGTGAAATGTTTCAGTTTTAGCGCAGTGTGTGTTCTCTTAAAATTATATTACATAACACTGAACAAAAATTGAAAAAACATAGACTTATTAAAATGTAAGTTGGATATTTTATTTCGAAGAAACTATGAAGAATTTGAATTATCTTTCATCGTTGGTTAGACGAAACGCAAATCGGAAACCGAATGGTAAAACACTTTCGTTGCTTCTAGGATGGAAAAAAGGATTTATTAAAAACGTGTTTTTATCATGGTATTTGTTTTCTGCTCGATCAGAATTTCCCGGAACATACCATGTTTATCCCCTTTGTTGAAACTTCCCCTAACTACGGTACGTAAAACAATTTATATATTTTTTCAAAATTCGTACAAGATTTGAAGTTTTAAAAAATTACCATGTGTTACAGTATTCCACAAAGGTTACATCAAGTATAAAGAAATTCACTTCTACGCAAAGGCATTACTATTTATCAGCTGCAAAATATGCACAAACTCAAACTCAAACCAAAGCATCAACATCCTTTGACCATAAAAAATCTACAGCACGTAAAGGCGCAGGAAATAATACCCAGAAAGATATACCCTTAAATGAGTCAGAATGGAGGGATATGACATTAAACCCTGTCAAGTTGCAGGACCATTGTTTTATGTTGTCCAAAATAAGATTAACATGTGAGCAAACCTAGCATTTCTCTGTAACTTTAATTTGTGGTTTGATGCATTTGAATGAAAGAAACTACAACTTGTGGTCTATTACAGCACTGGTGGTTGTAACAACCATGGCTGGATATGCACTAGCCCCTGGTCCATTTGATATTACTACTTTTCTTGCATGTGCTGTTGGAACCGGGATGCTGTCTGCAACAGCAAATAGCATCAATCAATTTTTTGAAGTTCCTTTTGATTCACAGATGTCAAGAACAAAAAACAGAGTACTAGTCAGAGGTTATCTAACGTAAATATAATATTGCATAATACGATATTTTTTAATGCTTAAAAATTACAGTAATAAAACTACATGTAAATTACATCCTTTTTGGTTAGACCAGCACACGCAATGACTTTTGCAGCAATATCTGGTTTTGGTGGATTGGCATTGCTCATTAATGAAGTAAATGGATTGACAGCTATCTTGGGTTTATCTAACCTAATCCTTTACAGCCTTATTTATACACCAATGAAACGTATTAGTATTTTAAATACCTGGGTGGGTTCAATTGGTAAGTATATTGCTATTTTTCCATGAATAAACTCGAATGTCTTTTACAAATATAGCCTAATGCGTACTAATTGAAATTATAACAATTATTCTTTAGTTGGTGCCATACCACCATTAATGGGTTGGGCAGCTTGTGTCGGCAATGTGATGTCTCCTGGTGCTTGGATTATGTCTGGTCTGCTATATGCATGGCAATTTCCTCACTTTAATGCTCTATCATGGAACTTGAGACCAGATTATTCGCGTGCTGGTTACAGAATGATGGCAGTGACGAATCCAAATCTTTGTCGCAAAACGGCACTACGTTACACAGTCGCATTAACCGGTCTTTGCTATTTGGCACCTGCCATGGACGTAACGAACTGGTGGTTCGCTCTTACATCAACACCGCTTAACGCGTACTTCCTTTATCTTGGTACGTTGAAAAAAAGTAGTGACTGTTGATAGGATTAAAGGATTAAAGGATCAAATGATTGCATGACTATCATCTAATGTCAGTTTCTCTTTTCTAGCTTGGAAGTTTTATAAGCATTCAGATAGTGGAAATTCGCGAAAACTTTTTCGCTTCTCGCTAATTCACCTACCGGTGCTGATGATTCTTATGCTCGTAAATAAGAAATACTGGTTTATCGAGAAGCAGGAAGATATGGCAAAGTATAAAGAAAACCAGACTGGTGGGTATTCGTTTATCACCGGCGTCTTCGACAACTTAGCAAAAAATTTCCATCAAAAATCGTAGTTGTTCATAATAGTACAAATCGTTGCGATATTCTGCCGTTTGAAACTGTACACAAATACGAGCCCGTAAGACACTCATCGACAAAGTATTGTATAGAATAATATAATTACAGAATAATTATTTATAACAATTATTTTGTGTTGTATATCGTCACTATGTCGCTCAATTTACTCGATCATTTAGTAAGACGAAGTTCGGAAGTAGAGACGTCGAAATTAAATGCAATTTTTATACGCATATACGTACATATTCACATGTTTATTTAAATTTTATTATTTACACGGTCATATCGTATCATCGATGGTTTCCCGTTTCGCAGCGAATCCTATCGCCATTTGTCTCCTGGTTTTAGCTAAATTTCCGTGTCCAGTGCAATCTAGATTTTCCGTAAAACATTTGTTCCGACAACATTGTCGGCACAATTTGTAAATGCACTTAAGACTCTACGAAGGAACGCGAACGAATAAAGTAATTTCATTTAGCTAGAAAATGTTGGAAAATATAGAATCACTAAAATTAATTTCTACTAACCACCGGATTCGGACAGTCGTAACACAAGACGGATCTTCTTTTTACAACAACGGCAGGCCTATTGGGACGACGCGATATTCGTCTAAGCTTCTTTAAACGTTTTCGCGATACTTCGTTTCCATCATCGTCCTTAAATTTTCTCTTCCCACTTTCGTTTTTCTGCGAAAATTAGGAACGGTAGGAGCGGGGATTATACAAAAATTTCAGCAGTGAAAAATGAATATGTTCTACGTAACTAACCATCTCGAGCTTTTCCGTCTCTAACCGTTGCATTTGCTCTTCCGGAGAACTCCGTACGTATGGTTGACATAACCACGGTGGTAATTTCAAGTTATAGTCTGAAACGATAATGCAAATATCGATAGGATACCTCGATAACAACAATAGCACAACACTGTTGATCGATTCGTTGAATTTGATCTGTATGTAAAGAGCACAGTTGCATACGGACCGGCTGTTTCTTCCTGCCACGTCAGACGTCCTTCGTGGTACGGTAGATATCGATCCCTTAAAGAGTACACGACGCTTCTAAACGACTTCATGGTAGAGTTTCTGGCTAAATTCTTCCTCTCTTCTTTATTCTCTGCTAAACAAAGTCTAGTCTCCAGTTAAAAGAACGTTGAACACATAATTCAATGTATAATTTGCAATAACGTTCGCGAGTTACAAGTAGCAAAAATAGCGCAAAACAGTTGCCAAGCAGCAAAATCGACCGCGCCGACAAAGCCAATACATACGTGTGTTGGAACAATTTGAAGAGATGACCACGAACGTAAGAAGCTGGAGTTGGATACTGTTCCACCAAATCTAAGTATTCAAGCGCTGGCTCCCAACTAGGCGGTTGACGGGCCTCGAATATGTAAGGATTATAAAGATTGCCTTCCGCCGACATTACACCGTTCGCACCTGTTTCCTCTATACATCTTTCGATATCTTGCAGATATTGTATATTGCCGTTGGCGAATACTGGAATCGCGACGGCCTGTCTAACGTTCGCAAGGAAGGATCATGAACGTGAGAAAAGTACTAATGGATCGGATAGAGAAAACACAAATCAGTTATACATTGTTATTTATACCTAACTGCTTTGATGTGTTCCCAAGACGCTACACCCGTTAACGGACCTTTTTGCTCACGGGTTCGTCCGTGCACGGTAAGCAATCGTGCCCCGGCGCTCTCGAGCATGCGAGCATACTGCACGGTTTTTTCAATCTCCGCGAATACTCGTAATTTGCAAGTTACAGGTACACGGAGTCCCTTGCTCAAGGTGCTTACTGTAACATTTTACAGTAAAACGAATATAATTAGATAAAAGGAAATTGTACAGAGAAGTGTAAAATTTATAATTTATTATATTGTGGCGCCGCCTCCCATGCTCGCCACCAGAGGGGTCGCGTTCTCACAAGCGCTCGTCCGACCCCTCGGTTGCTACATAGTATACAATCCTAGATCGACTTCCCAGAGACTGCTAGAAAGCCTTACCGATGAGTCCACTAGCAGGCCCTCCTTTCCTTTTCTGCGAGTTTTCTCCGAGTTCCTACCCGCAGCAGAGCAGCAGCGCCACAATATCTTAAAATACTAATAAAGGAACTTTGATTTTCAATACTATCCACAATTTATTGTACGAACCGATTCGTTGCAGCAAATCCCAATCGTCCTGAAGAAAAGCACCATAGCGTCCGCGTTTTGCGATAGCTTGGGGACAACCTATATTTACGTCTACCGCGTCGCAGTACGGCTCGGCCAAAAGTGCCGCCTCCAGCAAGGTACTTGGATCGTTGCCACAGAACTGTAACAAACGAATGTGCATAAATAAGAGCCGGACAGGACGATGACCGCAGAAACTCCACCCGAATTTAATACGTATCAAGTTTGAAAATTTTATGCAATCCTCTGTTGTCTCGTGAAATTTCATATAAAAGTAAATTTATTTACACGCAGTTTTATACCTGAACGATCAGCGGCCGATCTTCGTCGGTACTAGCAAGAGCTTCTCGTCGATACTTGGTATCTCTGCAAAAGACCGATGAGTGAAGCATCGGTGTGTAGCAAAGGTGCGCTCCGTGACGTCGACTCAACAGCCTCCAGGCTAACTCGCTCGCATCGACCATCGGTGCAACTATGTACTGCGGAGAACCCAACACGCTTTCCCAGACATTATCGTCCGCCTTTGATTCGTTGGGATCGGCAGTCTGGCCGGTCGAGAACGATTTCGCTGAAACCGATGCCATCTACGGGGGGGAAATTGGCCGTGAGTGCACAAGCACACGCGATCTATCTCGTTTACAGATTAGCAACCAGCACGCGAAAAGTAAACGGTCACGCGAACACTCTTTCTCGTTGAACGAATCACGTTTGCGTATACGAGATAGAACTCGTTCGCCTCGAGAACGCATCGAACAGTTGCTGAAGCTTCATGTTCACGACGAATCGAGTATCGAAAGTTCAAGCTACACGGTGCGCGGGCGCCTCGATGGACGAGATAAAAAATTATAGAAGACTGTCGCAGCGATGGAAATCACATTCCCGACGATGGCGGATCGAACCGAGGAGACGAGGAACGCGCGATACGCGACGACTGAGGTGAATTGGTGGAACGAAGAGATAGAAGGGAACACGATGATCGTGGCGACGCGGGTTTCGACAGATCCGACTCCAAAATGGGAGAGAGCTGTATGGATTGCGTTACGCGTGAATTCGCTTTCAGTCTTGGTCTCTTTCGGAAGGACGAGGTCCGTCGAGGACGGGTGTAGATGTGAGTAGCGGGTCTCCTCGTCGTCGACGATCCCGCCACTTTCCGCGTTTGAATCGGAATATGCTCGCAGGGGTGTCCGGTCAACGAACGCAGCGGAGGAAGTTTGGCAGGTGGACGCGGAACGGAGACCGCGAATGTTTTCGTGGGATCGGAAGCGAGAACAGCGACAGGCGAGGTGTCCTCCATCTTGACTTCCGGTCGAGCCGTATCGGCGCTAGGAACCACCTTGTTCTTCGATGCGCGGACGGCGTTCGCGTTCGACGACCGTCGGCGACCGTTTCTTCTCAGATACGTTCGCAGAAACTTTCCTATTCTTTCAACGGTTTCGCAGGAATTCGTCGGGGCGTGCACCGACTCGAGCGAACCCTCGCTGCCGCTCGGTCGTTTCTTCGATTTGTCGGCTCTGCTCGCCGAACGACATCGCACGGCTATCGAGTTAGCAGCAGCGAAGCAACAAGAAACCGGCGAGGGCGTCGAAGACCCGACGACACCGACCGAATCCCGGAACACGATCGTGGATTGGTCACGAGACGTGTCGGACGGTATCCGCGACGAGAACTCTATGGAAGTTTCGTTAACGGTCGACTGGAGCTCGTACGTGAAACAGAGTCGAAAATTGTTCCGTTCGTCGTCCCGACGACCGAATCGAATTTCCGTTGCGGCTCGATTCGATTCCCCTTCGACGTCTATTCTCCTGTCGCCGCTCAAACACGAATCCGTATCGGTTCTATGGCCGGACACGAACCCGCGAAAACCGTTTAGTCGGGTCGTTGACTCGGGAACGTTAACTGCGGTTTTCGTTATGGCAGCCGGCGGTGCGTTCTCGTTAGAGTCCGCGATCGTGTTGTTGGCAGCGACCGTAGCGCTGGCAGTGGCGGCGGCGGCGGTTGCGGCGGCGGCAGCGGCGGTGGCAGTAGCAGCGGCGGCGGCTGCCGCCGCGACGGCTGCGGCGACCGTGTTTCTTTCCCGCTTGTTACGTATGTACTCGTACGTGGTCAAACCGAGGCAAGCGATGTAGCCGTGAAAGAAGCACAAATGAATCAGTAGCACCGCCGCGATCGCAGAGAGGATTCCGATCGCGGATATCAGGATTATAGAGCCGGTGTCCGAAACTGGGATGATAGATAGGCCAGGACCGGTCGCGTTCTCCATACTCGCGTTCGCGATCCGATCGGGGATCAACGACAGCAACAATTCCGTCGCAGAAAGGCCGGCGACGAACAGACTCGCCAGTATCGCGGAGATCAGACACACAAGAAAGGCCAAATAGTTTCTACCTCCGATGCAATTGTTGAGCCACTTGCAATGATGGTCGAACCGTGAAACGCATTTGTTGCAAATCGAACAGTGCTTGGTCCTCTTGCTGTCGGTGGTTATGTTGCAAAGGTGGCACCGACCATTCTCGATAACGCGCGAGTGTTTCGCCCTGTCGAATTCCGGCACAACTTTGTTCGCCGGTTGGGATCTGACTTGGGGATCCGCCGGGTCCAACAAAAGTACGGTCACGTGAGAACAAAGATGCGTAAAAAAAATCGCTGCTATCGAAATCGAGAAAACCGGACGTAAACTGGTCTCGAGAAGCGGCGTTAAAACTGCAAACGTGTTTATCACAATAACCAGAATCACTATCCAGCCGATCACTTGTTGGGGGTGCAACGGTAACTGTAGTCCGTGCACGCGCCTAAACTTTCTGCGTTCCGGTGTTACGAACGCATTTTGGCCCGAGCACCATCTCGATACGATGTCGCTCGTGGCTTCGTTTCGCATAACGAGCCGCCGTTTCAGCTCCCATCCACTATTAATCTGTTCAGCCCTTTTCTCCTCGTCAACCTGTCACCTCTGTCCGATCGACGTTTTCTTTCCCGTTCTTGAAATACTTATTCTCCTTGCTCCTCCCATCACTGTCTTCTCTCTTTTATTCCTTATCCGCGCTTCTTATCGGACTCGTTCGTTTTTCTACTTGTTTCACCATTAAACGACCATCGACGTTACTACGGGACCGCTTGCCGGAAAACTAGTCGCGACGCGACATCGCGATTTTCCCCGACACGTCTCGGGAAAACTCGGTCAGATGTCCCATTCGACGAAACGCGCTTTGCGACTTACGAGTTAGTTCGTCGAATCGATACTCGCATGGCAACGTAGTCGCGTAAACGACCCTAAAAATACGTGTTGAATTTTCCATGAATGTAGACGCAATAGTGATAATTGCTCTCCTCCGAATCTCGACCTTTCGCGTCAATAGCTATTTTCTTACCTACCGTAAACATCGTTCTTTACTCTCTTCTACTTACGTTCCCCACTTCATATTTTTCCGGAAATTTAACTATTCCACGTTATCGAAGTCTATAACTGTGGTCTAACTCTCTCTTTGACGACTTTTTTCCAAAACATATTCCATTTTATGTAACACAACACGAATGTACACTTTTCGAACGATTCAATATGGAATACACGTATTTGTGATAATCGAACAATATGGAAAATCGTAAATATCTACCTACTTTACCAACCAACTTTACCAACTGTGTTCCGATATTTTTGTGTCTAGAATAGTGCAACGTATCGACATGAAAGAATAATTTTCTTTGGGATTATTAACACGTGCAAAACTGCACTTTATCGTTCAGCGACAGTTTTTGCAAATTGCAACGTAGATACAAAACTATTATATTTTATATCCTTTTCGTTTAATTACGAACGATTTCATTAAGAAGACCAATTCTATAATTATTATATTTTTAATTGACATCGTATTTTTTTTTATTTGCATATAACAACCTGTTAAACTTCAAATAAAGGTAACCTATAAAAACGTATAGTAATTTGTATTTCACATACAAATTAGTTCAAAAGCTACATATTGACATCGATTCAACATAATGTACACGACACGATAAAAGTATGTTCTTATTTTGTTTTAATAATTACTATTTAACTAACTTAATATTAATTTTTTAACAGAAAGTCAGTCACTTAATTTGTTTGCATTTGAACGTACCACGAGTAAACCATTAAAAGTAGTTGCGTCACATATCGCGTTCGTTTAAATCTTAAAATGCACTATTTTACAGATAAAATATGTTGACTAACCTTACTCTTGTATCCAATTTATAGGTTAGCCCAGGGATTTTATTTAAATTATAACGCACTCTAGTGTAACTGAAGTAAAATGTGCTTCGCTTTAAGAGATGACTAGAAACGTATTTAAAGTTTAACGATGCTTAAAGATAACTGTGATTGTTCTTAACTTATGTAAAACCTGTGCCGTTCGCGTCACTATTAAACATGGTTGAAAAAATTCGTGTTCCTTCAGTTCCTCGAGAGAGTATCGAAACCGTAAGATCGATATATCGACGGGTTCAAAGGAAAAACTAGAAACATACCTATACACGTAAATAGTTTGTTTCGTCAGCTGCCAGTATTTCACTAATGATCATGAATGCTCGTTTCAGTAATTTCGTTGCTGTTCTCATTTAATCAAATTGCTCAATCATTTCGACGAAAATTGTTATGTCGTTAAACGAATATATTTGCACCCCTTTTGTGCTATGTAATTCGTAAAAATGACTGGGTTAATCGTCTTTTGTACGATTTGTTTTGTCCTCTACTGCATTTTCACCTGGTAAGGTTAACAGTTATACGAAGTTACAAATTCTATATACAGTCGAAAATACAGTATTTTATTTAATTCGTTTATCAGGGTGATACCGAGACTTCTAGCATGGCTAGTGAAGAGACGATACAAAATTTATCTACGAGTCGGCCACATTTCACTACCGTATTTTATACTTCGGGACGTAAATGTTTCTAAAAATGGTTTTACGTTGGTAAGTAGTTACGAAATATTGCTATACGACCGAGCGTAATTTTACAAATTAAAATTAATTTCAGCAAGTCGAAGAAATCAGTATACGTAGCAGTCTCTTTAGCAGCGATGTAGCAAAACTTTTGGCAGTGATCATGAAAGACGTTAGAATTAATAAGGATGTTCCAATGAAAATTCCATGCGTGACAAAAAAACCCAAACACCCAGTGGATTTCAGGAATAAGAATATTCCACCCATAATTATAACGTTTGTACAGGTATGTTTCCTAGAAAGAATATCACACTGTTAACAAATTTGTTGCACTTGCCATTAGTTTGGCTAGTAGTGTGCGAAACATGTAACCATATAAATCATTTTATGAAAGTTATTTAATTCTTGCTTAAATCTTACGATTGCAATGTCTAGATGTTGACTAAGACCACTCTAAAATTTTCTAGTTTATGGCTGTGCACGTAGAAAATTTAAGTCTTCTGGTTTTGGGTAATGGTTGGCTTGCTAATGGGAGCGCAGAAAGTCTCACTTTGGATGGTAGCGTTGTTCATGGAGCTCGTACTCTTCTTGCGTCTGCAGCCGTAATGGGTGGCGCGATGAAATTGTTACGCCACGCGTCGGATGCGTGTCTTTCACAAGTATTCTTTGCCGGTACTGCGGAAGCTACTTTAAAAGCGCAAGGAGAACTTTCTGTAGAGGTAAGGAGATGTTGTTTACAGCGTTTGCATGCATTGTAACAGCTTAATTGTTCTTATGCGCAAATTACAAAAGCTATAGAGTAATACGACATTTATACGGCAAACCAAGAATTCAGCTCAATGCTTTGAATGGTAGCTATTTGTGTTTAGCGCACTTAACGGACGATCCTGAACAACTGTCCTTTGAAATGGGAATAAATTGGAATCAAGCAGGATCTAATTTATAGAAATTGTACATCGGAATAACGCAGACAGAGGGTTCTGGAGGAGCAGGTCTAATTACTTTCTTCAAAGACAGAAGCTCATTAACAGCGACGTCTTCGTATTCTGATGCACGCGTCGATTCTTCCATTGATTTATTGGCTCGATTAGCACCGGTTATACCGAAGGTATAGTTCGCTGGCGCCCAATAATAGGAGACATAGGTCTTGTTAATATGATTAAATACGAACTAAAAATGTCTAGGATTTCATGCTGAAAGTAGGAAATACTTCTATAATCACGGGTAGAGAAGATGGCGTGGTACTTGGTTTCGAAGGTACAATGAAAGGTCTTCAAATTAATACAAAATTTCAACCATGTTCGTCACAGTTAAACCTTACTTTAAATTTGGACGGGCTGTCTGTCCGTAGCAAACTTCCTATTTTGACGTTGCGATCCCTATTAATAAATTCAAAGGTAATAAACGATGTTACACGTTAAAACGTTTGCATGTTATTTGCTTTGCTAATAAATCGGTTTGATTTATATAATGTTACTTACATAGGTGGAACAGAATGTTTTGCAAATTGCTACTCAAATCAATAATCTTTCCATTATTTATGATCACAAAGATTGGGAGACGATATTATGCAGCACCGATCATGAAATTTCAAGACCCGTCGGTAGCATAACGTTAAAAAATAAATTACCTTGGTTAGATGTAAGGGTGAACATCGAATTCTATGATTCCTCCTTAAGTGTCAAGTTATTGGATGTCGATGAAGTTTCGTGCGGAGTAGCTCATATGAAATGTTCTCTAAATACGCTTACAGGTACTGGTGTGATGTGTTTTTGCATCAAGCTTCTTAATTCGAACGAAAATAATAATAGCAGTCGTTTAATTCGATAGACACGACCGATGGTTGGAATACGGAATTAGTAGTGGAATCTCTATATTGTACTTTAAACGGTTCCAGTACCGTTACCGCGGAAACGTCTCATCGATGGGGAACACCTTTGTCTATCGGGGTATTGTTAGCTACAACGCGTACCAATGCTATAGGAATTGCAGTAGACGCTCTCGTAACTGAATGGAGTTTAGAACTTGCTAGATTTCTTGAAGAGGCGTTTAAGTAAGTCATACAACCGCCTCGAGTAAAACATTCGAAGCGCATCTCGATATTTCCGATAACTACGTTTGATCATTTTAGATGTTGTCAAAGGTACAGAAAATCCGAAACAATTAAGAAGACCCGAGAGCCGGACAACGTTATTCAATTGAATCTCAAAATTACGAATTGTAATTTAATTTTTATCGCGGAAAATAATCGTACGTATTAAAATAAATGTATGCCTTGTCGAGTGAGATGCTTGCGTCTGAAGGATTACATTCAACAGCACAAATTTGCCACAAATTTGTATATATGGTGTTCCAACTTCCATTCGATCTCTCAGGAGCAGACATCTGAACTCGTCGCGGTATAAATGTATCAACAGCTTTGGGTAGTCGCATAATGTTTTTGTTTATTTACAGTATCTGTAATGGCACGTTTGGACACTGCGAGTTTGGAGCACAATGCAAAACGGCTTGTAGCCGTAGCGGAAGGTGTGAGCGCGATAACCCTGAATAAAAACGAGCCGATTATTTGTCAACACGCACAAGCGTTAGTTCATCCATTTTTAGCTATAAGGAAATGTAAAGGCGCTGTCGCTTCCGAAACGATAAATATTAGTCTAGATGGTACCAATTTAGCATGGAGTCCGAATTTACATCTTCGACTTCTACAGCTTTGGCTAGAGTCCGTAGATTTTAGATCGATTATAGGTCGAGATGCATCACCGATCGATGTTCAAGGTACCGTGCACTCCTTTTTTTGTTTCTTTCACCATTTCGATTGTTTATAGCGAAAGTACAGTTTATATCGATCTAAATTTTGTTCACAGACAAGAAGGTTGAAAAGCAGAAACGGGTGGTGGATATACTGGCCACCGGTGGTATTAATCTGTCAATTGATATATCTCCGAAACACTTCCTGGAACTTTCATCGGATCAGTTGCGTTGGTCGCAGGGAGAGTGGAGGTTGAATTATGTTCGCGCTACATTAGATATGGCCGACATAATTATGATAGAGGGTTTCGAACTTGTTAAAGCATCGGAGAATAAAGAAGTGCGAATAGAAAGACAAAGTAACGAGGGTTTTGTTCTGGATTGGAACGAGACTTGGGTGCTTAACATCGAATCGGTGAAGGCTTGCTTCCCGTACGAGCATCAGTTCACTGACGCTATCCAAAACGAATTGTTCAGTATAAGGAAATGGTTGAAGGAAATTCATTCTGCTTCGAGTAGGAAAAAGGAAAAGCGTTTACCGCGCGATTTGATTCTGAAGGTAAGTTCTTCTCAGCCAAGCATTGTTTGGGGGGAAATAATAAAAAGCAGGAGTTATCATTTACCAATCATTTTATACGATTGCAGATAAAAGAGTGGGTATTCGAAGTGAGCGATGACCCGTTCGAGGTACGGTTGCGGGACAATTACGAGCTTTTGGAGGACGAATACAAGGAGAGCTTGAAACGTCAGGCGATGCTCGATGCTAAAGTACAAGAGCTTTGTCGTGCTCATTTGTTGTTGCCCCAGGATAAAGTCGAAGAACTATATGCCAGTTTAAACAAGAAGAATGCCGAGATTTACGTGCAAAGGTGGAAGCAAATGCAACGCGCTGGCCCAGCGAGGACGCGATTGTTCGCGTGGTCTATGCTAGATCTCGAAATATTGATCTTGGCGGATCCATCGATCGACGGTATGGATAATGCGACAAAGGCTCTCCGGGAAATGGACGCGGAGACGCCTTGGCCCGAGGATGGCCTCGAGTTTAGCGCGCTCTGGGTCAGAGGAATAAGCCTGAAATGCGCCGAATGGAAGCTACACTTACGTGATTTCCCGCAGCCATTACTGCTCGTTGAAAGTTTGAGCGTGTGGGGTAGACTGGCTGGCGCGGAGGCTCTGGCGCCATCTCGAGCAAGACGCACCGTGAGAATCGAGATCGGCGCGCCTTGGGAGGATATCGTCGTGGAAAGAGGAATGACGTCCTTGAAATATTATCACGATCTGAATTGGGATATCGATAAATTTAGATACGCTTTTGGACCGTGTTGGGAACCGGTGATAGCTCAGTGCAATCTCAGCTTCGAGAAGATACTTCATCCGTCGCGAGACCCGAGTCCTCCGTTACCATTCTGGGATAAAATGCGACTGGCTCTTCACGGAAGATTAACGCTTTGCGTGAAACAGTTGACGGTTTTGCTTCACGGCTCGCTAGACCCGTACAACACGACGGAAGAGATGGAACTGACATGGTCGGGGCTGGAACTGGATTGGACACAGGGAAAGATTATCGTGAAAGGGGATCTGGACGTTTACGTTCGCACGGCGAGCAAATACGACGATTGCAGATTGCTTCATCTACCGAACGTGCGTCTGAGCATAAAGCTGGCATGGGTTTGCTTAGGCGATCCCAGGGATCATCATGCCGCGATACCTTGCGCCGCCGATCGACTTCCGGAATATTCGAGCAACCAGGAGCACGATTCGTTCAGGGCGTTTCGATCGCAGAATTTAAACGTCAGTCTTTCGCTCGAGACGAAGCCGATCTCCGGGTCTCCGGCACTCACAAGCGCACCGACCGCGTTGCTTTACGGGAGTACTTTAAGATGGTTCGAGAATCTCAAGTTCATTTTGTCCGGAGCGACGAGGCCAACGAGGAAAGGACCGCTCTTCAAGAACATCAGACCTCGGAAGAAGCAACTCAGCAGACATTACAGAAAAGTCAGATTGACCTTGGCTTTCCATCGATTTCACGTCAGCTATTGGATGTCGTTCGCGATGCAACGCGGATTTGAGGTGACCGGCGGGAGGGTGGCTTGTAGCTCCGAGCACAGCTTGTCGTTGCACCCGATCGGCGACGGTTTGATACATCGACCGCGAGCGGAATGGTCGGTGGTGTACATGAACTGCGAGCTCAGCGATGCGGAGATTTGGCTGAAGAGCGCTCTCCAAGAGGACGAGGAGAGTGCCTCGCTGCGACAACCGGTCGAGAAGTGTTACTGTTTGAGCGTGGCTCGTGTCAGTTACGGCAGAGAGGCAATGGTAACCGGGGTGAGCGGAGGAGACACGCCCACGCATAGGCTCGTCGTGCACGATTTGAAGGGAGCTTGGACGAAAACGAACAGAGACGTTGCCTTCGCGCTTTTCGATTCCTTCATAAAAACTCAACAGCTGAAGAAAAATCTTTCGACCGCGGCACTGAAAGGATTCCACAGGGAAAATTCTGTGACTGCGCATAAGAATCGAACGAGACCCGTCGAGCCGCAAAACGCACCAGCGCAAATAAGCTCGTCGTCCGCGACGAAACCGCAACAGGGGGAGGCAGTCGGGATGTTGCAAAGATTGATAGCCGAAGCCGCGAACAAGCCGGTCGCGTTCAGCGACGATCTTTCGGTGCAAACGAGAGGTCAGCAATTGCGCGGATTGGCAGCTTGTCACCAAGACGACGTTCTGCACAAAAATTGGCTAAGTATGGCCTTGCTCTTTATCATTGTTATCATTACGATTTACCTTACCTGTAATTGTGCGTTGTCTATTTCAGTTGCCTTGGTGAACAGTCAAGTATTGCTGAAAGGTATTGAAACACGAGGTTACGTGATTTTATCCGCGGCCAAGGCTGAAATATTGCAGAGAATTCATCAACCAGTATGGAAGGAGAGAACTCTGGTGTCGAAGACAACGTGGGTCGGGTCGTTGGAATGTATGCAATATTATGCAACCGTCAGCGCCAACATTGACGAAAATATCGACGATAATATAATGTGGTTGACGTTGGACAACATACAGGTACTAAATAAACAGAAATTAATACGTACAGAATCCATTGACAACGGTAATATTAAAATTAACAAAATTGTTAAATTTACCCAAGGAAAAAGATTCGACTGTGATAGCTGGTTTACCGGATGTACCAGCACTGGTAGGTTCCGGACAGAGCGTAGGCGGTGTTGTGAGTCAAACCGTTGGTGGCGGTGGCGGACCCCAACACCAACTCCAACGAATCGTCTCGAGATGCAAATGTGAATTTTTCTACGTTGGCTATGGCCAGGTGCTAGACGTTGGATCTATAGATCAAGTCCCTCCGCCTCCAAGAGAAGAAGTCAGTTTATGGGAAAGAAAAGAACTTTCGGCTGCCGATGCATTCACGTTAATGCATCACGATTTGGATGTCTGTACGAATTCCCTGCAGTACGCTATGATTTTAGATATTGTGAACAATCTATTGCTTTACGTCGAGCCAAGGAGAAAGGAACGATTGCAGAGAATGAGATTTCAATTACAGCTACACTCGGTAGAGGATCAGAAACGACCGATTCAACAGTTGCAAAACACTGTGCGCGGATTGGTAGCGAAATTAAGAAGATTGGAACGTGAAACATACTTGGTGCAAAAAGCTCTCGCGGATGAATCTAGTCCTGAGTTGTTGGCAGAAATGGAACGATTGGAAGTGAGAGTTTTCGAGTGCAAGGAACAACTCAGTGCTAAGGCGGAGGAACTTGATGTGATGTTAAGCTGCTATAAAGAAACCACCGCCCCCACCACAGCCTCGACTACTTTAAAGGATAAACCAGCATCGGTCGCGAGAGTGGCTGAAATTTGTTTCAAGCATGCCCAGTGGAGGTTGACGGACGCGGATGGACAATTGGGTATCGCTGACCTTATCTTAACCAATTTCTTGTACACCAAAACTAGCAAAACCGACGACTCGGTCGAGCATCTTCTCGAGTTGGGATACGTTAGGATGACTAATTTATTACCAAACCAAATTTACACAGAAGTATTGACACCCACGGAATTACAAAGTAACATGCCCGTTGATAGGCAAAGAGCCCTTCGAGTTTTTTGTAGGGAAAAAGCACCGGTTGCTGGAATATCCGTGAAAGAACATTTCGAGATCAATGTGGTTCCTTTAACGATAGGTAAATTGAGATTCTATTTAAAAATTATAGAATTTGTCGATCCCATTGTTTGTAACTTCTAATTTGATTTAGGTTTAACGAAGAAATTTTTCAACACCATGCTTAAATTCTGTTTTCCCGAGAGAGATCCAGAGGGAATAGAAGAGCCACCTGCGCCGCAACGAGATTCCTCGTTTTACGTACCAATTGAAAGAAGAGACGATGTTGAAAAGATGAAAGAAAGAGCGGATAAAAATAAACTTTTTATATACATAAAAATACCAGAAGTACCCGTTCGTGTTTCTTACAAGGTATCTATAGAAAAAACGAAGGCATCTAAATTATTTATCTTACAATGACAAACTTTCTGAATTGATTGTTTCGTTATAGGGGAATAAAGAAAAAAATCTAGAAGACGTTCGTGACTTTGCTCTAGTAATACCTACATTGGAATATCACAATGTCACATGGACGTGGCTCGATTTGCTTCTGGCTATGAAAAGTGATTCCAGACGCGTAATATTAAGTCAAGCTATTAAACAAAAATTACAGATCAAGCCAAGAGGCCCGCAGGAAGAGTCTGCCCCGCAAGAAGAAGATAAAGCTCGACTTTTGTTAGGAGCTAGACATCTACCCGGTGACGCGAGAAAGAAAGGAGTATTTAAATTTAAGTAGTCTACTATTCCTGTCCCTAGACATTGGTATTTATTGTAATAAAATATTTACTAAAAAAAAGGAAGTCGGATGTATTCAACATATAGTACCTAGACTAGATTATGTACATCGTTTGCGCGTTAAGTATTTTTATTAAAACGAAACAATATTCGTAAACTTTTCTATTTATACTAATTGTACAATAAAATTTAAACTCATATAATAGACGTTACGTGTTTCATTTTATAATAGTTCTTTTCTAAATTTTGTAATGTTTAAACATTGTATAATGTTAATACACTGTTATTTTGATTAATCTTCTGTTTACATTTTAAGCATAACTGTGCATATTTTCAAAAGTAGCGCGATTGCCAAGTAAAATGTGATCGTGCCTCATCTACAAATATACTATTGCCTTACAAGGGATCATAATAATTTGTAATCGCTTAATGATGATCAAAAGTATTTCATTACATTCTGATTGTAAGACCTGTTACAAAAAATAAAAGATACCTTCTAATAACATTTCGTAAGTAAGGTTATATTTCCCATTTAAATATTTATAGTTCACACACAACATAATGTTAAAGAGTAATTAAGGGAGCCTCTGCATTTTTCCTTGCATGCCTCCATTCATTTAAATCAGCTAAAATTCTCCTACCGTACATAGTGTGCAGTTCACGAAATGTTATCCTTGTTCGTGGAATATTTTCAGTTCTGCCAGGAGCAGATCTGACACTTTGAGAACGATGATGAGATTCTGGTCGATTAAAAGGATTGTGTCGCTGTCTCGGTGGTGCTTTAGGCGATTGCGCGGGAGGTACAACCACTGTAGTTTCTTCTTCCGCAGCATCCAACTGTCTTTGTAATTCTGCCACCATAAGTTTCATGTAATCATAACTCGCGCAAGCCAAAGCTTTCATCCACTGTTCCATAGATTCCTAAAATGTTAATGCAGACATATTTTTACAGACTGTAAGCAAAGCATGGCACTATAACAGTATTTCTACCTGAGATTCTGCCGCAAGAGCATAGTTTCTATTATTTGGTCCGTGAAATACAATTTGAAAGCCAAACTGTTCCTCATCTTCTGCTAATTCAATAGTACAACCTTCTAAAACTATCATACCCACTGGTTCTTTGTCACCACGCCGTTCAAAGTAAAATAATATATTTCCTTTGAGAACGAACCACCTCTTTTGATAACCACGATTTAGTTCACCGCGTTTATTTAACCAACCTTCACGATCCACCGGTGTTGCCGAAGTCGCGAAAGCTACCATATTTTTCTCGTTTATTTTCATCGCATTTGAATTGTACTTTCAAATGGACGTATGCCAAAAGCTAAAGCAAGTCACAACTGAAGACAAATTATACTGACTTTACACAGTACTTTCTTCGTTTGATACTTTGATATTTCTTATCAAAAAACAAACGTAATTGTTTCACTTGTCAACGTCGTTTAAATCATTTCAATACAAGACAGGTTAACTTTGTATATCGAAATAATTGAATCTCTCAAATAAATATGCTTTAAGTAATACACAGCGAAAGTTTGTACTTTGTTAAGTATTTATTGTGCACAGTGCTCATATTCTCTATTTTGACATTACTCGACAATGTTTACGCGTTTAGAAAATTGCTCTACTAGCCAGTGTGGCCAAATCTGGCTACGGATAGCATGCAAAATCACTAACAGTGATCACAAAATCATGATTACGCTTGTGACTAAACTCCACTCACGACCGTGATCCGAAAGGTGGCGTTTTAGTAGCGGTTGTGATCGTTAGTGTACCGCTAACTTCGCTCAGTGGAAATTCAAAGAATTACAAATGCGCCAAATTTTAATTGTATAGTAATGTAGTCTAAGCAATGAAAAAGGCTGGATTCGGTCTGGGTTATTATTTAAAACTAACAACATACATAATTTTGATGGTTTTAAATTAATCCAGCTTTTGAAAATATCGGAAGAATTTTAATGGAGTAATCGAGTTCCCATTAATTCCCGTCGCGGCGCTATATGTACTGTGACCACGCTTTGAGGGGAAAGTCACTAGCACCGAATTTACAACTTTTCTTAACGTTTGACGGTTGAGTGACATAACTGAGCAGAGTCATTATGTTATTAGCTAATTAACTTTCCCTAAAAAGAGGCTACGTGATGACTCGTTGTGTCGAGAGGACTATATCATGTTGCTAAGCTACTAGGCGACACATTCCCTCCAAATACTTAAAGGGAACTTGAAAATAAAAACACTTAAATTAAATTATTTAAATAATTATCAAATAGATAATGAATAATACAATTGTTAAAATCCATCGAATGATTCAGACACACTGAGTTGAAAATTGATCTGAACTAATTTTTTCACAAATCTCTTGCTCGGTAATTAACAATATTTAAGTGTAGAAGAATATCATTAATAATTTACTAAATTTCTTACTATAAAATTTGTAAGTGGTAGTACGAATTACGAATACATGTATCTCTTAAGGAAATGCAGTATTTCGTTCAACATTCTCACAAAGAAAAATTCTTACAAATGTTTACGTTTAAAATTTATTTTGATACGCAGTGAGAAATTATAGATGGTTCTATAACATTACTACTGGCGTTGTATTACAATTCATGAAAATGAAACAAATAAAATGCATGGAAGAAAAGTAGTAGAGAAACACAACGTTGGCTTCGTTCGTATAGTGATTTATCGTTCGTGCAGGGCAAACGAGTGTAATAAAGTGACGCATTCTGCTAGCTGCTAACCAATTTTGATTCATTAATAGGTCGACCCGTATGACCCAAAGTGTCAGAGACTACTAAACGAATTAATTTACCCACGTTCTTAGTGCGAATACGCAATGTGTACTTTTTCCCTGCAAAAACAAAATTCTGCTTGTTTTCAATTGTGATTACTTCTGTTTGGGAGAGTTATCTTGTATGTACAATTTGCATGAACAATATAGTTCTATTATAAATTGAAGGCTATTCATCTTAAGAAATTCCATGCAATGTAGGTGGAATTCTCGCGATCGTAATCTTGTTTATTATAAACCTATGCGATATGAAGGTAATTTAAATAAAAACCATTTATCGCAGAATTTTTCTTTTTACACTAGTAATCGATAATATCGATTAAAATACAAACACGTAATTTTCATTCCCAATAAATCACCGAACAACCAATCCGATTTAAATACCCTGTTATTAAAACACATTAATATAGTCAACGCATTTACGTTATCTTTCCCTATTGTCAAAGTTGTTGATATAGTTTAACACCGCATAAATTTGTTAGAATGTAATATAAATCTTGTAAATTTTGTTCAACACAGTTAATACAATACAAAATACACAGTTGTATATATTTGTATAACATGTGATTATTAATTGTTGTAGTATATGTGTTGGTTTTCTTCTTTTAAATAAACATTACTTTTATTTGAAGTTTTACAACTTCGCTTGAACAACTTAAATAGATAGTTCTTATCGTTTTGTTTGTAAATGAATCCGAAAAGTAAACGGTTAAATTTTGTATTACGAACAATATACGATTAACTATATTTTTCCAAGAAGAAACAATTTATTTGAGTCATAATTATGTTTCATTGTTGCAATATTTTTATCCTTGCGTATGTGAATTATACATGCACGTATATACTTATAGGACTTACTCGATATTTTTAATTGTTTAATATGACGAATCTAGAAATGTATGGCGGTAAACTTCCGTACATGCAATCATATGCATAAAATTTTTCACAAAGCATACATAACTACGAAATATGCAATAATATACAACAAAAGTTATGCGTTACGTTCATCAACGTAACTTAAGTTCGAACATAGAAATTTCAATTCTGACATTAAAAGATTATTGCCTGTACGAATTTAACATATGTTTATAATAATATGATGGATTGGTATTGTAGAAAAGTTGAGTTAAATTATATTAATTTTTGTTGTAATATATTAGTATCGCGATCGTTATGCTGTTATATTTAATGTGTAGCAATAAATATTCGTATGAAAACGTGAATTTAAAAGATTTATTGCCGTTAAGTTTAATTTATCAAAATTTCGACAAATTCTTAATTATGTGTCTCATTGTTTGTACAAGTTGAATATGTTCGATTGCTAAATATACGAGGGTACGAGAAAAAATAAAGTGTTGAGAAATACATATATGCAATTAATCCGTGCAATTAATATTTCGTTTAAAAACAAAACCAGAAGAAATATGATTAAAACAGTTGAGTTATTAATTTCAATAAAATCACTTAGCACACATCTTTGCGGAAATAATGCGGTATAATCTAAGAATAATTTGACGAATTATGAAAGTCATAATGGAAGTTGCATCCAACTGCAAAAGTGTTTTGATTAAAATTTTATTGTTTCTTTTAAATATAATTTTTTATTAAAATGTTACTGTGTTAAAATGTTTTAATTAAAAACGAAATTCTCTCTATACTTTTCAATTTCATTTTTTATATAAAGTACAAAATATTCCTTGTATTTTTATTTCTTTAAAAAATTTTATCAAATTTACAGATGCAGTGGTTTGCCATAATAATGTGCTTATATGCAGGAGTGGCAAGCGCACGAACAGAAGAAGATCAACAAACATCCTCATCGATCTCGATTACAGGAATGTCTGGTGGTCTTTTGGACCAATGTTTTCATCAACAACCATCCGAGTGTCCTAGCATTGAGACAACTGGATGTTCTTGCAAAAAGATCATCCTTGCTCCTAATAATCCTGAGGCCAATGCTGTTCTTTGTTGTAATCTGGACAGCAAAAACTTTGAGTCCGAGCTTTCTTGCGCAGGTCATTATAAGACTGGTTTATTACATTATCATCCAATAAAATAATTAATAATTTCTTTACATGGTATGCTTGCGTATACTTTGTAGGATTTCCATCAAATATATCTTATATACATATAAGAAATGCAACATTAGATGTATTTAATGTGAGTGAAATTCGATGGAGAAGATTAAAGTCACTTGCAATAACCGATGGAAGAATTAATCGAGTGAAAGGACAATTTCGGATGATGACACCAACATTGTGTTTGAACCTTTCGAACAATGCTCTCATCGAAGTAGAAAATAATTCGCTTACTCGCTTGGTTCAACTTACTACTTTGGATTTGTCTTACAACAATCTTACACATTTACCAGCCTTAAATACAATGAATGGCCGTGAATTCTGGTTGGACATTTCAGGTATATAAACACAAAGACATAAAGAAAAGATACTTTTCTTTTGATACTAGTACTTTTTAAGTGTTGCATACAAGTAATATAGTTTGTTACATTTAGGAACAAACACACTTTGGTGTCACGATATCTACGAATATATTAATAAAACAGGGGAGAAACAAATTAATTTCAATCGCGAAAATGAAACTGTATGTTCAGCAAGTAAGACATGGCACTGGTTCAATACTACGGAACAAGTTCCTCTGAAACAAGTTCGATACCTTAGTTTGGTAATATTTTCAAAATATAATACAGATAATAAGCAATGATGTAGTTGTATTACTTTGATCAATATTTAAAAATGCTTTTACTGTCTTACAGTTACAAACAGAATGCCCTAAGGGGGATACATGGCAATGTCAATGCAATTTTGGAAGATGGGATATTGCTGCAGGTAAACCACCAACTTTAGCGGTAAACGTGGATTGCAGTGGAATTCAAATTACTGAATTACCTGAAAAGTTACCTCGCAATACCATAACATTGAATGTGTCGTATAATAACGTACGTAAATTTTACACATTATTGCATTATTTAAAAACTGTTTAAATGTCTGTAACCATTACGGTTTACTGTTACAGATTACTGCATTGGACGATCTTAGTACCAATCCGTGTTACGAAGATATTAGAGAATTTTATGCCGATTATAATAATATATCGTCCATAAATAAACTGGAAGGTTCCAAATTTTTAGATAACTATGCTCTACTTAGCCTGCGATATAATAAAATCAAATCTGTAAGTAAAAACAGTAACAGCGAGTGTTACTATTTTGAGAACAATATCAATGTTGATTTAAATTTTTAGCTTCCAACGTACATTTTGAGCCATAATACACACGATAAAAGTATTATCAGCTCGCGGTTGGTAAAACTTGGAGGAAATGAGCTACATTGCGATTGCAATACGGCTAAATATTTAAAGGTCCGTATACGTTATTTAAATGTGGAAATAAGTATATATGTATAATATTTAAAATTACATCTCAGGTGTGGCTGCAATCCCGCATATTAGATTCAGACGAAGTGTTATGCGAAAATGTAAAAGAAAAAGTCGTTGATTTAGAGCCATCGAAGATGTGCGTTTATCCAGGTGATTGGACAGATTATATTTACTATATTATTGCCACGGAAGTCGTACTTTTAATAGGTCTGATAGCTAAAGTATCTTACGATTATTGGATCTTCAAAACAGCAGGTTATCTTCCATGGCCAGCAAACAAAATGCCAAAATTACCTTGTGACTGGCTATGCGAGACCTAGCGTTATATCGTTAATCATATTTCACTGAATCATGCAAAACAATATCTTGACACTATTTCTACAAAATTGAACATTGTTCATTTTATTAACACGTTCACTACGGCTCTATCGATGACTCATTGTCATCCGCACAAAGTAAATTATTAAGTATTTACTCGTTCGTACTGAACCATAAAACAAATTATATACAAGTAGTCATCGTCAATCGTTTATAACAATACTGAGATCTACCGAACGAAATCAAGTGTTATCGTGAATGTGTTAATATTCTGTTATATACTATATCTCTTTCTAAGTGCCTTCCTATATGTACTAAACACGCGTGACCACAGAGATCGACAGTAATATGCAACTGGAATATTAAAATAAACAGCAATATTTTTTATATAAATGATTACTTAAACTATAAATTTGTTGCATATAGCTATGTAATTGCAATTATAGTAAGTTCTGTATATACGTGGTTAATTTATTCGGCAGCTCTGCGTGTAAATCAAATTTTATAAATACGATGTATTGCAGTGAAAACGAAAGATCAGAATTGGTTAAAGAATAATGTGATGCCGTTATTAAGGGAAATGTAAACTGTGTACAGTAATTTTTTAGTCGCAAATTTTTGACCTAATACGATTAGCAATTCCTGCCGAGGCTGATGTTTCCCTCTCTACAATGTTTACTATATAATCATTGTTAGAATGTTAGATGCAATTAAATAAATCTATACGTACTCTTTCATGGAAAAAAAATTGGAAAAAAGAAAACTTTAATCAATGCGTGACATAAAAGACGTAAGTGAGAACAAACGCGCGTATCTATCGGTGTAATTCAAGGATACACTGTATTTTGTACGTACACTGCGTGTAGGCCGCAACGAAGATGGTTAACTGTTTAAATTTGGAGATTTTAAATAGCAATTTGATTAAATGTTATTGCTTTTAATAGGTTAGCGAACCTCTGTGCATTTTAAGTTTTGACAATAATTAACATTATAAAATTATTTATAATTGTAAGTGTTGTTTAAGTAATTTAAACTTTTAATTAACGCTTTTAGTACTGTTCTAAAAGCTGTAGTACAATTATTTGCAAGCAATATTGTGACCACTCTTAATTTAAAATAATTCACTCCAGTAAATATCAATTAACATTAATCTATTATAATTGATTTGAAATGTGGTATGTTTTAATGCAAGATAATAACGCAAATCAAATACGTAAATTTAATTACTTGTTATTGCGCAATAAAGATGTGATATTTTTTACTATAAATTGTTGTTGGTGTTTATCATTAATTAATATCTCATAATCAAAATATACTAATGGGATATTTTCGAAATGCATGAAATGTTATTATTTATATTATTGCGTATAATGTTTAATTACAAATTTTTGGAAACAGTAATAAATTATTACCTTGGTATCCATGATTTTTACGACTTTCGTAATGTTTTTTATTTTTAATTTAATCCAAAATTAATTTCATTTAATATCGGGAGTTTTTTTTATTGGTTTCCTATAATTAGAAACGAAAGAATCCAATTATAAATAGTAATGTTTCGGGTCGGTCGCTCATCGCTTATGCTATTACAAACGTATATATGAAAGTATTATACCTTATTTTTCCTTTATTATGTACCCGATTAAATTTTGGTATTGTAGATATTGTTTCTCTGGTAGGAGCTCTACGTTCAAGTTTTCGTCTTTCCTTTTTTGTATGCTTCTTCATAGTTAACATGTACTCAGGAACATTGCACCCAGATTCACGCATTACGGCAGCTATACTAAAATATTAATATGTATAACAGAGCTACTTATCCTTGTGTTACTAATTTTATTGATTATTAATAATTACCTTCTCAAGTTTGTAGTATCTTCCTCGGTAAAAAAAGTAATCGCTTTTCCTCTATGTCCAGCTCTCCCGGTACGCCCTATTTTATTTAATCCATGATCAGAATTTTAAGCTACATATTTCTACATTGAATTTAGAAATACATACCAATTCTATGAACGTAAGAAATAGCAGATGGCGGGAAATCATAATTAATGACAAGATTTACACCCTTAAAGTCAATACCTCTTGCCATTAATTCTGTACATACCAAAACCCATATCTTTCCTTCTCTAAAGCAACGAACAACGTTATCTCGCTAAAACAAAAGGAAAACAATATTTGTACTGAATTCGATTTTATTAATAAATAATAATCCGTATAAAAAAAATACCTGTGTCTGTGTTCTATCAGCGTGAATAACATCGACGTTAATTCCATCATATATAAGTTCGTTAAATAATTCTTGTGCCCTTTCTTTACTTTGTACAAACACAAGCACAGGTGGCAATACTCCCTTTATTGAATGTAGAGAAGATAAAATAGATAAAATAAAAGTATTTGAGTAGAAATAGTAATCATTTACGTAAACTATTATATCCTACTTTTTGAATAATATTTCTAATCGCTACGAGTTTCCCTCTTTCTGTTCCAACAAATAAAAGTTCCTGTTCTACTAAATTGGTTGCAGCATTTCTGTAACAAGTATAATGCTTGTAAATGCATTGTTTAGGAAAATAATATAGAACTTTCACGATTAAATGTTAGAAAAAGAATAAAAGAGAATAATATAAACCTATGACCAATGGTAACTGTTATAAGACCCTTCAAATTATGTCTGCACCATTTTGTCACTACGGGAGTATTGGTTGCACTAAACATTGCCACGCGTAAATCTTTGTTTGTGCACGCTTTTGTAATTTCTCCCAACTGATCTCTGAAACACCGCGTTCCATCTTCAAAAAGTTTATCTGCCTCATCCACAACCAGCCATTCAACACTATGTAAATTAAATCATATAAATATTATGCTTTATTAAAATGGAATCAATGCAAAATAAAATTGATGAAACTTACTTTGTTAAAGACACAGCCGGTGGATCCTGATTTAAAAGAAATATTATTCTTTTCGGTGTAGTAATTAGTATATCTGTAAATTAAGAATGCCACAGTTTTTGTAACTACCCGAATAATTATTATGGAAGCGAGTTTCTATATATATTTTTACTAACCAAATTTTTGTGAACTTTTAGGCCCATATTTGCTTAATGCTTGGTTAATTTTACTTATAATATGAACTCTCAAATTATAGCCTTCGCTAAGACGTACACATTCTCTGTATGTTTGTTTAGATAATTCTCTCGTAGGACTTAAAATAATAGCTCTGAATCCTTTCTTCTGTGCTTCACTTAAATGGTATATTATTGGCAACAAAAAAGCAGCTGTTTTGCCAGATCCTGTTGGAGCACATGCTAATATTTGTCTACCCTGTTTTTTTATCACGAATATAAAAAATCAATACTTTGTTTCTTAGCAAAATGTTTGTTATTGTCAAAATATTAGAAGTTATAGGCCACAATTACTTTACTTGTAACATAACAGGCATAGCTTGCATTTGAATTGGCGTAGGATGTACATAATCGCATTCTACAAGATTGTTTAGTAATCTTTCAGGTACAGAGTAAGTTGTAGACAAATCCGTAAATTGTAATATTGGATCAGGCACACGACCTCCTGTCACACTTATATGATATTGATTACGGTATTGATTAATCTGAACAAAAGAATAGTTCTTTAAAAATTTATCTTTACAACCATTCGATTTGTATAAACATAATGTTTTAAACCTTTTCTTGTTTCAGCTTTAATTGTTTCTCTTCGTTCAAAGATTCTTTAGCTTTCTTAGACTTTATTTTACTACCATCTTTAGGAACAGATATTCCATCGAGCAGTATTAACCTATTGGTGTTTTCTGTTTCTTCATTAATTTCGTCATATTTTCTTTTTGCGGGCAACATTAAAGAATTTACGTTATCCAAGGTATTGATTTTCTTTTTATGCTGGAACCCATTTTCAGTCTGTTTTTTTACAAGCTATGGCAAACAAAACATTTATAAAACTGTTGAAGTACATTTAAAGTGTTTATTTTTTTATTTTGGAAAAGTACCTGAAATTTTTCTGCTTCGACATGAAAACGCTTTTTGTCGAATTTTACACCACTAGAAAGTTTTTGAAACAGTTCATACGCATCCATCCTTTTTTCTTTTTTATTTAATAATGATTAGTTTGATCGTAGTTTGTTTTGATAAACACGTGCACCGACGTCGACACTAAAAACGACGAACTTCAAAATCAAAGTTAAGACTGTTTGGTCAACGAAAAGACCAAAAATAAACATTCTTTGTTATAAAATTAAAGAATTATTATTTGGAATAATACAATACTTCGGAAATAAATCGTTTGAATATAGTTTATCAAGTCTTTGGACATATAAGGGTTTTTGACTGAGTTGGGCAAAATATAATCAGAAAAATGAGTAATGATTATGATTTCAATAATGTGTGTAATAATGACTAATAAGGGGTAATTATTAATATACATTGCAACAATGATGTTTTGTTTAAAAAATGATGCACAACATCAGGACTGACTAGCGCAAAATTATTTGCATTATAGTCATAGATTAATATTTTAAGCTTGTATTGGACAGTTCAATCTATACGTATTACATAGAAAATTATTTCTTAATATAAAACAAATTTATTAAAAATTCAGGCACGGAGTGGGCTTGTTTACATTTTATATTTTATACATGTATGCAACGTAATAAAACTAGAATAATAAAAGGCACTATTGTAGTTTCACCGCCATGGTTTCCTTACAGTTCCAGCACTAGTACTCCTTTTAATACTATGACCTGAAAGTTAAAAGTTTTTTTTTATGAATGTGTAGTCTACTATAAATATACACAAATCAAATACGCAAGCAAATAAATAAAAAAATCTTACAGAAGAATTTTACAGTTTAATCATTGCATTAAAAAGAAATAACTTACATAAAATGTTTGGAGAAATAAGTTTTTCTTTAACATCAGACGTCCAAGTTTGACATCTAGATCTAGATAAACACGAACGTGCAAATGAAGTTGGTTGATATTCTTCCATCCTGACAAGAAGACAAAAAAAAATATAAATAAATCACAGCATATTTATTACTAATTAAAATTTAAATACTTATATACTACATTGACATAAGAATAGAAATAATATACATATAATTGTTCATTTTCGAATTCCCATCTTGTACAAAAGAAGCCGCCTAAATGTTTAGAACATGAAGCAGCATTGCACAAAGCCAGTCGTTAAGTATGCGCGATAAATATTAACTAATTGACAAAATTATGATAGTAAATACATTTAATGCAAATGGTAACAACAAATAATGAAATAATTTATTTTGTTTTGATAGATTTCTACATCTTAAGTATTTATCGAATTTTCTACAGAGGGCAAAGTAAATTGTACTATGCAGAGTCATACTCCTTCTGTTTTTTCCTGGCTAAGGTCCGTTGAGTTGCAAACGAATATGATCTGGCAGACATCGGACGTTCTATGCGAGATTGCTTGATTTCACGATCTTGCGCTATTACTTGCATTCTTTTCTCGGGATTTTGGGCAAATAACTCCACTATATTCATAGAAGCTGCATCGCACTTTTAGAAATCACAAAATTTTTATAAACAGTCTTTTAGTGGAAGTTTTCAGTCTCAACATGATTTTACTTTTACTTATGGCCGATAACGAGATAGTAACTTTAATAAGCCATATATGAAAATTAACAATGATTTAATAGGTCTTGCCAATTATAAAATATTTGCTCTATTACATCTTATTACTCGCCAATAACTATAAAATGTGAATAATAAAGAGGAAATGACAAATATTATACTACTATGTATATGTATAACTAGTAAAACTAGATTTTAACAATTAAACTACTAAATATAAAAGAAGCGTATAATTCTATCAAACTGCTGCTAATATTACCTGTAGTTGAAGGCGATGTAGAAAACTAATTTCTGACCGATTAAGAGGTGCATCAACGTGAAGCTTGAGCATATAGTGTAAAGCTTCCTTATATGTATTTTTCAAAGCAATCACGCGTTCTGTTCGCATCAATCTACGTACTAAATAGCCTCTTGTATATGCATTGATCACGTTTGCTGCTTCTGCCTGTAATATAAAAACTGTTTTAAGATTTTTCTTGTAATTTAAAATGAAAATATGATTTCTTACATGTTTTTCCCCATACATTGTCCTATCAAGCACTGGTACATGAATAGTTTTACTATCTAAAGGAAATAGTTGTCGACTAACGTTTAAACGTTTCCACCCGCGACCTTCTTCTACCGGTTTCTCTTCATGAGTCTTATTATCTAGTTGCATCTCAGAGTCTTTGTTTTCATCTGTTATTGCAGGATTGTTGATTTTACACGATGATTTCAACTTTAATGTATCAACTGAATGTGAACATTTAGTAGAATAAGGTTCCAAATTACAAACATTCATTTCGGGATAAATATAATCCAGTGGGCATGGAATCAAAGTTGCATTATTGTCACCTAAATGTCCTATTTCGCTTTCTTGTTGTAAATTACTTTTTAGGTTTTTTATATTTTCTGTAGTATCGTTGCTATTTTCGAAATGTTTTTCTCCATTGGGAGTAACTTGACTAAAAGCGGAAGACAGAATGTTTTCAGAGAGCAACGGAACTGAAATCTCCGGGAAGGATTTTCTGATTTCTGTGAGTAAAAGTAATTGTTGCTTTTCAAACTCCTTCTGGAGCAGTGTCTGTTCCCTTTGCTGTCGAGACACTAGTTCGTTCATTTGTTTTTTATGCATTTCCTGCACCTTTTTGTAAACTGTTAGAAGTTTATCAGATGCAATGGAAGATTTTAAATTGGACATAGAATCTTCTGTTTCCGTGTTCTTTGAAATTTCTCTTGTGAAATTATTACTCATGGAAATATTATTATGCTCGCTCTCCGTGCATTTGGAAAATGGTACACCATTGCTGGTTAAATTTTCCAAAGAACCACCATGTTTGTACGTTGATGGAAAAGTAAAGGAGCTATTGTACTTTTTCCATTTTTGAAATCTGTGTTTCTTTTCATTTTTATGGTCCATGGCATAGTGTCTATTGGAATTAGTTTGTGCATTACTTCTGTCACCATTTTCATTGGCTAACATTGTTTGAATGCAATCAACAGATCTTGTAGCTGGATATGCTACATAAACAGATTCAGGTTTCGACTGCAACGAATTTGATTTACATATTTTGGTATTGGTACTAGAATATAAATTTCTTTTCTGTTTCGGAGCTATTCTGTATGATTCTAGAGGAACAAATTCTTTACTCTTGGATTCATTTTGCCACTCGATCTTGGCTTGTGCAATATTCCATTCTTTCCGACGTATTGTATTTGTACACGTTGTTGGAACATATTCTGAACAAGGGTCGGAATTCGAACTAGACATTTCCATTTGCATGTGTGCAAGTAGTATAGGACTTGGAGTATCCAGCACATAAGAACCTTGACGTACTAATTTAGGAATATCCCCTGTATTGGATAAACTGTTTCTTTGATATTTTTCATCTTCTCTGGAATTATAATTACTCAATATCAATGGAATAATATCTAATGTTTTAGGCACTTGTGGTTTTGAAATCTCCGACTCTCTTCTAAAAGTACTGAATTTCGTTGATGTTACTTGATTTAAACAATGATCTGTGCCAATTCCAATAGTAATCAACTCTGGATTTATTTGACATTCAGACTTATATTCTGTATCTAACTTCCGCATATCCCATTGTGTGATTTTTTCTACATTTTCATTAGGACTTTCAGAAGTGTCTGTTGAAATATCATTAATAGCCATAACATTATTTTTATTCTGATCAATACTCTTGCATTCAAAAGGAACTAAATTCTCCTTCAAATTACAAATTCTTTTTCTAAGTTGCAAATTCTTAGATCCTTTCCTAACTGTTTTTGCATTGATATTGTCATGTTCCTGAGCAACATGTAAAATTGCCAATTTTCTCTCTATATTAATTGCAATTTGTTTATAATTGGACATTTCCTCTTTAATATCTTTAGTCATCTGAAAATAACAAAATCCTATTATAGGGTAAACATCATCCAATAAATATTATTATGATACAACATAATTAATATGCATACCATGGGCGGTAAGATAGGAACTCCGTTAATTTTGATACATGAAATATATGAATGAGCTTCCATATTTTTAACTCTTTAAACAGATCTGCTAAAAATGATGTTAAATATGTACTTACAGCAAACATAAATGAACCAAAGAATACTTATTTGTCCTGATAATAGCTCTTGTCTAAGGTGGATAGAAAACAAAATATTTCTTTGCACACCAATCAGAAAATATTATATTAACAAACATACCGTTCGTTTTCGCAAAAATATGAACAAAATAATTAGATGACAATGTTACATAGTAATCTGGAAAAAAATTAAATAAAGCATTATAGAAAATGATGGTAGTTTTTATTCATAAGTATAGTCGTACATTATACAATAATTTAAAAAAAAAAATATGGTAAAGTTGAAATAGAATTTATGGACATTAAAATGCACATTTAACAAATATAATTGAATCGAACATAAGTAAATATTTGTACAACAGAAACTATAAACTTAGTATACTGGATACCTGTTTTACAACTTCTTAGTATTTCAAGATTTGAATAATTTGATAAATTTTATTTAGTATCAACCATCACTTACTTCTATTTTATATTTTATGATTAGTATTTCAAACCATACCACAATAAATAAGGAAAATTGATTACCAAAGTGTCTGTTTGTATTTATTAAAAACGTTGAGAGACCAATACACGATTCTGATTTAATAACAAATTCTACGTTAAAAGCACTAAATTAACAGAAATTAATATCTAAGAATAAAAATTCCGCTAATTACTTGTATATTCTTTGCGATCTGAAAATTAAAACATCAAATCGGTTACTGTTTACCTTAATTGTAAGTAAGCAAATACAAAAGTCTAATTTCGTTACGGTTATTAATGATTTAACAGGTTGGGTTAGACTAGTGTGGCCAGATTTGGCATAATCGAATGCATCGACAGGCGACACTACTAACGACGAACTTCCTTAGCAACTATCGGATTCGTGGGGAAATTGGACACATCTTATCACACGAATCATGTTACGTGAACTCGGTAATTCATGCAACTTCGGGGAATCGAGAAAGAAGGCCAGTGCGAGTCTATCCTTCTTGATCTTGATATTTTCGCAGTGAAGTAACGCACCACGGATTATACACGAAGCTCTGAGATAGGCGACAAAAAAAAGTATGGTCCCCGACGTCAGTGTCTCTTGGCGATAGGAGCACGAAGAATAAACGTAACCTCGGTTTTATACGATATACGTATAACCGTACTCTGTACGCATACTCCGTGAACGGAATTGAACGAAGTAGTGGGAAGTAATTGCAAGAATATTCTGTCTCGTTTGTAACACTTTTTAACTTGAAAATTAAATCTCAGCAATTTATTTTTACATCAACTATGTTTGTAATAGCCGTGATCGAATTTTAACGAAAGAACCATGTGCGATAATGTGAACAACAATCCATTCGCTGGATTGTTTTCAACCATCAACGATGCCATGTCATTCTCGTCTCAAAATCAGACGGTTATCGACGAAAATAATGCAACCAATTATGTTACGGAGCCTGAGAATATAAACGTTCACGATACGACGGAGCCCACAGATTTAAAAAATTCCAAAGATTCTAAAATCAATAGTCAGATTAATCAGCTACTTGGTGACATATTTGGGATAACATTATACGCAACAGAATCGAACGATCATCAAAAGCAGAGATTGATATTTGTTGACGTCGATACGATCGAGCAAGCAGTTTTCGAGCGATTAATGCTTCCCGATCTTGAGTCTAAATTGGTCCCTGTGGAAGGTTGTCAGGAAATGCCCTGTGATTCTCATACATTGGACGAACAAGCAATATCTTATTTATTTGAAAGCTATTGCAGATTGCAACGATACAACAATAAATTAGAATTATCTGATACCTTCTGTCAAATACATCAGGTTATTTTACAAAATGCAGGTGTTGCATTACAAGAGCCATACCTGTTTGAAGGACAAGAGGTATATTACATATATAGTTGTACAGAGGGTACTTCAAAAATAGGCTGCCAAACTTTGGTGTCATATTCTATTCTCCTTAATTGGCGTGGAAACTCTTCCTTTTCAAGATATAAACACGTTCTCTTTACAGTGAAGTATTTTAGGAATTGTTACAACTTGTTTAAAACTTGTTTCAAACTGATATTCTTCAGCAATAATATATGTTTTACATCAATGTTTTAGAAATACGTTGAACATGTTTAACAATTTCTGGTTTATTGCAAATGTGAAAAGGAAAGGTTTCTTTGGTAGAAACTCTGCTCTCTTGGTATTAGAATAAGCTATCCTAATAAGACTATCTTATCTATTAAGATCATAATCATGTGCTGTTTTTGATATTAGGATGATTTGCTCTATTATGATATTTACTTCTAACAGAAGTATTTACAATAATTGTAATTCTACAGCTATTCATATAAAATGTTGAGACGAATAACAAGTGCTTATATCACGAAGAGGAAAAGTTTCCAGACCTATGTTTATATCACCCTTTTTTTGAGAGAGTGGAAGATGATACCAAAGTTTAGCAACATATTTCCAAAGCATCCTATATATGGTATCTTGTTCAATGTTTACAAAGATGAAAGAACAGATGACATTTGGAGAAATGGAATTTAACTCTGTTATATATTTCAGGTTCACAAGCAATTTATCGCATTATGTATGGACGTAGCTGGTTTGAAACCAGAACTTATATCATTTACCAATGGTATTGTAACTGAATTGCAAGTAGAAAACAGTGAAAATGCTGCCCATATAATTGGTGCATCATTTAGTCCTATTCTTAATATAATTTACAAAGAAGTAGCTCAGAGTAATTTTATCTTGTACCATAAATACTGGTTTACTATATTACAGCTCTTTTCTTTGAATGAATCTCTAGCCAAATTAATAATTAATCATAATGCTCCTGAAGATAATCAAGGTCGTGCTTATGAAAATACATTATTAGGTGCACTCTTTAGTTTAAGTTGTTTACCAAAAACAGTAGAAGAACAATTCAATTTTTTTGAAACGCCATTCCACGAGGCAAGTGATATATCAAAGTAATCCCGAATTCCAAACTGGCACTGGTTTTTTATGTACGTTTATTTAAATTTTTGCATTGCAGTCTAATTCTACTATCGAAGATAACATTTGGACAGGCCTAGATGTATTAAGCGAATCTTTGCAAAAGATTTTCCATTTGTTGTTAAAATGTTCGGCGGAAGTTCGTCATTTAACATTACAATGGATAGGGAATTGTCTTCATTCAAATTCGGGTAGGGGGAAAATTTGGAATTTACAGACCGACGTGAGTTTTAACACCGTGTGCGTCTCTGATGGTTTTATGTTAAATCTGGGAAATGTGTTATTACGTCTTTGTCAGCCATTTTGCATTAAACTAAACGAATCGAAAGTGCCTAAAATAGATCCAACATATTGTGCTGCAGAGGTTAGTCAATATTTAACAAATGGGTATCGAGAAGCATTGTATTTTATAAAGATTAATTTATTTTTTTAGACAAATAATGAGAATGAATGTTTAAACCATACTATACATTTAAAAGGAATGTCTTCTGAAACTTGTTTAATACCAGTATCAGAAGACGACACGAGACCAGTAGCAAAGACATTCGGATTTACTACAGAATGTTTTTTTTTAACTCATAGAGCTTTAGACCTTGGCTACAGAGTAGTATTAGATAAGTTCTTAAGGTTTGTACTCTTTCTGTATATTTTTCTAGGAAGAGAGTAAAATTTGTAACAAAATGATTATTATTTTTCATAACTGCAGAACAAGTCATGATTTGGTGAGAATACAAAGAGTATTTCAGGATGCACAAACTGGCGGTAGTTCAGAAGTATCAGAATTAATATCCCAGCGCATGAACGAAGAAATGACTAAGTATGAGCTTGTTATTTTCAAATCTAAATATTATATTTTTTTTATTTTTATTAAATGTAAAAATATTTGTTACGCAACACATTTTTTAAATATGTAACTTATACACACCATTGTGAATAATTTGTCGTAAATTATAGGTATCTGTCTTTAAAAGCAAGTCTTTTAGCGCCAGAGATGTTAAAACTCCTGGTAAAATTCCATGCAACAACAGCATTCTGGTTAGTGCAAGTTTATCTAAATGATGTACAAGCTGATGATAGCAAACAGAGCAATTATGCTCCAAAGGAATATAAAACGGTAACATTTCCTTTGCCAGAAACTGTTCCAGATACTCTGAGGTATCTATGAAGAATCTTCTGAATGTTCTATCTTTTTCATTCATATTGATAATTTTCGTTTTTAACAATACATTACTTGCATTTAGATGCATTCCCGAATTCGTGGTAGAAAATACCATTAGATTTTTGTGTTTTTTGCGCCGTTTTAACCCAAATGTTTTTGAAGAACAAGGCTCATTTTTTTTGTCCCCGGTGTTAACGGAGGTGAGCCAAAAGTGTGTTTAACAAATTAATATTAACGCGATATAGTAAAATAATTAGGTATGTTATCTTAGATTATAGTGTTAATGGAGTCTCAACAACAATTATACAATCCTCATTTACGAGCCCGTCTGGCAGAGGGTTTAGAAGCTCTTTTACCTACAATGGACGAAACCACGAGCCCTTCAACATCCAATTTGGGAACATTCCATAGAGAACAATTATTTATGACACACCCATATAGACAGCATGTACGTAATTGCTTCTGAATTCGTAAAATATTTTTCTCTCATGAGATTATATTTTTTGTAATTTAGATCGTTGCCAACTTACTTAAAGTATTTGTAAGCATTGAAATGACTGGACAAAGCGTACAATTTGAACAGAAGTTTAATTATCGACGACCAATGTACGTTGTTATGGAGTATTTATGGAAACTCCAAGAACATCGTAATAACTTCATGTAAGTGAAAAGTAAAGTACATACATAAGCTGTTTACATAAAGTACAAATTGATATCAATACTTTAGTTTGAATATTTGCCTTATAGTGCTTTAGCCGAAGAAGCAGAGGCTAATATGGACGCGGCTCAACCACCATTATTTTTGCGTTTTATTAATCTTTTAACGAACGATGCAATTTTTCTGTTAGAAGAAGCACTTTCACACATGGCACAGTTGAGACAATTGCTTCATGCAAGGTATTCCATTTAATTAATATTAAATTCTGATTTTTATTTGAATTTGATCAGCAATCGATAGAGTTCTACAGTTTTTTGTTGTTAAGTAATACGATATTAATTTAAATTGAAAGGGAAAGTGGCGAATGGAACAAATTACCACAACACGAACGCGATCAACAGGCTCACTATTTTCTACATCTTGGCATGACTGCACGATTTGACAACATATTAGGTAGAAAAACAATACAGACGTTAAAAATGTTAACGACAGAGATCAAATCTATTTTTTGTCATCCAACGATGGTAGATCGCATTGCTTTTATGCTTAATTATTTACTACTTCAGTTGGTTGGACCAAACAAGAAGAACCTTAAGGTACAAAGTATAATCATGCATCCATATTATTTGAACGCAAAGAGTTTTAATACATCGATTTGTTTTCAGGTGAACGATCAGAAAGAATATGCATTCAATCCAGCTAATTTAGTATTAAATATATGCGAAATTTATATAAATCTTAGTCACAGTGAATCTTTTACGCTCGCCGTTTCTCAAGACGGTCGGTCATACAGTCCTGAACTTTTTAAATTGGCCGATAATGTTCTCGGTAAATATTTATGCGCGACTAATTTCAGTAAAAAGAACAGAAAATATATAAATCAATAATATTTCAGTTCGCATTGGAGGTGTGGGTATATTAGGCGATTTGGATCAATTTGCAAAAAAGGTAACATCGGCTGCAACTAACAAGAGAGAGGAGGATGAAATTTTGGTCAATGCTCCCGAAGAATTCCTGGATCCTATTATGTCTACACTGATGATGGATCCTGTTATTCTTCCATCTTCGAAAATAACTATTGATCGTCAAACTATTTCGAGGTTGATACTGATAATACGGAACATGATTAAGTATATTAAATCATATTTACTATCGATATTCTTTAGGCATTTACTAAGCGATCAAACCGATCCATTCAATCGATCTCCCCTCACTCTGGATATGGTAAAATCTGATGTCGAACTTCAACATCGAATACGAGAATGGGTGCAACAACAAAAGCAAGAATTGAAACGAAGTTCTTAGTGATTATTCAAGAATAAAACTCAGCCGGTGATCGATCGTATGCATAGCATATTTGTCAAGTTTCGCAGTTGTGAAGGAATGGATAAATACAGTAAATCCATAAGGTTTCAGGATAACAAAGACAGCAAAACGTGATCTATGGCAAACCCACCATGTGTCTATGTCTTTCAGTTTAAATTTTGTTATTTTATAATATACAAGGGCATATATTTTTGTATACAAATTCTCATTATAGATATGTACAAATATCAATTTTGTCCTGTAATTGATGTCTTTTTGTAGAACGTTCGATATTGCATGTTGTGCAAAAAATCGTGTTCTATAATAATCTATGTAACAATGTAAACATAGAGCTAAACGTTTGTTATTTTATGATGAATGTAAAAATTGCACATTACAAAGTTTCTTATATTTAATTTTGACCGAGGTAGGTGTTATAAACGAATTTTAAATAAAACTGACTTCAATTATCGAAATATATAGCATAAATTTAGTTTTTATCAATGGATTAAATCGAAATCGATTTATGAAATTTTCATATGTTATACGTTCGTTGAAACATTTTTATCGTTGTTGAATCGTTACGAATAATTTAACGTTTAGAATATCATCTCTTTGCTTTTATAAAGCATTAGTAAGTTCGTTGAAATTGGTAATAAACCATGGAGCTCTTAACTTAACGCTTTCTCTAACTATATTCCCTCCATATCCTGAGACAAAAATAATATTAATCTTAAATAATAAGCAAAATTATTTATATATAAATTTAAAGTAATTGAGATATACCTATAAACGAGTCTGCTATTGAAATAGTTTCTAAATCTGTTACTCCATCACCAACATGGACAATAGTTTTAAGCCCGATTTCTTTTTTAAGATGCTCAATTACTTTTGCTTTTCCACCGCTTGCAGCAGTCGGCTGATTTTCATCAAATCCTGCATATTCTCCTATAAGTGGCATTCATTAAATTTTCAGATATAACATATTAAGCTAATCAAGGGGAAATTTAAATAGATAATAAATGATAACCTGTGAAATAGAATTTTAGTTTGTTTGCAAAGACATTTTCTATTGGAATATTAAGCAATGTGGCAACTGGTGCAATTAAACAGTGAAAACCACCAGATACCAAAAACACTTGCTTTTTATGAGCTTGTAGGGCTGTTACTAAAGCTCTGAAAATTTCTTAATTAGTTTTAGAAGAAACAAAGAATATTGCATTATAGTAATATTTTCCAGATTAAAATTATTTCTTACATTGTACCAGGCGTAAGTTTTGGTGGATGGGACAATAAGAATTGCTTCACTTGCATATAACTTGGTTTTATGATATTCAATCTTTTGGTTAAAGATTGACGAAATGTCACATTTCCTTGCATTGCCTGACTGGTTCTAAAACCGTTTTCAATTTATTTTTTCCACGAAAAATTAAGATCACCATTTGTATGTGTTGTAGAAGTTGACTTGAAAACGCACGAGTATTCGAATCAACAGAAATGAGAAAAAAACATCTTACAAGGCAGCAACTTCGTCTCCTTTTCCACAAAATTTTGCAAGCTCGTCAATTCCTTCTTCTTGTATAACAGTAGAATCGACATCAAATGTAACTGCATCCGCGTTCCTCCATATAGATTTCACGTCTTCCAATTTTGCCATCTAATTTCTGGGCAACAACAGGTGGTACGAGTATTTCAATTTTTGATCACGTCAGATATGGAAAAATCGATAATTGTTTGCACAAAAGTAATATCACTAAATAAATATTTGGTGAAAATTGTCTTAGTCGTTAATAAGAGAACTTTACACGGAAACAGGAAATTTATTGTAATCTCTTTCGGCCACGTTAAAGCGTTACATCATCAAAATTTATGTTTTAAAAATGTCTAATATTCTACTGTTATTGGAAAGCGTTAACATTTTTACAGGTTATGATACCTTCATATAGCATATCTACGTTATGACATCTACATATTGTATTTCGCACATTATCTACGCGTTTAATTTAATTTTTTTTACAAAGAAAATTTACGTACATGATCGAGATCAACAGTTTTACTGAAACTGTATGGTATTGATAGAGGCAACATTTATGAACATATTTCGTTTTAAGGTGTTGTTTGTTACGTGTATCTCGCATTTCATATTTTAATTACATAATTTTTACTCGTTAATATCTTTATTAGAGTACATGTTAAATTTGTCGATAATTGATTGTATTGTAGGTGATTTATGATGCGTCGAAAAGTCGACGAAAGTGACCCCTTTTTGGATATCATAAAATGTCTACTTTCAGTTTGTGTTGAAAGACTGGAGTAAATATTTTACTTTAACTTTCATTTTTGTAATTAGAGTCATAACGGGGACTAGAATTTATTTCTTAGATAGAGAATACATGTTTTCTTTAACGAGTAACCAATCGATTAAGGTTACTTAAAGATTTTTAGATTATTAAAATACGATTAATAAAATATGTACCTCATTGATAAGTACACCGCAAATCAAATAGAAGTTGAGCTCATGAATACCTACAAAAAAGTATTAGACAACATTTCATTTTGATTTAGATTAAAAATCAAATTTATATTGTTTTAAATTCGCAGCCATTAGCTCGGTGTTACCCATAATGAAGAAGTTCTTCTTCAAAGGTAACAACCCTGGCGGTTCCAGGAGTACTGAAAAGATTTGGTCAGCGGTGGCCACTTTTATGCAGGCGACCCAAAAAGCAGCAGCCAATCAGCAGCCAGTCCGCTGGGGGCGACACTTGCTTAACAAAGTTGCATAAACATGTTTATGTTGGGGGACAATTTGTCTATCAATGTTGTACAGATGTCGCTTGGTCACTCTCCATGGTCCGTGCTCCTTGATGGTTATAAGAGCCCCCCTGGGGCGCTCGCGGGAGTCCTCCCCCAACCCCCAAGCAAGACGGACCGTATCGAGATGAAGAATTTAATTGAAGATGGCGGCCAAGGGACAAACCGGTCTTTTTAAAGACCAAGAAAATCTCATATTTGGGAACAACACCTAAACTGAACAACTCAGAGACTGAACACCTCTGTTGTGGAACAACTTATGTAATAAAACTGAACATGGTATATTTGCCTATATAGGCAAAAAATATACAAATACAAATTGAATTAAATATTAAATAAACATTCTGTGTTATAAAATTAAAGAATTATTATTTGAAATAATAGAACAGTTAGAAAATAAATCGTTTGAAAATAATTTCTAAAGTCTTACTTGATAAACTATATTCAAATGATTTATTTCCGAAGTATTGTTTTATTTCAAACATGATTAGGGGGTCTTAAAACGTGTATTTACGTGAAAATTTTTCATTGCTTATAGTATGTATAGCTCGAAACGAAATAAAAATGCATTAAAGGAGGAATGATTAAATCCTAACTGTATTGCAAGAAATCGTAATTAAATTCAGACAGACATGATAATCTATTGTAAAGTTAAAATATAGTGGATCTGTCGACGGTAAAAATCGGACATATATATGTTTTGTGAATATTTTCCAGTTGCATTAGGTAAGATTAACTGGTAATGTTATGTACAAATATTTTTAACAATACAGTTTTTAAATAAAGAAGGCAAATATTATTTATAAAAAGGATATAGCACAATAGATTTATTTCTTCAAATAATACATTTATGTTCAATGTGTACATGCAATGCTTCATATAATAACGAACATTCTTGATTATAATAAAACAAGAGACACGATTTTTAAAGTGCGCTCATTAATAACATTTCTTATGCCTACGTCTTTATGGAGAGCGTATATCCTTTATTTCAAATCACCGATTTGATTAAAAAAAAAAAAAAGAAAGAAAAAGTCGGTAGACTAGAATTTAACATTGATCGTCCAATCGATATATACATATATAAATGATTTTAAAAGAGTGTAACTGATGTTGAAAGAAACAATTCTTCTGTGTCACTTTCTTTACGACAAAAATATCTTCGTATATCAGTCTGCATGCGTTATCAAATTTTGATAACTATCTAATGCGGAGCAATGAAGGATCGTTGTTTTCAAATTTATATGGAGATCTGAAGAAGCATGTTTTCAATATTCCCAATTTCTGTTGGCAGTTCGGTGTACACAGAATTCCATTCATTTGGAAAATCTCGTTTCGCAGATTTGATAAATTCCACGACAAAGCTGATCGTCTCTGTACAACAAATATAAATACATAATAAACATATTAATCGTAGTAGTTACATACGTATTATAATAATGTATTAATAATTGATAGTATAGTAAAAAAAAAATTGTGTAACACACCGTAATCGGTAGTAATGTCCTTTTGTAATACCCTGAGTGCCACCTTAAGCAACATATGCATATGTGGTTGTAAAATGCAATGACCAGCCTCATATAATACTAATATACTTTTAAAAACTGCCTTATTTTCTTCGAAATCTTCTTTCAATGGCAACTGATTAACAAAAACTGGAAATACTTGGTCTAGAGGCAAAATGGAGTAATTAGCAATAATGAGTCGTGCGATTGCACCGACAACATTATCGCGAGCACCTGCATGAGTCTCTTTAGCGATCAAACTTGACAAAACTTGCAAAATATCAGGATAATGTCTGAGGCTTTTGTTAAGAAACATTTCAATATCTTATTCATTTGCTCTTCCTTAAAATTACTTTACAGGGGTCTAAGAATATTTGAAATGACAAATTAAAAGGATACGAATAAACAGCATCTTTGCCATGTAGAGCTAATTCACCAATTCCATAAATCGCATTATTGCGAACTTCGGCACTAGGATCGTTTGTGAGTCTCAATAATGTCGGAAGAAGCTGAGGAACGAAAGCTGCTACTGTATGTTTAAGTCCTGAGAAGCACTCCGAGATTGTACCAACCGCAAACGATCTCTGTGCTTCGGACTTATTCTTTTTCTGAAAATATTAATTAATTATTACACGTATAATCAGCCAATGTTCGACTACGCGTATTGATAGAATCATACCAATCTTGTTAGAAGCATTGGCAATGCAGCTTGGAAATAAAGCGCAAAATCGTCTGGAGCGATTACATCCCCAAAATTAGATAATACATCACCCGCACATTCAATCAATAATTCATCTTGTTCGGCTTCGGTCTCCACTTCTTCTGCATCTTCTTCGTCCTGACATGCTGTTTTACCTATAATAAGCCACATTTTGCATACATATTCGATTACTAAAAGAATAAAATTTAATAAACTTGTTTTACTTACCCGACATAACATCCGTGACAGAATTCATTATAGCATCTTTATGGCCTTCTCCAATAAGAACAACCGTCTTAATTTCTTTCAAAAGTTCGCAATAAGCATCCAAACCTCTAATAGCTACTGTTCGTTCGTTGTCTAGTCTTATCAATTCTGATAATTTTGGTATAAATACAGAAAGAGCTTTCAGTAGCGCTTCCTTTCCTTCGTTACTATCAATTTTGGAAAAATTAATACAAAACTGTAAAAGACCTTCAATGGTAGCTTTACGAATATCTTCTTGTGGATAATTCGTTAATTTAAAAGTTTCCTCAAAAGACTTTTGTAGATATGGCAGGAATTCCTCTCTACAATAATTTATATGTAATAATAAATATAAAAATGATATAATCAAACGTGTACAATTAATATGTCAGTAATAAATATTTTACCCCGTATGTTCGGCGATTTCCTTTAAGGCTAAAATTGCTCCTATCTTTTCATCGATGTATGCATTTTCCACACTGTAACGCGTCACATCATAATCGTCATCGTCTTCCTCGTTATCTGTATTTTCAATATCTTCTTCGTCATTTTCATTTCCACTGTCGCTAAGATCTTCGTACACTGGAAAAAGAGAAGTCTCATCTTCCTTATAGTGAGCCTATAAAAAAATAAAGCGACATAATTGTAAAATATCATTGCATCGGTAGTACTCTTTTTACAATTTACATACCACTATGCCTTCTGAGCTTTGTATGCTGACTATCATGTGTTCGATCATTTTTGGCAAAGCACTCGCCATTTCCTTTTTCATTACAGTACTAATCGAGGCAAGCAATCCGTAAATAGATTTTTTTAAATCGGGATCTTCGGTTTCTTCTAGTAATTTCATTCCAAAATTAAGATACCTGGCAGCCAAAGGTGCAAAACTTTTATCATCTATCGTTCTTGCAATTATTCCAAGAGTATCTATAATATCGATTAACTTTCAATAATATTATTAAGCATTGCTTAATTGTTAAGTGTACTTTTTAACATACGAACCAATAGCTTGTGCTTGGAGACACATAGTTTCTTCCGTTGGTTTTTCCATAAGATAACTATCAAGAATGGAAATGATCTTTTCAAAGTATGGCAATATGTGCTCTTTACTGGCCATAACAGCCGAACCAATAGCGCTCAATGAAAGTTTTCTAACGTGAATCGGAGTGTCGGTATTCAAAATTTCGAAAAGCCTTTCCATTAAAGTCGGCAGATATGGTAGAAGACTTTCATTCAAATTTTCACAAAACATTTCCAACGCATAAAACATACGATCGACCGAGGGCGGTGCTTTTTTCTCTTGTTTAATATGAGCACATATTTGACCAAGATACTCAAGTAATACAGGCAATAATTCCGAAGAATATTGAGAAATGTCTGGTTGTAAATATTCAGAGAATTGTCCCAAAGCAAAAAGAGCAGCATTCCGTACCACGGTAATGGAATCTGTAATCCCTTGACAAGTGCAACGCAAGAAAGATTCAAGATATTTAGTACGGATGTATTCCGAACAACGCTCTGCTAACACTGCCATTGCTAAATACGATGCTTTCTTTGCATATATGTCTGTTCCCTGGAGACTAGGTTCTATGTATCGCAACTATAAAAATTATATAGAAATAAAACATTAAACTAATATTTTACAAAGAGAACGATTATATGCGTTTTAAATAATACCAATTGAGGAATTAATTTCTCTGGAGGTAAATTAAGTGCAAGTACATCCAAAACTTGCGCGGCACAAGCTACGAGTGTATTGTCTTCATCATCGGTAAAATAAACTTCATCGTCCTCGTCCTCGGGTCGTGTGGACATAAGATTGAACAGCATGTCTACAAAATCGTCGTAAGAAATTATATCCCTACAGAACGATATAAAATCATACATGTAATATAACTTACCTATAATGGGTTCAACAAGCTTATGCTTTATTATGGCTTTCTTCTTTATTCTGGCTACCAAGCCAATACAATCAACAGCTTCGACTATAAGAGCATTATCTAACGATTTATTACTAGCAATACCAAGGCACATACTGACAAGCAGTTTGACGTGAGGTGCTATCACAGCAACTGCATTTTCACATAGTTCATTTATTAGTTCAAAGCACTGTACACCATCTTCATTGTTAGCAATACGAAATTGAATTGTGGTCATTACTAGTGGCATCATTTGATGATACGCGTTTACCATCTTAAAAGTAATTTATCATAAAAGAGGTTTAACACTATTTTTGATAAGTTTGTAATCATTGTACAAACTTACCATCTGATAGCCTTGAACTAATGGAACAAGGTTTTGCAATGTCCGTAGAACGTAATATGCTACTGGGTCCCCTAAATCGTCTAGACTACTTAAAGTTTGATTCAGGAGACCCATCAGCGACTCTGCATGTGGTAGGTATGTATCGGGTGCCATTTCTGTCATAATTGATAAAGTATAGGTTCCCAACTATAATAAAATTGTTCCTTAGTTTTTATTTGTCATCTATTACTCAAAGAATTTTCATACCTTTTTATCAGATAAACTTTCACTGGTAATTAATTGTTGAACAAACTGTAAAACTTCTGGCCAACCGTTAGTAGGCAATTCGTGCTTGACTATTAAACCTATTAACTGTGCAATTGCATTTTTTACAGATTTGTCTGGTTCATTGACCAATGCCTGAAACAATGCAAATCATATAATTACATATAATTTGTTTTAAAAACGTGATTTTTTAAATATTATTACCTGCAATATTACTGTCTTAAATAGGCTGCGTATATGTTGTGGTAATTGTAGCCAATGTTTTCCTTTTTCATAACGTTTTCTAAGCAATACAGCTGCATATTGTCGTATCTAAACATACATAATCTTCTTGATTTACAGGATTCATGATTATATTTACCAAATGGGGTATTTACATAGCAAAAGTACAAACCTGAGATTTTTGCGACGACACTATAAGTTGGCATAATGTTGATATACTCTCCGGTTTTTTAATAGCCTCTGTGAGTTCAGCTGTTCCCTGGAAATTACATCAGTACAATATTTTGTTGAGTTATGTAAAACATAAGAGCGTCTGTGTGTAGGTGCCTGACAGCTACATGCTAATAAATGAAGCGCAGCTCGTCTTTATTAAGGCTTAAAGCTACCTGACACGCATATTAAATTATGAGGGTGGTAACAATAGGGAAAGCGATACAGGCTGTATTTAATTTATTTCGTAGAATAAACAGCACAATGTACAGAAAAAACAGCATCGTTGATTAAAATTCCTGACGCGAATCTAATAAAATAACTTCGACAGCATTTAAAATGGTTATCAGCCGATGCGAACACGCGTTTTAAACATCGTAAAATTTATTCCTGTTTTAAGCAGTCACTTTTCTAGACATACCTGTTCGACCGTTGTGTTATCAGCTACAAGTAACTTCGATAGTATTTCCTCCATTATCGAGTTAATATTAATAATAAAATATGTATTTAATAGTACTTCCGAACAAAGTAGCCGGCTGTCTACCACCGTTGCTCTGACCTGTTGGTGACGTCCATATGATATTTCAATGCTCATGCGCGATATTACATGTATAAACCACGAACAAAATTTATTTCCAGATCAATTTTTCTTTCCATATAATTTGTTTAATTTACAAATAAAAACATTTACAAACAAAGTACACGACTTAATTATTATGGATATATATTTTAACGCGTCTACTGACTTTTGTGTTACTTAAACAAGATATATCGCCGCTACGAACGACGAAAATTCTTCAACTGCCTGTACAGTGTTTGAGTTACGTAGATGGCGCTTCAAGCGTATTTATTACCGAGCGAGTACGAAGTTTTACTTCTTCGCAGAAAATTGCAATGCATTGAATCTTTTTGTGTAAAATGATTATTTAAAGTGCCGTATCATGCTAATTAAAATTCAAACGGTACTATTCATAGCTGTGATTATTACTAGAGTATTACAGACTATTATTTTCAACAATTTTCACGCGAAATACAGTCAATGTTCGTGCAACTAAGAATCTCTCTACATAGCCTTAACGAAGCACAAAACATCTTATTTCGAGTCAAAACGGTCGAACTTTTGTACATTTTCTGTAACTATACACAATATTTGATAAAGTTATCGATCAATTCAAGCTTTGTGTCTTTGATCCTGCGTTAATTGAAAGTACGATCCTTTATTCTAATGAATCTGTTTGCAAGAATATTTTTTGCAATTTTTTCTAACACGATTGTAGTTCGAGCAATAAAGACAACCTTGTGGATTAAAAATTTAAAAATATTTATTTAAAATTAACAAGATAAGTGTACACTTTTAAATATTAATCTTTTTTTCATATAAAAAATTTGCGAACAACTGTTTCCTTTTCATTGTTGGCAATGTAAGACCAGATCTTTTTATCTTCGTGCCTGTACAGTGTAAGTCACGCGGACCGTTTGTTCCAACTTCGCCTAAAGTCTCGCAACGCGTTGAGCAGTTTATTATTTTAGAGCAAACTCCTTCCTTCCATATTCTCCTCTCTTTCTCTATTCCTTGTTCACCCTCGTTTCGATTCGTGCCCGCTCTGTCGTTTCCTCTCGTGAACGTTTCGATACGAAGGCGCCTTGAGATAATGCAGTCTCCGAAATTCTCTGGGCCGCTGTTTTGAAAAACTACGTACGCCCCGATTCGTGGAAAATGTTAACCGTCATTCCGTCTTCGTCGTTATTTTTCAAATTGTTGTTCAATCGTCCCGATTTCCCGTCTTCCGGACCAGCTTTAAAACCCGGTTATTACGTTCCGTTTACTTATCTGATAGATTAAATGTATCGTAAGTTACGCCCGTCACAGCTCAAGAACCGACACTCGTCGTCGAAGTTATGTGCAGTGAAAGTGGCTCCTTAGATTCGTTACAAGTGGATGGTAATTATTAGAAGTACGGTTTCAAGTTAAAAAAATCTACATCGAGATAGATGTCGCAATGAATGCATAATGTATTCATAGAGGGCAGCAAAAGTTGCCATGCTCGGTTACATTTTCTGCAGTATCGGTGAATAGTATCGTTATTCTTCTGGTTTTTAAGATAATAGCTATGCTAGAAAATGTACTTATAACTTTCGTGGATAAGATGTACGATCTATCTCGAGAAATATCGCAGAAACGCTGTATTCGTCGAAGCACAACCAGAAGACAGCGGATAGCCTGTCAGCGGCATCGTTGAGTGACTCCTCTTGCACCTCGTGCATATTCGTCCTCTAGTTTACGTGCATTCCAGACGACCTCAGACGAGCTCTTTTCGTACCAATTTAGTATCGGGATCGCGTGTTGTCAATAAAAATCGATCAAGAAACCGGCTTTCACGAGACAAAAAATACTTGGCCATTTCCCGCCATTTTTTGGCGCCCAAATAATGTCGACGTCGATTTTACTAATAAAAAGATGTAAGGTTAGGAAATTTGACACTCGAGTCTTTAATTGTACACAACTGATTAACGAAGAACAGTATTATTTTACAAATAATAAGTAAAATGTTAAAATAGTTCATTTTTTGCTTTTAAGGACGTCTACCTGTGACCTTGTAAAATGGCGCCAAGAAGTACGTGGCATAAAAATACTACTACATCCGTTAGGCGACTTACAGGTATTTTATTGAAAAATTTTTAAAATAATCATTAAACATTTGAAAATTTTTAAATACGAACTTCGTAATTTCTAATATACGAATGCACACGAAGGGAATCGTCCGCTACGTCATTGTACGTGTCGATAGGTGACGCCTTCGTCGGGGAGAAAAATCTTAATGCGTAATTAATGTCTGTGATGAATCAAGCCGACACCACATGCGATTCGCTATCGAGCGCAGTGTTTTGTAATTTATTACATAAGCAATCGTGTCTCTCGATTCTCTGGGTCGAATAGGATCGTGGAGAAGCATTACGGGTACTTGTACGATTTATATGATTCGTTCTCTTATTTGACTGCGATAATGTCAGAATGAAGCGCCACCGCGACATTTCAGGACGCGACAGGATCAGTTATGGGGTCGACGTGACCGCGCGAAGGTGCAACACATGATTTATAGGAACGTTCACAGAAGGTGCCGCGGGACTATTTGAACACATGACCGAAAGAACGTCCGAGGGAACTCCATATTGCTCAAATAAGCGTATCCTAGATGGTTCGAAAGGAAACTCCGACGTGTTCGTCATTTTTATGGCAGGGACAGGCAACAAGCTGTTCCAATAGAAATCTGTCGCACACTGCTAGCGTTGACGACCGTATTATCTTTTTTATAACCAAAAAAGGAGCCAGGCTTTCTGGCTCCTAATTCCGTGAAAAAAGTAGCGGAATCTTTGGAGTTCAGACTTTTTTTTATTTCCCTTTTTTTTTCTCAGGAGAGATGAAAAATTTAAAAAAAAAAGACCCAAGTTTCCGAGGTCGTAAACGTTGTTCTTTCGAACTTCTTGACGTTACGGAATTTTTAAGTACAAAATCACTGGAGTTACTGGCTCCTCCATAATCCTTTGAAAGAGCCTTTCGATTCTCCAGACTCTGGCAGTTTTCTTGGGACCTCGCGATATTACTGATGTCAAGGAAGAAGGGAGTCGACGCGATCAAAGCAACAAACACCATTATTTTTATAGCAAAGAACGTTTTAATACTACAGAATCTGGTTCGCGGTGGACTTAAATTAATTATAACATTTATTGATATTTATAAATATAAATAGGAGGTCGGCGAGCGCGGTTATCGAAGCGGCGCACAGTGGGGCATTTCCATACCAGACCCAGTTAAAAAGAAAAGATATTGCAACGATCACTGAACCGTATTGCATACATTTGAAAATGTAAAATAAAAATGGAACTTATTCGACAAGATGTAACGCAATTCAAATACGTATCTCGATTACATAATTCCCCTCGTTTGGTATGCAATTGCCCCGCTGTTCGGCTGGCTAAAGTATAGTTCTTCGCGACTTGTACAATTGTGATACGCTTCGATTCGATCCTCGAACGCGCGACGTAGTTTCCGTTTCTTTACAACTTATACACACAAACGTGGCCTGTCGAATAATAGAGATCCATTCGTGACAAAGTTCCTCGCACTCGTTTCTCTTTTTTTTATTATTCTTTTTTTTCTCGAAAGTTCGCTTCGACACTTAGCTTTACGATAGTACGTTGTTCCAGTTCGTTCAGCTCGTCACGTTCTCACATACTGTACTTGATCTGATCGTAATACATCGTCGACGACGGCGTCGTCGTCGCCGTGTGATGAATGTTCGAGGAAACCGCGCCTGGTATGTTCGATATACTCAGACCGCCGATGTTGCTCAGGTTCAGCGAGCCTAGGGAGCCTAACGAGCTCAGGGTGACGGATCCAGCGGGATGGCCGAAGTAGGACGGCTTACGGTCTATCAGCCCACCACCGGAGCTGTTCGAGTTCGAGTTCGAGCACGGCATCTTTATTCCTGAAACAGAAAAATTAATTACTCTTTATTCGAGTCCTCGTTCTCTCGATGGGGTTGATAGACTTCTATAGCTTGCTTGTGTTTCAGAATTGAGCAAACCATGAGCGCTGGCACGACCAGGAACTTAGCAAAGGGACGCAAATTAGAAATTTATCAGAGAAGATAGAGGAAAGTTTATGTCAACATGTCGATTGCCACTAGGAGAATGTCTTCAACGTTTGGTCGAGTTACTTGTTACGGGTCACCTTGTATAACGGGTCTGTGCGTATCGCGAAAACGTCGAACCACGTATCCCGAGGACACGGACAAGAGACCTCCAAGTACTGGTCGAAGTAGCGAGTCCTTGGACGAGTTTTTCAGAAATTTCACTCGACCTAGACCACACATGATGCAACCGAGAAAGAGAGAAGCGAATGCAGGAGATCTCACGATACCAAATCAGTCCTTCTATAGGTACGATAAATCTGAACCTCCAGCAGCTCTCAAGTAGTTCTTCCTCGAGTGTGCACTTCACTTGTGTCTCGACGCCGTCTGTGTCTCGCTGAATCCATTTCTTCCTTGTTCGTTGCTGGCCGAATTGCTCGACGTCGCCAGGGATAGGAAATATCATTCAATTAGCATTCCACGATACAGTTTTAAGTAATTTCTGTTATACGTGTAAATAGACAGGGCTCTGTTGTTGTTCGCCCAAAGAACGAATTCAAAATAGATACATTGTCATTCGCTAAAAAATAGAGAATACAGATTGTTAATAATCGGATTAACGGAATATAAATTGGTCGATGACTAGGGTAGCGTCGAGGTTAGCGGAACAAATTTTTAGCGAAAACTGGTCTGTACCACGCAACACGAGAAATTGCAAAAAAATACTAAAAATATCATGTTAACAGTTGTGGCACGTTTGAAGAATCTTGACGTGATTAATAGATACGATGTTTAGCTTTCCTATCATTCGAGCGAGACAAATTTAATCGAACGAGTTTCAACTTGTGATTCACTGCTAAAAAGAAATGGAAACAAACCATTTTTTCTTTTAATGCTCGGTTACGGGCGATGAGAAATGGATAGCTTACAGATCAGTGGCGGATTAACCTTCGACGGGGTCCCAGATAATAACATTTTTCATCGTGAAAATTTTAAAATAATCGACAGGTGAATAAGTTATGCAACGGTGGATATTAAAATGTAACGTTTCATACTACATAATTTGTAGTATTATAATATTTAGGAAGTCCAATAGTTTATTGCAAAGGTTGGTTCTACGGCTCAGGTGTGTTATTAACCGCGGTTAATTTTTTGCAGGATTCAGATTTCGGTGTGTAGTCGAGGAGAAAAATTTGAAGATGTCGGTGGTTTAAAAGCGATCCGTTCTCGATGGCAATCGGAATTCGGTTTAATCCCAGGTCGAAGGCAAGTGTAACGACGGCCTTAAAACGGCGTCGTGTGCGGTCTGAATGGCAGTGCTGTCAGTCAAAATCTCCCCAGCCGCCTCCTTCCGCCCCCCCTCCTCCCCCTCTCGGGGAACGAATATCACCGATGCTTCCTGGCCGTCGAAGAGACGCGGTACGCTGCCCGCCGCGAATTTTCATCTTTTTTTATTTCGACCGTTGTGCACGGTTCGTGGCACGAAACACATCGTTGAAAACGGCGGCAGTAAAAGAGCAGAGAAGCGATTCCCCGAGCGAGCATCGCGAGGCGGCGCGCCAACAACGATGCCATAGTAGCGCGGGCAGAGAGATCGCGGGGCTCCAGAAATACATCACCGAGACCTGTGTAGAAAAAGGGAAAGAGGACAACCCGGGGCCTAACGTGGCGTCTGCAGATTGATCTCGTTTACACTTCTACCGACTGAACGTAGAGAAGAGGAGGCGGTGAAATGGCGGAGGGGCAACGGGGGGGCAGGAGCGGCGGAAGGGCGCGTGGGTGGCACGTTTATACCCCTTGTCGATTTCACGGTGTATCGACGCCGGAGAACGGGATCGTACTTGCGACGGGAGTGCGCGATACGAGAACGATCTGTTGATCGACTCGATCCCAGACAGCGTTGGGCAACATGTAATTGAAATTAGGATTAGAATTTAAAGTATATGTACGGAGCCAATAACCTACGACTGAACGTATCCAAATGTTTGTAATAACGGTTAGGTGTACAAGGTATAAGAATGTTGGAATCAAATGTTGGAATGTTGGTCAAGTAATGTTCCTTTTGTATCATAAGAGTTGGTATCAACTATGAAGAATAACGGAATTTGTAATGGAATTTGACTCTTGGACAAGGCGTTAACACCTGCATACTTCTTGTGCCCCTGGGCCCTGTGGCCCAGGGATATTTAACAATAGTAGGGGGGGGGGGCCCTTAGACCTAGTGTGATGATGTGTGTAGATGTTTGGCCTATTGGTCATCCAACGAAACACTCCTTTGGGCATGGTTAAACTATTTCAAGGAACACATTGTGCAATAGAAAACAATATTTGTCAGGGGCGTTTCAATTATAAGTAGCAACGGTCCATTTTACATTTCTGTTGAATTATTAGTATCATATTGCCTTGATCTCTAGTGGTTTGATTATTGTGATGTGGTTTATGGTCCCTGATTTTCATCTCTTTCATCCTCTCCTGTTTAGTAAACTCTCAATCTGCCATCACGTATATGTACCAATGATGCACCTGTTACCAAACTTTAAGCCTTTCAATCCTGTGTTTGTCCGGTATACTGTCTCAGTATACGGTCAAATTAAGATTCTTGAGGTTCTTTTGATAAGGAATTAAGGCACGATTATAATTTTATCCTTAATGAACTAAATATGTAAACACTGAAAGCTCGTAGGAAATTGGCCAGTGCTATCTTTCTATGTTATCTCACATGTAACGCGAGACTCGTTCACCTAGTATAAGCCACTGATATAAGATCGTTATAAGAACCCGAATTCTGGCGTTTAGCTGATTATTAGTTCGTTATCGAGTAGTCAATCTTCACCAACCATAACATTCCTCGGGATTGCGGATCCACATACTGAAACTGGTTCCGCGGAGAGGTTTAATAAACGAACGTCTAGTGTTTGAGGTGGCCACGGTCGATGTACTTAGATTAAAGAACATCTTGTTTACTCCACTTGTAAACGTTTACGCGATAAGCGATTCGAGACCACGCTTGGTAGCACGCGACCACTGGTAACCGATACAGAAGAAAAAAAGACGAAACGTGTATTTTCGTTCGTCCCGATCATTTGTTTATCGCGCGACTGAACGTAATACGTTATTATACACAGTTACGGAATCGGTTCATTCATAAATGAAACCACGGAACGCCCTGGGGTTAAAACAGAGGGCTATAAACGTTTCTAACTCCAAGCCATACTTTCCGACTCTAAAATTTATTATCCGTCTTCGCAAAAAATAGTTCTATCGTCTACTGCTTAGAACTACCGTAATATGTATTGATAAGACTCGTTATTTATTTATATAGTCATTAAAATTGATACTGTAGAATTTTTTAATCTCATAAAAGGCATGGAACTGAATAAATACAACGTAACTAGAAATTTCTGTAAAGTTTTCTGGTATGAGTGTTCCAAGGTGTTCACAATGTTCTAATTGATAGAAAAGATGGCGTCGTTGTTCCCTTTTTAATAGATACGTCGACAGATATGGTTCAAGCCGATGAAAACCGCTTTCGCGAGCGTTTCGTTGCAGTCAAAAGCGGACGTTTAACGAGCGTTTGATTGAGCGTTTAACCACGGTTCTCCACGCTAAATTAATCCGACGGGGAACAAGTACGAGACTCGGTGTCGCGCCGCGTTACACGTGTTCGGTTACCAGTTTACGAATTATGACTTCTCCCATGGGCGTGACAGACTGTCACCCCTCGACTAATAGGTCCTGTCAACTCCGGTGATTTCGTGTCTGTTCGTTCCGCGGGAAGAGTACTCTCTGCTCCTATTATTAAACGGAAGTAATCTTTGGATGCACCGGCCCAAAATGGTGTCGCTCGGCGCCGTTCACTTCCGCCTTTCATACAAAATTAAACGTCGAACGTTAACAACAATAGAACATCGATAAAAAAAACAACGTGTAATTTATGATATAGGTTTGGGGCTATTTTTCAAGTTTGTTTATTCGATTAGTCTACTTCTAGTTAGGTGTTTGTGGAACTTGTAAAATGTCTATTTCTTCTAACAATGATAAACCACAGTGGAATAAAAAAATTACTTCCTAGGAAAAATATTTTTACTATTTTTTTTTGAAAATAGAATCGAGTTTCTAAAATTCCGATTCATCGTAGAATCGCGTGAATGTAAAACATGTCGAGACACTTTGTGAACGAGTGTAGACGACAGTTCGGCTTCACGGAGCCCGGCGCCTCCGCGGTCGTAAACTGTCTACGATTTTCCAGATGGCCCTACCCGACTGTCATGAATTGTCATTGTTCCCTCGACTCCAGAATCTCCGTGAATCTGCGTACAATTCCTTCTAGTTATCGAGCATGAAACCCCAAAATTTTCGTATTCGCTACTCGTTGGATATCTCGTAAATAAAAAAAATAAATGGACTGCTCTGATATAAGGGCTACTATTCTTTCAAGACAAATTAACACGTTGAAGCATACCTGTTACCATACATGGGTAACGTGGGTGTCAACGTGTTAAGGTCGTCCAAGGTCAAATTTTAGTAAATACCTCGATACTCAACGTTGAGATTCGAAGACGCGTCCTTGACATTGGATGCACGCATTCCCTCCTTCCTGGAATGCTCGTGCTAATGTTTTAAGAACGCGTGCTCGTTGTTTACAAACATCGGTATCGGACTTTCGTCCCGTGTTTACGAGCTACGTGTGTGATTCCGGAAAATGCTTATTAAACTTTGACCTCATACGACGGACTAAAGTATTATTTATCGCAAGAAAAATTCGTTTTATCTTTTAATTTTTTTTTGGTCGCTGCATTGTAAATTAACTTCGGTATTTCATTACCAACGAGGGGGTAAAAATAAATACAATTTCCGTTCGACGTGTCCCAAAATGAGAAGGTCAAATATGCTCACCAGTGTCCGTTACAGGTGTCTGGCAACTGCTGTGCGGCGAACTAACGTTTCCTACGGGGCTACTGTTGCCGGTCTGTTCGGGGATCCCCTGCATGGAAACGTTCGCGTTGGCGCCGGTATTGTTGACCCCCGGTAGACCGTAACCCACGTAATAGTCCTGCCCAGGTGTCTGCGCGGCAGGCGTCGAGTTCGACTGGCACTTGTAGTTCATCATAGCCTCGTTGTCCTTGTAAACCGTATCCGGATGATGTTGCTGATGATCCTTGACGGAGAAGCCCTCGGTGGGCCTGTAGGTCAGCTGATCTTGGTTCCTGGCCGAGTAACCGGGCTCGCTCTTGAACGCGACGATCTCCCCGTTACGATACACCGACGGTTCACCGGTCTTGTACGTCACCTCCGTGGTCTTGTACGTCACCTCCGCGATGGGCGGCGTCTTGTACGTGGCCTCCGGGTAGGCCCAGTCCGCGGACACGGCGGCCCCGGGGCCGTACATCGCGTAGTCCTGGTAATTCTGGTACTGGTTCTGGTATCCGTTCGCGTACTCCATACCACCGGGCGCCAGGTTCTCGTAACCAGCCGCCTGGACACTGACGGGGCCGCTACCAGAGAAATATTGAGGATACTGGGGCTTGAGGGGCTGGCATTTGCGACGAAAGCCCCGGGGACGACGACGAAAACTGCCCTCCTCGAACATGTACTCCGTGGACGGGTCGATCGTCCAGTAGTGGCCCTTGCCGGGTCTACCCAGACCCTTCGGTAGCTTGATGAAGCACTCGTTCAAGCTCAGATTGTGGCGCACGGAGTTCTTCCAGCCCTGGTAGGCGCCCCGGAAGAACGGGAAACGTTGCTGCAGGAACGAGTATATCTCCGAGAGGGTCAGCCTCTTCCCGGGGCTCGACTGTATCGCCATCACGATCAGAGCTATGTACGAGTACGGCGGTTTCTCCTGTCGTCGAGCGCCAGGCTTCCTCGGCATCTCCGTGCTCGTCGGGTTGCACATCAACGAGTCCAGGCTCTGATCCTGGCCCAGGCTGCTGGCGATCGACAGGCTCGAACGGGGCACGATGGTGGCCGAGTTCGGATGCCCGACGGCGGACTGGTCCTGCAGGTGCAGGCTGGCGTCCGACTCGTTCTTCATCGCGATCCTCGCGTTGTCCACGGCGGTGCAGCGCGGTATCGACGGTACGATCACTGTCTGGTCCATGGAGCACGCGACCCTGTCACGCGTCGACGAACATCCCCACGATCCACGATCGACGGTCTATCGGTGCACGGTGTCCCTTAACGCAACTCCTGTCCATCGATTTCGTTCACTCGCAAGCGACGGCCTGGCGCGCGCGGTGTTTACCGTTTACGCGTGTCCCAGCCAGGGCGGACGTTTCGCGGCGGCCACCGCGCAACGTGGACGAGGGTGGGTTCTCCTTATTTACTACGACCGTAAATTGTTTGCACCGGCGGCGCGAGAACACGGTGGGGTGAAATTATTTGGATTCGCTACGCGGTCGGACGTCGCGTCGATGCGCCTCGCTAAGTGTTTTCGGATGACTGGACCTCGGCACGAACTCCGGCCCCGTTGGAAGCTTCGCGCGTCCCGATGACGCCGAGGCACGCCGTCGCGTCGCGACCCTGCCGCGTCCCTGGTGGGCGTGACCGTCGAGGGGGCAGACTCGCGACCTCCCGTTGGCCCCGGCGCGATCAACACCACCGAACCTCGCGTCCCCGGCCAATGGCAACCGTCCTCCACCCGCGCCGTCACGCCTGACAACGTTCAGCTCTGCATACGAGCCGGGGTGTTCGAGCAACGAAAAAGATTGCATAATTTCCACGGTTTTCATTGTTATCGCGGATCCTTGGCGATGATTATGGAGACCGGTGCTACGTCGGGTTGCTACCAGTGTTGGAAACGGCGTGCATGCAGTCGACAGGTTCCGTTCGAGTCAGGAGATAGAAGAATGCGGCTGGTCTTTCGACTTTTTTTCTCTTCGGATTTCGCGACTTTGTTCCTTCTCAAAGTTAACGTTGGAGTGTCTCTGAAAATATTGCGAATTTTAGTTGGTGATTTAACAGTAGAACTAGAGACGACTGGCAAAATTAATAAAAATAATCTCGATTCCCACAGTGACATTTTGTTATCTTGTTCTGTAACTTTTCTCTTTATTCGTTGAATTCTGGAGTAGCCAATGTCATCAGGAGAGCTATGCAGTGATTATAGTTGTTAAAACACAGTTGAACGTAGGTTTACGAGTTCATCGAACTCTGTGTTTCTTGTTTTGATCGATAAATATTAGACTAGAAGATTCTGTTTACTTCCATAATAAAAGTTGCTTCCTTTGATGTTCCGTGTATTCTGTTATTATCATAGAATTTTTAAATCCGTGTGTCGTCAGATATTTTACTAATTATACCCTACTTAACCATATTATTCTGCATTCCCTAAGTAATGAGCCTTCGCGGTGCTGCGTGAGCGATTACTCGAGAACAACATTGCAGTAAATTTGAACTTGCCAGCAGACGGGCACGAAAAAGCTCCAAGAAGCGATTGGTCCACCTGTTGGCCAACGAGAATGTTAGACCAACGCTCCGCCCGAGTATAGAACCGCCCCTCTATCTTTCTTTCGCTCTTCTCTCGGGATGACTGCATCATCGATTTTCCTGATATTAGCGGTAATTTTCTCGAAACTTCACCCATAATATCGGTTCTCGTCATAAACGAAGCGTCATTCCTAATCTTTCGTGCATCGAACATGGGATATCGAACCGGCTCCATTATTCTCTGTCGTTTCTGGCAGCTTATTCGATCCGCCAACATTAATTATAATTGGTAATATTATCGATATTTCATTAAACATCTTCCACATTAAAAATTACTGACATTGTTCTATTAAAGTGTACGCGATCGACTATAGCAATCTGTTGTTTGAAACTCTGATAGACTCAGTGTCTTCACTGTGTTATTAAGAAGTGACTGGTTTAATTATCGATGATTATTTTTACATTAATTTTACAATTCACAGTTTTGTAACGAGTTCATTATTCCTGTTGAATCGATCGGTCCTTTGGCGAACGTTTTACCCTTTATCTAAAGGTTAATACGTTGACCACCAAATGGCAAACGAACTTCCCAGGCCATGTGGTTCGTCGTGTGTCTCGTTCCTTCGCAATTGGCCCTGCTGTTTTTATTCTGTCTTATTCGTATCTCTGGTCCGTTTTATCCTACTTGGTCTGTGTATCGCGGGAGTTCTGCTCCATGCAACTTTTATGGCAAATGGTACATACGAAACATAAGTAGACACAGATACATAATTTTGTACTGAATTATCTAGTACTACAAACCTAAAATAATTACAAGAAATAGTGTAATTACATTTGCTGTATTTTATATAAAAGAGCAGAGAAACATCATTCTGACTATGTATTATTTTGTGAAGAATATCAAGTCCAAATCTTAAATACTATTAGTTAATATTTGCATTCTTTTCCAGAATTTAGACTCAACGTAGCTTTTGAGGTACAGATATTTTGCACACGTTTTGTATATGTTTCAGTTATCAGTGTAAGATAAAAAGTCGGCTAATGGCAGACGTAAGATTACCTATCATCGTGATTAAGTCGTAACGGGCCGTCCATCAATCGGCTCGTTGATCGTGATCAATGGGACTGCAATGTTTATCTAACAAAGCACGTGACAATGTATCGAGTATTCAGGCCAGGACGCAGTTTCGTGCTTATCAAGACGTGATCCTCTTAATTAGGTTCCACGAAAGCCTTGATTTACACCCCGACGTTTCCGACTCGGTGAGATTGATAATCGATCGATGTACAATACCTCTTTATTCCCTTTCATTCGATACTTATTATTGCCTTTATTCGTCCGAAATGTGTTTACAGATTCACCAATTAGTACTCATTGAATATTTATTATTTTAACAAGATAAACTCTCCAGTGAAAGAAAGTAAGAAGACGCTTCCTTTGAGTATCAATTTTATATTCGTTTCTGAAATAAATCACAAGTCCAAAAGTGTTATGTAACAGTAATGCATTACGTATACGTTATTACAAATTAAAAAATTCAATTTAAAAAATTTAGAGCAACCAATCTTCCTACTTTTTGCGGTTTCTTTCTGTTAGCTTCGTGACTCAGGTTCCGCGAAACACGGAAATCTGGGAACAGAGTACATATCCGCCGAGCAATCATTTAATGTCATCCAGCGTCTGTCCAACGATATCGTACGCCGTGTGCTCTCTAGACCACGAATTCTCAAGAAGTTTGTTTGCGTTACGGCGAACGATCCGACGAAAGAGAAGCGTCACGGCCATCTTGTCTTTCCCTTCAGGCTGGATCTCTGCAACGAGCGTTCGTGGCTCCGTTAATTCTCAACTATACCTTGATTCTTTCTTCTATTATGTTGCTCCAAACCAAACAATCTCGACCATCAATAACAGACTCTTCCACTCTGCGAATAAAATATTGGATAAACAAACCCCAAAAAATGGTAATTGATCCATAAATAAAACCTATATTTCAAATACATTTTCATGAATTTTTTCAAGACTTTATACCATAAAAATATCAATTTATAAGAGATAGAAAAATGTAATTGATAAATACTTCTATAGGTTTAATTTAATAACTATTAGATCTATAGAAGTCCTAAAATTAGAAGTCCTAAAATTAGAAGTCTTAAAATTGTAATTACAATATTAATAAAAAAGTCAAGTTTAATATTCTAAATATAATTTTAAGTTTGCTTCAATTATGTCGGCCAATGAAGACCAAACATTTACAGTAGAAAGCTTTTAATAAAATGTTTGTAAACACTAATAATTATCCACTGTGGCTAGGAGATAGAATAGACAGGAAATCGTAAAGTAGCAAGAAAAAGAAACAATTTCCCTTGAGTACCCCAAACCCCAGGTGTTCCAGTTGAGAGTTAACCTCTGCAAGGATACTGGTACACTTGTGTACGTTCAATTTTTAGATTGTGTTAAATATTCTAACATAGAAGTCGCCACAAATATTGCACAATTCATTTTTTAAACAACGTAGCACAGTACTGAAAGTAGTAATAAAATGGATTTTGTCTTGGTTTGAATTTCAAGTGGACAGCACTAGTTTGCACTATTCTTATCGAATAGTGAAACGTCGGATAGATCTAATTTTAGGTTCCCCGTTCAGGCACCTTGCCCATTCAGAGAATCTAACTTTCAATGGAGCAAAGAATTTGAAACAATGACTCGTAATTGACGGTCGTCGAGGGTTTTCAAGACCCAGGGACATTTTACTGTTTCGTACGCTACAGAATTCAGACACTTGGCGAGCGAACCTCGTGCCTTAAGGGTTGAAATTGAAGTGCTGGCCCTTTCTTTCTGGGACCACCCTGCGCAGATAGTGGCGCCTGATAGTGTTTACCATTTTACTGCTTCCAAGTTTACCCGTGACGTTTTCTGCGACAGCTCCAAGTGGCTCTTGGAAAGAACTAATCGAGCCAGAGACATCCACGACAGGGGAGAAAGTACACCAGCAGGAGAAGAGCAACAGTATTTCATAAAATTTGTTCACCCTTTGGATCTTAAAACGCCTCCTTTCCTGCAACAGAGAGATAAATTTAATTGTACGTGAATCAATCAGTCATTAACAATTCTAAAATCAAAGAACACGCGATATTTGCTAAGTCATCCTCGCAAGTGCTCATCGAGGAGCGAGATTTATTTTTATTTGGAAAGAAAGATTAGCCCTGGCCATTGTTCCTTTCTCCAATAAACAACGCCGACTCTATCGCCGAATGGCGGACCGTTCTGGACAGTTTTTTTTAAAGATAAAACGAGGTACTGGCGACAGAGACCACCCGAAGAAAACCCGTTTCGGTCGCACGTGTTCCCGGTAGGAAAACCGCAGACCGGAACCAGACATTCTCGCTGGCTTCCTCACACGCACGCAACAAGCTTTCCGTCCGTTTACATCCGGCGGGGTGGCCATTTCGATCCCGAGCGATTCGCCTTTTTGAGAACAGCAAAGGACTCCAGTTTCAAGATTGTCTTCTGATCTGAAACGCTAGAAAAGGCATTCTATTCTTTGCTTATAACAGTAATGATTTTGCTAGGTCCTCAACATCTTCAATATGAACTTTGATGCTACCTTTACTCTTGACGATGCTTTAACTTCTTCCTTCTTCTTATTAATAGTGGAAATTAATGGTCTTCTC